TTGAGGATTACTACTAGGTGTGCATGTGGTGTCAGACAGAAAAATCCATCTCTGGCACCAAACTTTAGCCTTGTGCAGTAGAGTTTCAGTCTTCGAATTTGAAAAAAAAAAGCAGAATGTGAATGACAAAAAGAAAATTGCTCAAATGCTTTTTAACCAGCACTAGATACACACAGGGGCTTGTAATGCTGCATGTGTCAGAACTGAAGCATAATTAAGAAATGCTGTCAAAGGACTTAAGGCTTTGTTTAGGAGTTTAATTTTCCAAAAAGTCCTTTCCTGCAGACTCACTTAAACCTTTGCTGAATTAATTTGAACTGCATGTATTATTTGCTTTATTTATGACTTCCGTGTACTTTGGGTTCTTTTGAATCATATGATTATACAGTACTTGGGAATCCTTGGCCAACTTCATTTTGCATGGTGAGGAACATTCTTATTACTGTACACCACATTGTAAAAAGTCATATCTGTTGAATCAGAAATGGTGTCTTAACCTTAATTCCAGTTTTGTGAATGAACATATCTTGTTAAAAAATAAGGTATCAGTTTTTTAGTTTCTTTTAATCATGGCCAGTGGTTTAAAAGATCGATGGGATACTTGTCATTAAAAAATGCAGATTTTGAGCAAAGTACATGCCTCCAGCAGTGAGACAGAACTAATCTGTTCTGTTTTAAGGACTTTTTAAACAAATTATGTACTGTGTTCATAGATCACTGGTCTTTCTATGATATTGTACGTTCTCAATATATATTGTTCAGAATAAGGGCTTGTGATCAGTGGAAGGCATTTGTTTCATTTTTGTCATTTGTAAATGGGGCACTTATAAGTTTTAAGACATTTTACCATCCACTTGCTGTACCTGTTGCACAGCAGTCCAGTCTGATATGAATAAAATGACGACAGCCTGGGACCAGTGTGAATATGTTCAAGAGCTGGAGTTTGTGGCGCAGTATCACAAACTTGCAGAAGCCTGGCTGAAGTTGGGGTTCGTTGTTGGATAGAAAAGCAAGGATACCCCAACTCTTACTAGAATCACAAAAAGTGTTAATAAATCATGTTAAAAGAAAGGCTGATTCAGCTGTATTCTGGTGGAGACCTGTCCCCTAAAACTTTCTTTCAAATCCAATCTAGATAGAAGATAGATGGCTTATTTTACTCCAAGAAAAACATTTGATTAAGGGTTGTATTATCTGGGTGAGCTCCTCAGATCACTAAAATGTTGGCCTTCCCATCTTTGGGAACTTACTTTCATTAACATAGGTTATTATTTCTGTTATTATTATTATATTTTGTTATGCAGCATATAATGCACTAATACAGCTTTAGTATCTAAAGTCTTTACAGTCCTTACAAAGATGTGTATACTTTATCCACAATTAAATTCACATATCAAGAGCAGGCCACATGTTATCTTTAGATTGTTCAGTATTATCAGTGTTATCAGGGAAAATTTGCATGCATTTCTAGAAATCCTTCCCAGGTAAAAAGATAAAACTTAAAAGTATTGTAATACCTGACATTATTTTTACACCATCAATTCCATTTTTAAATCTTGGATATTTGAGGTGACATTTTGTTTGTTCCTTAAGACCTTGGAGGTTTAACCTTGGAGATGCCAAAATATCAACTCTTTTTGAAAACAATGCAGTCTGAAAATGGTTTTATAAGTGGCATGAATGCAATTCAGTTTCATGTTTAAGCATGCACTTACATATCCCAACAGGTACATGTTTTAAACAAGTGGTGAGTGGTGTTGTGGATACTGTATTTGGTTTTCAAGGTAATGCTTGTAAGAAAAAGGTGCAATCATTGAAAATGAAGAATTGCAAAATACATATTGCCTTTTTGTTTTGCTGTAATTACACAAGGCTTCTCTTGTTTTCCGTTCCTCTTAGCAGTCTTTGTAAACATGTACTGACCACAGCATGGAGGTCAAATTCTAATACTCCTACCCTAGTTTCTTTCTGCTGAAATGCATCAGGCCTTCTATTATCAACAAAGCACATCCTCTTGATGTTTTGAATGACTCCTTTCAAGAGACGGAGAGATGGAATTTTTTTATTAATAAGCCACTAAGAAGTAATGGAGCTTGATGGGCCAAATGGCTTCTTGTTTGTAACCTTTCTTTTGCTCTCAAGTTTCAGTCAGCTTTGAGTAAAATAAAAGTTCTGCATTTAGCAGGTGAAATGCTGTAAATGGAACAATAGTAAATGGTGATTTAAAATGTATAATTTCTGGGTGTTACGGTGGCACAGATGTTAGCATTGCATTCAGCTCAGGACCTGGGGTGCTATCTGTAGTAGTTTGTAAGTTCTCCCTGAATTTGTATGGATATCCTCCTGGTGCTCCAGTTTCCTACCACAGTCCCAATACATACTGGTAGGTTAATTGGTTTCTGGGAGAATTGGCCCTGGTTTAAGAGGGAGTGTTTGTGTCTGTGCGTGCCCTGTGATGGGCTGGCATCCCGTCCATGGTGTTTCCTTTCTTACGCCTGTTGCTTGCCATGATAGGCCATAGGCCACTGTGACCCTGAACTAGATTAAAGCGCCAGAAAATGAATGGATGGATGTATAAAATCTCTATAGAGATAAAAACATAAAAGTCAAAAAGGAGCAGAGACCATTTGGTCAATCTAGCTTGTGTGGTTGCTAGTAGCTACAGTAATTTAGAGGTTCTAGTAGATTATTGAAAGAGGCAACAGTTTCAACTATGGCAACAGGGTTGTGTGTCTTATTCTAGTCTCCCATAGCCTATAGTGTTGTTCAAAAAGGCTAATTTTATAAGTCACCTGCATTTAAAAGAAATTTTAGTGATTGTTACTGTAGAAAAAAATAGCTTTGCTGTGATCCACATACATGTAGCATCCTATTACTAACACAAGTTACAAAGGATTTTGGATGTCCTTCCTTTGGGGAACCAGTTGTTTCTAATCTGTTTTTATAAAGACCAGTACTGTCCAAGAAGTTGCTTTTAAAGTTGTGTGTGGCAGAGTCAGTGGTATCAGAGAACACTAGCCTACATATCGACAGAGGCACTTCCTAGACAGGAAGACTTGCTGATTAAATGTTCCAAGACAAGGGTGAGAATTAACCCTCCTTGAGTATGTCTTGAGAATGCTTGACAACGAACCTAGCGCTCTGTGCCTGCTGTTTCTGTAAAGTTCTCAACAGTCTGTCTGCCTACCCCCCAGGTCCTAACATTTGGTGCTTTTATACGGGTCAGTTCTTCTGAAGATGTGCCTGTGTGAAGACGTTGGAGAATGAACACTGAACAGCCTAGTCTGGCCTAATGCACATTCAGCTGAAGTCTGGCAGTAATGCAGTTCAATTCAGATGTTGTGCTCTAGAGATGTATCATAGAGGACATTGTATTTGTGAATAGAACTTACCATGTTTTTAATTAAGATATATTACCTCACATATACACTACGCAGAGAGGCAGCTGTTACGCACATGAATGTAATAGCCTTTATTTAAATTGTGTGAGTAAAATACCAACTGCTGTTAAGACGGAACTGCTGCTAGGCATTTTTATTCATTTTAATTTTGTTGTCTGACTAACTCACGTTTCTTTAGTGAATGTACTCTGTAGGTCTTGCTCTGAAATGTGCTCTTACTTTTAATGTGTGTGTAAGTAAATGCAGAAAAGTGGTTTGGAAATGCATTTTGGATAGCAAAGTTACTGTAATCTAAAATGTGAGCATTCTTTTCAATTCAACATCACTAGATAGCTGTTTCATGTTTTTTTTAGTTGAAGATGAAATATGGGTGTATTATAAAATAACTTGGAAACAAAACAGTCACTCATATGTCCCTTCTTCAGATCTTGGAACAGTGGTGATGCTTACACTACAGACTCTGAAGCTGCTCTTGGGAAACTTGATGTACTCCAGTGGTTTCCAGCCCTGTTCCTGGGGGACCACTGTGTCTGCTGGTTTTGTTCTCACCGAGTTCTTAGTCACAGACTAATTGATTTCATTTGGCTTTTTGAAGCATATTTTTTAAAATTGCTTTCAGCTCCTCAAGAGAATATGATTTGCAATTATCAGCTTTAGACTTGTGCTGGTTTCGGAATTCTCCTCATCCTGAGTGCCGTGATCAAATGGGCGTCAGCAGAAGGCAAAATCAAACACTCACTTGTCTGAGCATCTGATACTTTATGACCACCTGCTTCTGTTCATCATAACTTGCCTTTTAATAGCAGTTTAGTCAGAAATAAGGGGGCAAACTCTTAAAAGTAAGTTGAGGAAAGGCTGCATAAAGGTTTATGCTGGAGGTGTTGGAAGAAATAATGCTTGAAGTCTGGGATATTTCAACCTAAGAACTGAGTGCAGAAAATGCCAGCGAAGTATGCACGTCATTTAAAGGCGTCAGTTAGCACTGATGATTTACACGTTCAACTGAAGAGCTCTGGAATGAAAACCAGCAGATGTAGTGGTTTCCAACCAACCCTGGGAGACATCTGACTCACACCACTCTGCCACATGATTGATCAGTAGCGCCCCCTGTCATACTCACCATTGTGGTCTTTACCATTTTGATAGTTTGACCCTCTCTGCATACTAGGCAAATGTTTTCATGATTTAAACTAATTTTCTGATCTTTAACGGGAAAAAATATTCCCCATTTAGCAATATATTGTGGGTCTCTGTGTCATGTTACAGATTAAGATACAGTACTATTATCAAATGTAACCTTCTTTTTTCCATTTGCCAGTGACTGGAATAATCTAGAAACTGTAGGTAAAAGGTAGACGTCAGTCTTCTGATTATACTTTTCTCCCTGATGCCTTCACCTGTTAACACTGATGCATCCTGTTATGCTGTTTTCATTTTATTGTTGATTTCTTCAGTACTTTGACTTCAGAGGGGCAAGCAGGCCCCTTGGACTGGTTGTTATCGTAAACGGGGATTGGTTCTCTACAGATGAATCCGGTTAAAATCCTCTAGAAAATTCTTAAAGTTCATTTTCTTTTTGTCTGTCTCTGTCTCCCTCAGGTCCCGGTTGCCCACTGTTTTGGTCCTCCTGGCCACAAAAAGAAGTTTTGTGCGGTTTGCAGGAAACAGCTGGAGGGGAGCTCTGCTCTCCGCTGTGAAGGTACGGATCACACAGTTGGATTTACTGCAGGATGAAGTGTAGCTCTGCAACTTCTCACCTCCAAACTCTTCTCCTTTTCTTCTCCTTTTGTAGGACTAATAGTGTGTGCAGGATTATATCACTAGCATGTAGTGTAAAAATTAAAAAGAACTGTGGTAACTTACCAGTTGTAATGCAAACCTTGGTAAAAGTGACTAAAAGTAAAGACAACCACATGAGTGTTTCTGCTGAGGTGGTTTAGCTAAGTGTCAAATTAATAACACCAAAAACAATTATTTATTAATAACAATTTATCAATAACAGTACTTGTTAAGCATCTTTATTGCAAAAGTATGCAGGGATCCACAATTGCATTATTGACCTTAATACTTTACAAAATTATTCTTTTAACAGTACATTTTCTCCAATTGTGTTGAAGAGCTCAACTTAGCCAGGTGTTTAATAGAATTAAGCTGTCACCCCAAAATGAAATAGGTCTTCAGCCAACAGTAAAATATTGGAGTGAATTGCTGACATTTAGGGGTACTCAGATTTTGAGGTCAAGAAACTTGGTAAATAAGAACAAATGCAGATGAAATAATGGAAGCCCATTTTGTTTAATGTGGAAATTGTCTATTTGTAATGGATTATTTTTTTTAGTGTGAAAATAAGCTTTATATACATTTTATACTTTTTTTCTTTAATAAAACACTTACTGTACTAAAGGTTTTCCTCCACTGAATAACCTTTTTGCACACAGCTTTAATACCCAAATACAGAGGGAGCAGGTGAATTTTCCCACAGCAGCTTGTATCCATTTACAAAACATTGAAATCATGAGAAATGCAGAAATGTATTTCTTTATTTTAAGTGAAAAATTGAGAGAAGTGATTTCACACAGCCTGAAACAGATGAAGAGTGTCGCTCTTACACAATCTCTTAAAGACATTTCCTGTGAAGTGCAGAGACCCCCTTCTCATCATACTCCTTTTTCTGAACCCACAGAGGATGGAAAGACCTCAGAGATGCCAAGATAGATCCCCCTATCCAGACTGTGTGTTTTCTCTGGAATCCTGCCTCTATTAGCACATCACTGTTCAGAGACAGCCTACCTAATTCCTGAGTCAAGCGCTTGGGAAAACCCATGAACATGGTCGAGCCCCCACCAATAACAATGTTCCTTAGGAGCTCCCCCCTTGTCCTCCTGTCTTGTTTGTTGATACAGTTCATCATCAGGGTCGGCAGTCCTGGTTCGGTAGAGCCCATCTTGTTAGGGTGGAACAAGGCTTCTGGGCAAGTGAACCTCTCCTTACCAACAAATATTATACGTCCATCAGGCAACTCATACTCTACCTTGTACCGGCTTTCTGGCAGATACAACTCGTAATCAATGTCACGAGCAACATAACAACATTTCTCCTTAATCTCCTCTACAATGTTGAGAGAATGGTCCTGAATCCCTTGCCCAGACTCATTGAGCAGCCTTAGCAAGTGGGCATTGAGGGTCTGTCCTCCGTAGTCCACCACACAGGCTGTGGTTGGCCTGTGACAACCGTTGTACACTGCAGCAACATAAGAGCCCCCATGGCCACTCTCGAGCACAAGCCCACTTGTTTTGCCGTAAGAGTAGAGCAGTAGTGCAGGCTGGTAGGCCATGTGCACAGCAGGGACGCTGAAGGTCTCAAACATGAGCTCTGCCATCTTCTCCCTACTCCTGGTAGGGGTCAGAGGGTGTTCACTCACCAGGACAGGGTGGTCCTCAGTGGCAATCCCCAGTTCTTTCTCAGAGACGTGTTTCCAAAGTTCTTCCAAGGTATCCCAGTCATCCACAAGACCGTTCTTCAGTGGATAAATCAGATCATGTTCTGGCTTTTCCAGAAGTTTTCCTGCAAAGCTCTGCTTGCAGTTTCCAGGGAATTCCCTCACCTTTTTTATCACACTGGAGATGACGCACAAAGGTTTCTTTTCTCCAGCGAAGCCAGCTTTGAGGTAGCCTGTTCCTAAATCTAGGATGACTGGTCCAGTGAGCTTAGTGCCACTATTTTGTGTCTTGATTTGTCTTCTGCAGTCCTCTTGTTGGTCACCTGCTGTTTTGGCTGCAGCTGATGTTTCAGATTCTCCAGTGGATTTGGCTTTAACATTGTTCTGCCTGAATTTATTTCTCTGCGAAATTGGAGATAGTGCACTTATTAAAGATTCTGACATATTCCTTTAAATGTTTAGATTTGTAAAATGACTAAATAAGAAAATATAAAAATTCATATTCTACAAAGGATAAACTTAATGTGGTACAACACCACCTTTATAGACCTTTCTTTTATTGTGAGGTTTGGTTGTTATGGCAACTTAGTATAGTCAGTTATGTGGTAGCACCATTGTGATGCAACCACAGTTGACAACAAGAAATAGCAAGAATATTCTAAAGTATACATGTATTATATATTTTAAAAAAAATATTTAATTTGACTCAGGTGTAATAAGAACTATCACATTTTTCAATGATTTAAGTTTTTTCCAGATTAAGAGACATAGAGGCCAAATATTCTGAAGTGAAAGAATGATTAAAAATTACCTCTAGTTCTGAACCTGAAAATGGCTCTACTATGATACACTGTAGGCATGGAAAAGTGTATTATTTCATTTAAGTGTGGAAATGCACCATAAGTATGTTTGGAGCTGGAGGAAGCTGATTATATTTTCAGTCTTACTTTACACATTTAAAAGAAGAATGGTCAGTATTTTCTGTAACTTAAGTAAACCTTGATATTTAGATCATTTCTATATAAATCTTTCCACCCTCCCCTTTTTCTTGTTCATTGTTTATGTAATCCAATTTAGAAACTGAATGGATTCAGATAACTACAGAAACATCCTCCTGGTCAAAAATTGCAGGTTCCTTAGCTTAAAGTTCAAAATACACATCTATTACTTCAAGGATGAGAAAGAGTTGCAGAAACTGATGCAATGAAAATAAGGCTTTCCTGTTATCTGGAATTATGTAGAGAAAATTATTGGCTGCATTTTTTGCTGCCTACAGACATGTGAAGATTTACGGTAAGAGGACGAGGAAGCGCAGTAACATGATAACAGCCTTGGGGTCAGTAATGTCCTCTGATGAGGTTTGTAGGTCTTTGAGAATATCTAGCCAACCTGTCTTTAGTTTACTTCTAGTTAGGTTGCCATCTGGGTGATAAAATCACAACTGTGCATTTCACAAATTACACAAAATCTGACAACACTGATAATGTAACAGCTACCATGATCCTCTTATCTCTCTTATACAGCAGTGTTTCCTTCCTTGTCATAGTTTTTTTTTATTTCTTGAAGACCATCTGATTGATGATAGTGACCCTTGCGGTTAGTTTTTTTTCTGTTGTCTTGCTTTTTGTTCGTGGTTTGTGAATTGGTAAATTTACAGAAGGAATACATTTTTAAAACAAAGTAACAAGTATTTATTGTCGATAAGTTTGTTGTTTTATTTTTGTTTCTCTTTACAAATTCCTCCAATGCCACACATCTCTGTATTATCTGCTTTGTTTTAAGAAACTCCAACATTTGTTTTACAGGGTCAAATTACAATGTGGCATATTAAATTAACTATATAAGAAAAATTAAAACACAAACAAGTACTCAAGTTACAAAATTTGAGGCAGTTCAGAATCCAAGATAGATCTCAGTCACCGTGGGGGAACTTGTTTTTGTGCTGTTGTAGTCTCAGTTACGGACACATGCAGCATGTCTAAAGGCGATGAAAAATGAGAGCCGTAGGCAGGAAATCAGAATGATCCTCCATTACGTATTCAGTCTGTCATACAGGAAATCTAAATGACCTCCAATGACGTGTTCATAGTCTCTCTTAAGAAATTGGAATATCTGGGAGGAGGAGAAAGAATGACTATACCCTGTGCTTTTTTTTGAAGTTTTGTTCTGTTGACCCCTTAAACAGTGGTGATGTCAAAAACATTTTAGACCAGGAAGGGGTGTCCCCAGCACCTGAGGATAAAGACTAGGCAGGTTTTGTTTCCTTTTGTGTTTTTTTAAGGTTCAGTTCCTTAAAAGGTGAAATGATGGAAATAATTGGTAACCACAAATAATTAGTAAATAATAAAAATAAATAAAAATGAGGACCTGTAGTAAGCATTGGGAGTGCCCATCCCTCATTTAGAACCCAACAGGTGTCTCTCTTTAGTGTCCTGACTCAAAATACAGCCCCCAGTTTTTGAAAAGGCCACATTTACTGTACTTACAGTATGTACTGTACATCCAAAAACCACCTACAATTGAAGTCCAGACTGCATTTTTGTCAGCTTCAAGATCTTTATCATGATGGTCAGCTGCCTAAATTTATGATACCTACTTGACTCTTCACCGTCTAGGCTCTCTGTTCTAAGTGAGAGACTTCTGTGACTCTGTGCTTATGGTGTTTCCTTCTGCTCCCCTCTGTTTTGCAGTGTGTGAGCTCCATGTCCATGTGGACTGTGCCCAGTTCAGCTGCAGCGACTGTCGACTCTGCCATCAAGATGGGCACCAAGATCATGTACGTATCTGCCTATGGATACTCTCATCAGAACCAGCCTCCTCAGAAGATGCGCTGGTTTGATTCCAGTTCTCACATTTTATTTGAGGTCATATTCATCAGTATAAATACCTTACTAACCCACATGCCAGTATTATTAATTATAATTTATGTGCTCTAAAAGAGCTGAATAAAACAGCATTACACTTCCCCATGTATGACTATACATATTTAGAGAACTGTATTGCTGACACTTCTGGATCCAAACAGACAGCAGCCTCTCAGTTTCTGTGCTGTTCAATTAAACTTTATTTTAAGGTTCAGATTCATTTTTCGATAGCTAGTCTCTTAAAATAGCCTTTAACATCCCCAGGATTTTTTTTAAGAGAATAGATTTTTAAAGCAAGTTTGCCAATGTTGTATCTAAAATTGGAACTTTCTATTTTGGTTTTAAACAATATAATTCAGTTAAAAATATAAAAAAGTTGCTTAATTACAGTATAAGTCACCTAAAATTGCTGTCTAGAATATAAATCTGAAAGTACAGTTACTGGCTGCAGCCGTCTTCATCTGCTGATTACAGACATCTTCCAACAAATCACATGCTATCTTTTCACAAAACAAGTTATTGTGTTTTTCTTTTTTTCAACAGTTTTTTTCTGTCAGAAATGCGAATACAGTCTTGTCAAATGTTCCTCAACCCATGTATACAACATATAACATTTCATATGCTGGTGTTTTTTTCTGTAATGGGTTTAAATAGGTAGGGTATTTTTTACTCAAAACGGGCTCATTTTACATTGCCTTCCATGGAATAGTCATTAATAATTATAATAAATCCTTTCACTTGTATTACATATTTCTGGGAAGTCAAAGCACTTTACAGGTAATGGGGACTCCCCCCCACCAATGTGCAGTATCCACCTGGATGATGCAACGGCAGCCATAGTGCGCCAGAACGCTCACCACACATCAGCTATCAGTGAGGAGGAGAGCAGAGTGATGCAGCCGATTCATAGATGGGGTTTATTAGGAGGCCATGATTGGTAAAGGCCAGGGGGAAATTTGACCAGGACACCTGAGTAACACCCCCACTTTTTTTAAGAAATACCTCGGTTTTACGTCTTATCCGAAGGATGGCACCTTTTTACAGTGTAGTGTCCCTGCCACTATACTGAGGCATTAGGGCCCACACAGACCAAGTTGTGAGCACCCCCTTCTGGCCCCACTAACACCTTTTCCAGCAGCAACCTTAGCTTTCCTAGGAGGTCTCCCATCCAGGTACTGACCAGGCTCACACCTGCTGAGCTTCAGTGGGTTGCCAGTTGTGAGTCCCAGGGCGATATAACTGCTGGCATACATTGTTCCCGTTTCTCAAATTGTTCATTGTTCCTGCATATAAAGAAAAAACGCAAAATGTCAAGATGCAAAAGCGTTGGACTCGTGGACGATTTGCCATTTTATTTGATCTTTTCTAACCTTGCCTGAGGACAGAAGTGCCCTGGGACAGGGTTTTAACTGACGTGTGTGGATGGCTTTCTTCCTCATTCCAGGACGTTTACCACCACCACTGGAGAGAGGGAAACCTGTCGTCGGGGGCACGCTGCGAGGTCTGCCGGCGGACCTGCGGCTCCTCCGAGGTGCTGGCGGGGATGAGGTGCGAGTGGTGCGGAATCACGGTACGCAGCAGCCTGAGCGAGAGGCTTAATACTGACACCGACCTGTTACCATGATTGCGTTTCAATGGAGATAAGATAAGATCACTTTATTGGCCATATACAGTTTCTTGTATTAGGAATTTGTCTTTTCGCATACCCCAGTTTGCCCTCCATGAGACACACAGACAGGGAGAGAAGCTTGGGGTTAGAGCGCAGGGTCAGCCATTTGTACACGCTCCTGGAGCAGTTGGGGTTAAGGGTCTTGCTCTCAGGGGCCGAATGGAGTAGGATTCTTCTGCCGGCCGCTGGATAGGAACAGGCAGCCTTCCAGGCACATGAGCAGATCCTTTGCCACAGAGCCACCGCACTGCCCCCGTGTCTTCATCCATCCTCCCATTTTCTAACCGCTTTATCCATTCCGTGGACAAGGAGGAACCAGAGCCTGTCCCAGCAAGCAGTGGGCTCAAGGCGGGGAACGCTCCGGACCTTTGCAGGGCACACGCAGACACACGCACGCACGCAGACACACACACACACACACACCAGGGATAATTTCCTCAGAAGCTTATTTGATCTACCAGCATGTCTTTAGACTGAGAAGAATCCAAATCACCAGGAGGGAACCCATGCAAACACAGGGAGAAGATACAAACTCCATGCAGACAGCACCTCACGTCTGGAACTGAACAGCAGTGCTTACCACAGTGCCACAGTGCCGCCTGCATGTTTTAATATGAGTCTCTTTTCAGTTAAACATAGTATATTACTATGGATTACAGGGATGTCATTGTTCTGTTGAGCAAGATAATACAATGCAGATCACAAAGAAACGTGGCCTCACCTAGGACATTGAAGTAATGAGGTGAATTCCGGATTTTATGTTTCTTTTCACTCTCTTTGAACTATAACCGCAGTCATTCACTTCGTGTTGAAATGTACTGATTTTTTCCGTTTTAAAAAGTCAATTTAAGAATGTTTGTGCCCAAATGGAGGTCATTTTACCCATCATTCTTCCTATTATAGCTTATAGCTTATTGATGCAAAAATCCATTAAACCACACATTGTACAAACCCTGCAAATCATCCACAACATCTTTTTCTATACAGGCAATACTGTATAGTGTATATGTGTAAGTGCCTCTTACCATTAGTCTGCTCTCTCTTAATTTCCTGGGTATACTGACTGATCTTGAGCCTAAGTGAACATTTGGCCTGGAGAAGATTTCCATTTTAGACAGCAGAGACAAATCTACAATTTTTTTAAATTGTATGCTAAAGATGTGAAATTCCTGAAAGGTACTGTATACTTCACACATTTTTGGTTTCAAAGGCTTGTTCAACCTTTAATAAAGCCAGTATTCGGCCAGTCCTTGATTTTACTTCTGTGTTTCATTGTCTCCTGAAGTGGGGATCTTCCACATCATATTTTGGAAGATTTATTGTTTCACTGGTTGCTATTTAGTCATGACTAAAAGTCATCTGTGCAAGTGTGACAATCCTCAAGAGAAGAAATTTTTGTAGTTGTTTTTTAGATCCAGCAAAAAGCTAAACTTCTGAATATCCACATTGAGTAAGACATGATTTTGCATGAAGTAACAAAAAAAAAAGGATTAAGAACAAGAAGAAGCAACATATTTGGTCAGCATCTGTATTTGCTAGTACCTGATTGAGCTGAATACTAATACTATTCTTAAAGGATCTTATAGAAGCATATATAATTCCACCCACTCTTTGCATAAAGAACAGCTTTTCACTAAAAATCTTTTTCAAAAATTAAATTACAGGAGCTGGTGAGTGGCTAGAGGCTCAGCACGCATTCTGTTGGCCATAGGTTGTTGTTTTAAATGCAGGTTATTGCACTGTTCATCATTGCAAAATCCCAAGGGACGTTGCACACATGGCAGAGCACCATGTAGTGTGCTGTAGGGTGGGTGGAGTTGAGATGATGATCAATCACCAGCCTTTTTATCTGGGCTCTTGTAAGCCTGAGAGTTATCAGAAATGTATCTATCCATTGCAAATGACTTATTTCCCTAAATTTGAGGATACACAGTCTTTGGTTATTCATTTTTTCCTAAAAGGTGTCATTGTCTTTGGAGAAAATAGATTAACTTTGTCATAGGTCATGTGTCAATTATAGATCTTACTTCTCTCATTTTATTCCCTTAATCTGCTTAATACAGGTATGTTGCGTTCGCATCAGCAAATTTGAGGTTTTCTTTTTAATCTAGGCATAGTTTGATAAGGGATGTGTGTTTGCTGAAAAATTGAGATTGTCTTATTCATCTGCATTGTGAAAGCTTCAGAATGGTGCTTTATCTTTGTGTTAGGGGTAACTGAAAAATATGAAATATGTTTGGGCTGATCTAAGCTCTTTTGTTTATGTGGCGCTTCAGGTTAAAGCTGTATAGCCATGCCTTTATGGCGGAGCGGTGCCTCTGTGGCTAAGGATCTGCACCTGTGCCTGGAAGGTTGCTGGTTCAAATCCCGCCGCCGGCAGAGGAATCCTACTCTGTTGGGCTCCTGAGCAAGGCCCTTAACCCTAACTGCTCCAGGAGCGCAGTACAATGGCAGACCCTGCGCTCTGACCCCAAGCTTCTCTCCCTGTCTGTGTGTCTGTGTCTCCATGGAGAAAAGCTGGGGTATGCGAAAAGATGAATTCCTGAAATTGTATAGGGCTAATAAAGAAACATTATTATTATTATTATTATTATTATTAAATGTCTGTAGGTTAAGACTGCATTAAAGGCCAGTTCTGTAAAGGTGTTGAGATCTTAACATTTAAGTCATGCAGAAGCAAAAAGACAATACAAAATGACGTGTGTTGCATAATACAAATGGATACCTATCTAAAAGGGTATTATTTTTTTTCCACAGTGGAGGAAGTGCTTCATGTAGATGTTTTGGATGCTGTATGATTTTAAAAGGATGACCTTGGTTGTACCCATGAGATCTTCTAAATGTGCATTTTGTGTACAGAGTCATATTCAGCTACAGTGTACCCTCGCTTTAATGAGCTAATAGAGAGGAAGAGAGGTCCGGTATTGCAGTCTGTCCATTAAATTACCAATGAGATATTTCAAGCCCTAAAAATACACTTGTTTATAAGAACAAGTCTTACTGAATGAAAGAAATATGCTTACTGAATATGTATATACTGTAGATGACTGCAATATCTGTGATGTAAAAATAATTCTTTAACACTTAAGCTGCTGATTATTTTTTCTTATAGACCCTCAAATTTGAATTACTAACTGTTTAAAAGACTTGGCTCTCTTGCTACGATACATAGCTATATACAGGTTTCTCCAACATTCCTACCTCTATAGTCCCTGACAGAATGAATTAAATGTGAATATACTGAAGGTCTGCACAGAACCCAAAAATTTACAGGAGTTGCTTTTCTGCTGAGAGGACCCTAGCTGACTGATGCCCACACTACCCTGGCAGTGCTTTGCCAATGTAGATCACTGCATGGGGAATCCCAGTCACAGTCTGTTGGTGACATAACCCAGGCTTCAACTAGCATTACAGTCTTAACTGCATAAAATCTTAACAATAGAGTGGCCTTCAGTTGCTATGTGTTTGTTTTCCAGGCACATGCTTCGTGTTATGTAATTATAGCCCCCGAGTGTAATTTTGGAAGGCTGAGAAACATGATTCTTCACCCCACCTGTGTACGGATCTGCTCCAGAAACTTCAGCAAAATGCACTGTTATCGCATCTCGGAGAGCTTCCAGACTGAGCTAGGTAATTTGCAGCTTTCAAATCCCATTCCTAAGTTCATCCTATCTCCACTTCTAGCAATGGGAGGGAGTGTATGCTGAACATCCCAGCCTCAGTTTATTAGCAGAGGTAACAGTCAACAAGACTTGTATATTCCGGTTCACCAAACTGTTTCATTCCACCAGTCAGGGGATAACTTTTTGCTCTTTTTAATCTTTTGAGCAGTTCATAATTGGTTTGATCAATTCTTACATTTCCTCTGATTAAAAAAATTACCTGTTTCTTCACTGTTCCACGAATGTCATTAAATAATATTTTTCCAATCTCGCATTACTGAATGTGTTTTGTCAACCAAATACAATCATGTTGTTTGCAGAACGGTTAAAGAGTCTGCTGCTGTTGTCCCCAGGATTGTAAGGGCTTTCTGTCGTACTTCAGTTTGTTTTATGAAAGAGAAAGAAATGCTTATATTTCTTAAAAGATGCAAGATGTTGCATGATTTTTTATGTGTGGTAAATTACAGTTCATTGATTTCCCTTCCAGATAACAGTGATGACATTGATGTCCCCAACCCAGGAACTACAAAAGAAACTCAGGCCACATCATCTCCGGACTCAAGTATGTTACAACGAAGTACCTTTTGTGTTTATTCAAGGAAATCCATGGTTTCATTATCTTCCCTAGTATTACAGGAATAAATGCATCTTAAAAATCAGAATTACATGTAAAGGAATGGTTTGTAGCAATTCCTTAAATAAAACCATTAGCTGTTTTTTCTACCTGTCCTGTTGAATAATAGTAATATAGGGGATCTTCCAACGTATTGAAACTTTTTTTTTTTACAGGCAAACAAACTCTCAAGGTGTTTGATGGTGATGATGCAGTAAAGCGCAACCAGTTTCGCCTTGTATCCATTCCCCGAATAACGAAGAATGAGGAAGTGGTTGTAAGGCTGCTTTGTTTTTCTCTCACTTATAACAGTTGGTTGCTGTTTAGGTTCTTTATGATTCTATTTATTGCACTAGAGAAATCTACTCCGGGGTTTCCATAACGTACAGCAGTGGTCTTGTACTGTATGTGGTGTGCCTGTACCCAGGTTCTACAGGTGGACATCCACAAAGATGCTTCCATTTCTGATCTTACCTAAAAGTAAAACTTCTGTGTTATATGATAAAATACTATTTGCATTAGTTTTTCTTTTCATTTGCTGATCTAGCCTGGTCTCAAAAGCCATTCTTCCAAAAGACTGGGAGAACAGAAGTTTCACTGGCTACCCTTACAACCCTGTTTCCCTGAACAAGCCACAGTACTGAGTAATCCTGTGATGAACTAACCTGTCCTTAAGAGTTCGATACCCAAGCCACTTCAGTTATGTGCATTTTTTGCAAGTTTAGCTTGTTCATCGAATGAGACCTCTGTACAGGTCCCAGAATTGTAGCTAATTGTATCTGTACAGAGAACCCCACAATCTTAACTCTGAGACATGACGAAGAACACTGCGATGTCTAAGGCTGTATTGCTGTTTACAGGGAACCACAGTTATGACAGCAACCTAATATTTCCTTTCAAAAATGCAACCATTGTCTCATGATATATGTATCCCCAAGCTTTCGCAAGGACAATGTTGCTAACTTCCATTATTTGAACCATTTCAACATAATGAATGTCAGCAGTGAGGACTGAACTACCGCTTTGAAGATTTCTTGAACTGATACCCATGGAACAGAGGCAAGGATAAAAGCTATTTTAGTGGAGGAAGGTCCAATCTATGAATTGGCTTCATTCCTCTGCTCTCCTCACCACTGATAGCTGATGTGTGGTGAGCGTTCTGGCACACTAAGGCTGCCGTCGCACCATCCAGGTGGATGCTGCACATTGGTGGTGGTGGAAGGGAGTCCCCATTATCTGTAAAGCGCTTTGAGTGGAGTGTCCAGAAAAGCGCTATATAAGTGTAAGCAATTATTATTATTATTATTATTATTATTTCCCATTGTCAGGTTTAATTGTGTAAGTGAGCCAATGGGGCAGTTGCAGTTTAGATACTGCTTGGCACTGGTATTTCTTTCCAAATCAGACAAACCACTTGTCTAATCTGCTGTGCACTGTAGATTGCATGTTGATGCTAGACAGGGCTATGTGTATGCAGGTACAGCTCCATACCTGATGTGAATGCAGGGGAAAAGAAAGCCTTCTGCTCAATGTACTGATTTGCATCAAGAGCAGAGATGGTCTTAGGTAAAAGTCTAGTTTAGTCTGAAGGACATGCCTACTCTGCTGTTAGCAAAACTATATATATATAATAAACTCTTCCAGCTGAGGTAATGGCAGCAGAGTAGTCTTCAAGGTCAGAAATTCAAACTCAACTAGATGAAGAGGCTCAATTTTAGGATGTCTCAGCACTAGTGGTCTGGGAACCAAGTTTAGTCACTTTACCATCTCAGGAAATCTCAGCCCTCCTGCAGTAGACAGCAATTTGCATTGCAGAGCAGAATCTGCAAGTTCGAAGTCTTCTGTTCCAGATACTTCTAAATTCCCAGACAAGACCACAGTCCAAGACCAGTTTTTACATGTGTACTCTCAATTGATACCTGGGCTGATTGCCCTTCATACATTTGAGGTAACTTATATTTCCCAGTGGACTTGAAGGATTTGTTTACAATCAAATACAAATGCAGGAAAGTAGCTTTTTTGCCCTTTCAAGATGAACCAGCTGGGATACAGGTGCTACAATTCAGTCACTCCTTTGAGTTTCCTCCATAAGCATGTTCATTCTGAAACCCAATTCTGTTTCCAACTGACAGCTGATTGGGGGAAAAAAGAGTCACCCGACCCGATCCTTTTTTGGAGGATGTAGACTCCAGAATGTGGATAGTCGTGTTGCATACCACAGCACATTCTGTCCTACTTCTCCCCGGTATGATGCATGCTCAAGAACCTTGTTGCTGAGCTGGTGAAAGCAGTACAGAAATAAATTTATACACGGTCACACACAAATTGTCAGCATTGTGTCCAGAGTGTGGTCTGGTGTTGCCCCTACAACCCACACAGGGTGCACAGTCCTGATAAGTCTGTAAAATGCACATAATGTGGAAGAAAGGCAGTGCACCTATTGGCAACTGTTGTATATCTCTCAAAGCACCATGAGATGAAAAATGCACTGCTTGATCCACACGCCAAAAGATTTGGATACCGGAAGAAGCAGAAGACAGATGCTGTTGTACAACAACAAGGTCACTTGCTGAAGGTTATGTTGGATATGTGAAAGGAAACTTCAGATCAGTTACAGTTTGTTGCTTTTACACATGTATGCACTTAGAGAAATCTTTTGATTTTGTTCTTAAATAAAACATGCTACTAGTTTATAACTTGCAATAGCAATACACAGCTTTAATCCCTGCAAATCGAACAAATATTTATGTGAACTTTCATATATAGTTATAATGAAGAAATCTTCCTTAAATTGTGGTTATTTTACTGAATTCAGGAGGCTTTCCACAGTGATGTAAATAGATACCTTTAGGTGGCCAAATTGGTTGGCTTTAAAACAACAAAGAATTAGCGATTCTAAAGTTATGAAAAAAGTTTGAGTACTAGAAGTGGCATGACCTCTGTGTGGCTCCTGCAGGAAGCAGCATTACGAGCTTTCTACATCCCTGAGGAACCCCAGGACTACGAACTCCAGATTTACGGGCAGCAAGGGCTCGTGAGTGAAGATATCATCAACCGCAACGGGGCCACCGACAACAAGGCCCTGTCCGTGTTCAAAGACTACATGCCAGAGGCCTGGATCCTGCGAGCCAAGCTGAAGGACAGCGATGTGCTCAAGATCTACGCAGGCTGGCTGAAGTGAGTTTCACCGTCTTCGTTGGAGGCCAGGACATTGTTCACTCTCAGGCTGGGGCTTAACAAGCATCACCTTGGGATTTTCAGTTCAACATGCGTAACTCCACTATGAGCCCTTCTTTGCCATGTTTGTTTAGTATTTGAGAGCAAAATTTGAGCAGTTTGAGCTCTGAGCCTGGGATACAGCTAGTTTCAGTCTGGACTGAGTCGCTAGACAGCAGTGACCAGGATCCCCCCCCCCAGTGGTGGCTCATGTTTGGCAGAGTGTCACCGGGGCAGAGTGGACGATGGCAGCCGGGGTCCAGCAGTTAGTGACTGACGTTAGGGAGTCACTAACTGACATTATGACATAAACACTCCTCTTTGGTACTTGAATTGCATCTTAAAATGAGCAGGAGTGTGTCTGTAGGTCCATGCTGTCTCAGAGTGGGTATGGGCATAGCTGTAAAGTGGAGTGATTTTACGCATCTGAGTACTGCAAATTGGACGGCATATTTAAAAATGATATTAATTTAATTTAAAGGTAAACTGGCCTTTCTTGCAATTGTTTCTCAGGGATTAGGAATACATAATGTTAAAGCCAGCAGATTAGTATTAACAGCAAATAAGTAACAGGACACTAGAAGTTTTGGATTTTTTTCCTTGGCCTGCTTAATCACAGCGTGAGTATTTGTGCAGACAGAGTAGTGCATAAGTGCACTCCAAATTTCATGTTGAATCAATCGCACATTGCTAAGTGGTTTTATTCCCATAGCAAATATAACTTTTTAAGTTGTGAATACTAAATCAATAAAACAGCAGACGGCTCAACATGGAATGTGGCAAGTCCAAATGGTTCATTTTTGCCAGACCTTGGGTACATGAGAGTGAAATCTCCCTCTAAGATCCCTCGATGTTTTTATTGCTTTGTTTTTCAGGTCATTTGAAGCAATGAAAAGGGTTGTGTTTTTCACAGATATGCAGAGGATTTGTAAAGCAACCAGCTTCTTAAGTGCACTTACAGTGCGGTGCATTGCAGTTTTTATCAGTAGCTTTAAGTAAGAAAATGAACAGAGGTCTGACGAGCCTGTTGACTCTTCATCCTTCCATCTATTTTGTCACCCCTTTTTCCAGTACAGGATTGTGAGGGAGCCAGAGGTTATCCCCACAAGCAATGGGCGCAAGACACCCTGGGTGGGATGCCAGTCCATCCTAGGGCGCAGACAGGCACAAGCACATACACTCTCACACCAGGGCCAGTAAACCTACCAGTATGTCTTTGGACTGTGGGAACAAACCAGAGGAATCTCACACAAACGTGGGGAGAACGTACAATCTCCACGTAGATAGCACCCCAGGGACTGAACACTGTGCCACTGTACCATGCTCCTCCTAGATCAACTGATCACATTAGGTCATTTAAGATTCACCTGAGACAAAACGAGAAGATCTATAGTCTCTGTACTGTAAGCCAGTGCTGCACACCCCTTACCTAAAGCAGAACCTCTTTTTTTAATCAGTCTTAAGTCATGGTTTTTGTGTGGCCTTAGAATCACTGTTTTTAAGTGTTTTTGCTAAGGTTATTTGGTAGTTTACGTATGTCCCGGTTGTGTCTCCTTTGTCATATGAGAAATAATACATCTGAGAAAAAGTGTTTCTTGAAGCTTTCTAGTTCATTATTCAAAAATCCGTATCTTTCAGCTCATTCCCCATAAAAAAAAACAGGTGGTAATTGAAAAGTGTTATAAGAGTAGAAGTACAGTGTCTCTGAATATGAAGTAAGGACTGGGTCGTGTTTCAGGTTCTTAAGTTATATGTGCATCTTAGACGGCTGGCAATTCTGTTTGTGTTTGTCATATTTAGTTTTGTTTTTCAAAACTAATCGTGATCCAAAAGAATGTGCCCGTAGGTTTTGTTGTGTTACTAAGCATTTCTATCCACATCCACAGTTATTGTTTGAAAAGCCACAGGGTGTGTAGAATTCTTCAGATTTAAATGCAATGCCATAAAGGCGAAGTTGAGCAGAGCTGATGGGGGTGGCTTTAGTATGCATAGAATGCTTTGTAATTTGCTTTAAAAATAGGGGTTGGTTGACTTTAAAACACCAAGTTGAAGTCAGTGTAGACCGAATAGTTTGTGGGGTATTTTCTTAGCAGTTATTGGATTAAAGTTTTTTTTTTGCATGTGCAATGATTTATCCATGTTCCAAAGAGAGGAGCCCTGCTTACATGTACAACATCTTTTGAATGGTTATAATAAAGACCTGGGATATGACTCCATTAAGTAGTATAGGATTATTTGTAATAGTCTTTTTATCTGTATAAATTCCAAGTTTAACTCTCATGTTTAAGCATTTCCACAACAATACTGGTTTATTTACCACTGTTTATTATTTCTCTCTTTCGGTGGGTGCGGTTGTATATCAAAATTTCAAACACTAACCCTTTGATGAGCAACATAATTACTGCTGTGAATGTGTCTCTGTGGAGATGGAAAAGTTCAGTGTAGTTTGCCAGTATGATGATTTACCAAAATGTTGCCGATTAGCAAAGTGTCAAACATATTGATCTAGGGCAAAATATTTTGGGTTTTTTTTTTCTAGTAGAATATTCCGGTTGTTGACATGTTTAAATGTTGGATGAAATGCCAAAGAATGTGTCCAAGCTAGTTTCTCTTCTTTTCGTGCTCCAGACTTGGAGTGGCGTATATCTCCATCTCCCTAAAAAAGACAAGCACAGTGGATTCAGTTATCAGAGACGTTCTTCAGCAGCTTGGAAAACAGGTAAATCTCAGGAATTCCTTCATCTCACTGAAACAGAATCTATAATAATAAGATTATTCTTAAATTGTCAGTGTAGATAAAGCCTTATTTATCTAAAATTAGAAAACTGTAAATGTATCCGGTTTGGTAAAAGAACACTGGACATTAGCTTTTACCTTTAAGCAAAATCTTACCAAGTAAATCTGTACTAAAAGTACGATGGAATTACTGAAGTACATTTTATAGAGAGTTACAAAGCCACACCACACTTTTTGATTCTAAAGTTCTGCCAGGCCATAGAATTGTGGAGATTGTAGAGAGAAAAACATAAGAAAGACTCAGAGGAGGCCATTCGACCCATCTAATTTGTTTTCCGTTAAGAGTATTGATTTGAGAGTCTTATCCATCTGTTTCTTGGAGAGTCTCAAAGTATTGGCTTCTGAACTGAAGGAACTATAGATAGTTCATTTTAAATGTTCCAGCAAAAGTTCCTCAATGATTAATCAATTTAGGAAAGTGCTGTTAAGTGCCAGATTTGAAAGAACATGCAGAATTGAAGATAGTTTTTCAACAGGTAGACAATTCTCAAGCCCTGCTTGAGAAGGGGAGATAAATATTGCGATGCACTACTTATACTTTGTGTTTTCTCATATTCTATTGTTTTTTTCATTTCAGATAAATCATAGCAATATCCCTTTCTTAATTCTTTATATAGACAGAGAACAACAAAAGTGTAGTTCTGAGTTACCCCAAAAAAGTGTTTAACTATGTGTCTTTGACTCCTTTATATCTGATTAGGAAGAAGACCCTGAAGGTTTCAATCTGGTAGAGGTCTACATGGGCAGCAAGCAAGGTAAAGCCTGGGTCTGTTCCTTTGTCATTAATATTTGTATCCCAAATCTGAGTTGTAAATGTAAAGTTGTGTAATGGTCAACTGAGATAAAGATATGGTGATGATAGAATGGCGAGACATTTTTTAAAATGTTTTTAAAAAATGTTTTTAAATAGGCAACTTAAATTAAAAATCGGTGTTAAATCCATGACATTCCAAACTGCAGCAGATGCCAGACTGTTAAGACATGTCATAGAAATTAGATGGGAAACAGATGTTTACCTTCACAGCCTGGTCTAGCAACAAAGTCTTAATTTTTTGGCAAAGGAACATCTTTATGACAAAATCCCGTTATGCAGTCAGGTTATGTTCCATGCTGGGCTAGAGAAGGTTTGCTGATTTGCATGGTAGACTTAATGCAAAGAGTTCTGAGGCTGTGCTGATGTGTCTAACAGGACAGCCCTGTGTTTATTCCACTGGAATGTAAACATTAGAATGGCAACCAAATATCAATAGCAATTCAATAAAATTTTGAGGTGAAATGTACAGTAAATGTCAAAGCAAATCTGCAGATGTCTAGAGTGAAAAGAGGTAGTTGATAATTTTCATACAGTTTCATTTGCAGTAATTGGAGGTTCTAGATTTGTGGGGAAAAAACACCTGTTCCTGTTCGTGTTTGTTTCTTTTACAGTTCAACGGCAAGTGCTGACGAATCAGGAACTTCTGCTGGAGAAAATTCAAGACATTCGAAAGGTACTTAAGAACATAAAAAGATTAAACAAGACAAAAAGGAAAACAAATCTATTCACTGCTCTCCAAAAATCTTCTAAGACGCAAGCAGGTATTACAATTTATAATTAACAGTTCATGCAAATGGTCATTACTGTTTTCTATAATCATTCTGTAATTAATGCTTGTCATTAAAAATTGAGTGAGAAGCTTGCGATTTAAAACTTTTAATTCACATCTGAATTAATCTGAATTTTCAAAAACATGATAACTCAGTGAGTTATAATGAGCACCTCATATGAAGTATTGTATTCATTAATCATTCACAGTTACCAGTTAAATTTCATTGTTGGGTGTTCATTTTAAATGTTCCAACAAAAATTCCTTAATGATTAATCAATTGAAGAAAGTGGTGTAAAATGTCAGTTTTGAGAGAACATGTGCATAGTAATTGAAAAGATTTTTCTAACAAGTAGCCCATTCTCATGCCCTGCTTTGTGATGGAGAACAGGTGAATATTGAGATGCAAGGCCTTCTACATATACTTTGCATTTATACAAAGGATAACATAACAACATCACTTTATTAGCCCAATACAATTTCTTGCATTAGGAATTCGTCTATTCAAATACCCCAGCTTGCTCTCCATGAGACACAGACACACAGAGAGTGAAGTTTGGGGTCAGAGCACAGGGTCAGCCATTGTACAGCGCCCCTGGAGCAGTTGGGGTTAAGGCCCTTGCTCAAGGGCCCAACGGAGTAGGATACCTCTGCCGGCGCAGATCCTTAGCCACAGAGTCACCGCTCCGCCCGTTCATACAAATACAAATGGTCATTGATATAATTTCTTTCTCTTTGTATAACTATGAAGTTAAAAGGCTACATTCATACTACAACATAGACCTGTCAGCTATAAAAGTAAGTTTTAAACAAAATGGCTGAAATTTCAGGAGATCACAAAGGTATGTCTCTGTCAAGAAGAAATTACAGTAGTGTGTATATTAATAGATATTACAGTATTTCAGTGAGTTCACTGTACGTGACGTTGAATGTGAATCTGGGTTTACTGCTAAATAGCTAATTTCTCTTCTAAAAAATAGAAATGTCTAATAGCAAATCATAAAACCTATTTTCTTATTTTCTTCACATAGGATGAGTCCTCTGTGCTTTACAGCTTAGTTGTCTCCACACCTCATTTTCACAATGCAAATGCACATCTTCTTACGAGTGCATAGATTTCCTTTTCTAAGTCAATTTTACAGAGTTTGGGTAGAATACACACACATCCGATCCTTTATAAGGTTGTGAGCAGAAAAAAATGTTCTCTTGCACATGTATTTAAATGCTTCAAGAAAATATTTATTGTGACACACACACACACATACGTAGAACGCTATCAACAGTGACTGTTTGACTGCTTATTTTGCAATGAATGTGTCTTTGAAGAATTTAAATTGTGTGTATCTGCCAGACCTCTCTGAGGCAGATGAACCAGACCCGGTTCTACATTGTGGAGAAGAAGAACACAGTGGTCCAGGTATCCCTGCTGGTGGGCGGCCTACCGGCCCAGTTGAACAACAGCGAGTACACAAAACTGCTTCAGGAGCACCTTGCAATCAAGAGTGAGTGTACACATGTGGGAAGTGCAAACCAGCACAAAACTTCCAGGGTTAAACTGATGAGAAAGCTTATTTGTTTATCCATTAAGAGCAGACATGCTTTGTGCAAACATAACCGAGGAGGAATCATCATAAAAAGTCCTCTGATTGGTGTCACCCTGATTTTTCAGGGACCCACTCCTTGAAAAAGACCCCTAGGTCAAACCCATTAACGAGTTAAAACCAGATTATTGAATTTTCGAATGGTGCTTTTGGTCTATTTCTCAGAACTCAAGCTTGACTCTGGGACCACTTGGATTGTTTGTGTGGACCCCAAAAAGATTTAAAAACATTTAGTTTTTTTGTCATGGGAACAAAGTGCACATTGTGGACTTTGACTTCGACTTAGAAGAACTTTACTTTTCCACGAGGATCTTCATTTGTGTTGCTGGGTTCATTAAAACACACATCCTTCAAACATGCATACAGACATACAAAAAACACATTCCAAATCCATGTAGCATAAAAACAGGACGCACTTTAATAAAAAATATGGTCAGCAGTGCAGTGTATTATATACTGTGTATACCCACTAATATAATGAAACAGGTGAATTAATTATAGGAAAGCTGGTGAAAAAAGGATAGGAGGGAAAAGGTATGTCTATCATTTTAAGCATCTCCTTTTTTATGGTGAAGAATAGGACATAGAGGAAACCCTTAGAATTCAGCAGTCTAATGGACGCAGACATGAAGCTAAAAAGGTCTGCTTAGCCTTCATAGGCAGGGACTGTGTCCTGCATCCAGATGGTAAAATGGCATACAGACTACAGAGGGAGTGAGTAAGGTCAAGGCATATATCACTGCCCTTTTTGTATGTTCAGATAATATAAGTCTTTAAGACCGTGCTGCATAGTGCCCATTATCTTAGAGATACCACTGCAATGGTAAAAGAACCAAACCAGAGTGCAATGCTGAATTCATTTATAAAAGTTGTGCTTTATTAGAATTCACTTTCCTCAGTTTATGTAAAAAATACAATCTAGACTGACATTTTGAGATGACTTCACAGTTTTCTCCAAAACTAAGTTTGTTATCAATAATAATACCAAAGGGATGTGTAACTGTTCACACTATACTGCTATTGATGAGTATGGCTTTAGGACTGTGAGGTGTTCTTCCAAGGCTGATGGGCATTTTCTTTTGTTTTACTAACATTCAAGTCAAGACAATGATCCCTGCACCACAGGACAAAGCTATCAGTTGTAAGCTGGGGTCTACACGTGTGTCGTCTTTTTAATATCTCTTCCAGTTTCAGGATGTAGGTTTCCACATAGTTGACTTTTGAGGTCATGCGGAGACATAAAAGTGAAAATTTAATACTGCACAGCAGTTTTTTTTCTGAAATACTTTGCTTTACATTTTACTTTTGTGTACATAGTTTTTATAGAATTAGTATGCTTTAGAATATCTTCTGTCATACAATACGATAATGATTCAATAATCCTTACACTTTTATTGTTCTTTTATGATGAACAGTTTTATTTATAGCTTTTCACTATTAAAGATCAGTCATTATCTGAGAAATTATGAAGCCTTTTGAAATTAATATCATTTTTAAGTACATTGGATTGGGGTGGGTTAAAATCCAGTGAATTTCATACTGTAGCATACTTCATACCATAGCAGTTGTTTTATAGGTAAGCCGTCAACAATTTGATTTGTTTTCTGTTTTTTAGGTCATCTGGTTTCTCTTGCTCACATTTATACAGGACAAGGTGGGTCAGTTGTCGTGTATGTCACAAAAATCCTGTGCCTTTAACCCTGTGAATTAAAAACAGTTTGAACTAAAGCCACTCTACTCTGGACAAAATATAATGTACAGTATGTCCATTCATTTGGTAGCAGCTCTTATTCAAAACTGGCAGTGGAGAACATGTTTACAGCTTTCAGTGCCTAATAAAGCATCACATATCTCGAGACTGAACTAAACTGTAGTGTCCACATGTGGGGGTTAAAAACAAAGTCAAATTTCTTTTGTGTTTCTTTCAAGCTTTTAGCCTTCAAAATTCTTTTGGTGGGTTTGACCAGAAGCTTATTATCAGAAAAAATAGGTGCGATAGTCTCTTTAGGTTTTATTTCTCCACCTGTCCTCTTGTTTGTCTGTGAACTAACGTCTGCACTGTACACTTTGCATATTATGTATGACAAAGTTACTGCTGTCACGTTTTTGTAAGATGTCAGTCTGGGAAATCATAGGTCCTACCTGTGATTCACTTATTACCCCAAGCTTTAATGTCAGCATCTGTGATTCTTTACACCCACAGAAAAGCTTTTGTGCTCAACGAGGCCCACCTGATTAATAACTTATTTGAATTCCCAAGATAGCTTTGGGTTAAGGGTTTTATTTTTTTTATCCTTTTTTCTTTGCTTAGTGTGTCACAGGAATGTAGGGCTAGATATTTAGTCATTTAGCTGCAGCTTTTTGACAGAAGGGAATCTGCCAGCACTGCTGAAGAGGAATAATTCTCCTGCAAATTACCTATACAATCTAGTGCTGACTAATCCACAGCAAGTGGCTAGTGTATGTCCCTTTTCTATCATACAGTTGGTTTTTCCCATTTTCTCTTGCTTTAAATTCTTTCTTGAATTTCTTCTTGCTCTGTCGGAGGGTGTTGTCATTAATGCCAGCCAAAGTTTTGTATTTTAAGGGTTTTATACTTTTGTTTTCAGAATCTGTTTTTTCTTTAAACTAATTTGCTTATAACGTCTCTGGAGAGCCTCCAGGATGGCTCAGCCAGTTGTCACGGGTTCGAGCCTGGGTCAGACCGCCAGCCAGCTGTGACTAGGATTCCCCGTGAAGACAAGCACCTCTGAGGGAAGGGTGGACTAGTGATCAAGGTCTCTGTCGGTTCTCAGTGACACAGTGACCCCTGCAGCCTCCCAGGCTGTGGTACACATGTGATGCTGTCTGGGATGTGTTAAATAGACACAAGTGTCTTGAAGGAGGTTGGGTTGAAGCAGTCTGTTTATACTCCCTCATTCTCCCCTACACTATATGTGGGGTCACAAGACACTTAGATGTGAAAAACCCACATCTGGCTATTCCGAAATGGGGTGGATAGAACAAAAACAACAGGCAATTATACATTTTTAAAAATGCCTTTAGAAGGTATCATAGAATATGGAAATATGGTGAAGGATGTACATTGTACAACAGGTCATAAACCTCTTTTGCTCTTGGCAAACTAAATCCTGGTGAATGTGTTTTAGGAGCTGTGGCACTGGACATATCCTGTTTTTCGGAAGCTGAGAGGATATACATGCTAGCCAAGGACACTACAATCAACGGCAAGCAGCTGTATTCGTTAGTCATTCCTGAAATTATGGTAAACTATTTTTCTCCCATTTTCATTTCTTTGAGTGCAGAATTTAGCCGTGATAGTGTTTGTTAAGCAGCAGTAACAAATAAATCATTATTATTTTAATTTACATTAGCAGCTTTTGATCATTTGTGCTTTTGACACATATTTCTAACTTTCTAGGAGTCATGAATATGGCATGTTTTGTATAAAACTGGAACTAAAAGAAAATTGTTCACTGCTTTTTTTATAATGCGTAAAAAAAATGAAATTCTAAGAGCATTACTTGGGTTTTACAAACCAATAGCTTGAAACACAGCAAATGTTTTTACCTGCTGTGTTGATGACTGAATTGGACTTCAAAGACCTCTTGCATACTCTAGTGCAGACATAAAGTATTGCATTCTTAGTCTTGTCTTATCTCTTACTGTGGCAGTTTCACATCAGTAAATAGTGACACCTGCTGTCGTGTATCAGTATGGAATGCGAACTACTGTATGATGACTTCTTAAATACTTAATAAGGTTAGCTAAACAAAAGAATAATTAAATAAAACCCATTCATTTTATACAACCAAATATCTGATTTATTAAAGACTGGGGGCAGCACAGTGGTGCAGAGGTTAGCATTGCTGCCTCACAGTGTTGGCGCTCCTGGTTTAATTCTGGACCTGGGATGCTTCCTGCGTGGAGTTTGTATGTTTTTCCTGAGTTCCCATGGATTTCCCACCCAGGGCTCTGAATTTGTCCCACAGTCCAAAGACATGCTGGTTGGTTAATTGGATTCTGGGAAAACTGGAACTCATGCGAGTCTGTGCCTGTGTATGTGTGTGTGCCCTATGATCAGCTGGCGTCCCTTCCAGGGTGTGTCTTGCCTTGAATCCATTGCTTGCTTTCCATATTGGATTAAGCGGTTGTCCAAAAGTGGAGGGACAGATTTGTGGCTAGAGAAGATGTAACACACTGATTGTTTTTTTTTCCATTTTTTTTGTAGCATAAGAAACTGCCGCGGGATTGCTGCCCCTTGCTTGTATTTGTAAATCCCAAAAGTGGCGGACTTAAAGGTCGCGACCTCCTCTACAGTTTCAGAAAACTACTTAACCCTCACCAAGTCTTTGAACTGACCAGTGGAGGACCTTTAGCCGGGTAAAGATACATCATATAATCTTGCTAGATTTTGACTACGTTAAGGTCCTATGGAAACAAAATATGAAATAATGTATAAAGTAAATCTCCCGGTGTGTTTTAATTCTTTGTTACTTTTACAAAAGCTTCTACTTCAGAGCACAATTTCAAATTTTCAGTTTTGTCTTCTATCAACTTCCGGACAACAGTTTTAATGGTCTGATCTGCTAATATCATCGGCACTGCCAAACCAGGAGGGAGAAATGTAATACAAATACCTCCCACCACTTTCAGTTGATGCTGAATAAAAGTAAGAAAAAAATAATTGATTTAAAACATAGCACTCAGTACTAGAAACTAAGTACAACTTAATAATTATATTTGAACATTGCATATGGTGGTGATTGGCAAGGTCATAGCATGCTATCATCAAGAATTGTTTTATGTCTTTCTAGAAGTATTTATTTTCCTTTTTAAATGAACTGGTTAATTGAATTAAGAAGGGTGTTTTGTTTATTTGTACCCAAAATGCACCACAGACTTAAGGTCACATTTGAAAAGACAGGGTAAATAAAAATGAAACACACTACCAAAGTGGAAATTCAAATTAATCACTAGGGCATTTTCAATAAAACCTATAGTCAATGCCTACTACAGTCATAAGTATTGAACTGGAGACTATATTTGACAGCTCCTGAGGAAGTCTTATAAAAGGAAAATGATTAAGAATATAACTTTGACTGCACAGTAGCTAGATAGCAGGTAAAATGTAATCAACCAGCATGATTTAAAGTGACTCAATTTCAACTTACAGCCACCTACAAAAAAAACTAGAGTTTATGAAAAAGGTGAAGAGACTGGAGAAAGACAGCAAAAGTTCTTCAAAAGGAATAAAAATATCACCATTCATAACTATAACTAGTAAACAGTTATCAGTACAATATTTAACTATGGTTACTGTTCTTAATTTTTTTTTATAGTTTAAAAGTTCTTTAATTACAATTTTACAGGAGCTCATTTTTCTAAATAAAAGTCAAGTGTCAAATTAGCCTGTCTGTTTCAGAACCTTTTCCCCTCTTTCCACTGTCCAAACAGTTTGGGTGCTGTTTTACTGACTAGTGCTCAATACTGACTCATGAACAATCTTCGTTCTTTAAGGTTTTGCAAAGAGGTATTTAAACAAATGAAATCTGTCACTAGGTAGTAACTGTTTTTGTCTCAGTTTACAATATTATATAATTGTTATCATATCAGGATTATACAAATTATTTAATTATCCCTTTCTTCTCTTTCTTGATACCAAAACAGTTAGTCTGAATGCAGGTAACATCAGTGTTCTTGTGTGATGTGTGTAATTTTAATTGTAACACTTTAGCCTGGAGTTTGTGAATTACATTCTGTATATTCTTTTTAAACTGCAGTTTATCACCATAGCATTAGTAGGTTGTGCTTAACCTGGAACTTACCCCTGATAATGTTACATGACATTTTTATTTAATAAGTCAATTTGTTGTGTGTAAGTTCTTTATGAAATAATGGTTGTGTTAAATGTTTGTACACATTGTATTTAGAATGCAATTTTAACCCCTGAACTGAAGCATTTCCCCTTAAAGTAACTTTTACTTTCCTCTGTGACATGTTCGGAAACCAGATTTTTATAGCTCAGATTTACTGAGTTTTCCAATACATACAATTTTTAATTAATAAGATGAAGAATGTTGCAATTTAGAACACCTGCCGATCCTCTCCCTCTTTGAAGAGTCAAAGTACATCACTAGAAGATCAGAGATGCAACATGATCATATATTGAAGGAGCATTTTTTATGTTCCATTGTTTTTTATGTTCTATAATATGTTCAAAGTATGTTCAAATTAGAGCAAAGTATCAGGTTAAATATTTATTTTTGAAATCTTGAAAATAACCTCTCAGTTCTTCCAAAGGCAATTTAATGGCAGTTTAATGGAAAAAATACCATTATTGTTTCTTGGGGGAAAAAATCATCACATTGGAATGGATGGAAATGCTTCGCATTGCAGAGTAATTGGAAGTCATATCTTGTAATTATGGAGGTGGTGAAAGACGTCTTGGCATGTTCTTTGACAAACCAACAGGGCCAGACTAATCATTCTCAAGGTCACTGTGGGACGTTCTCTGTTACCCATAGAAAGTTCTGCATGTTATAGTGTAGATGAAAGACAAATTGCACTTCAGTCATCCTTGTTTCCTCTCTCTTTCCAGGCTGCACACCTTCCGGGAGGTGCCGTATTTCCGAATCCTGGTGTGTGGAGGGGACGGCACAGTGGGCTGGGTACTGGGTGTGCTGGAGGAAGTTCGGCACAAGCTGACGTGCTCAGAGCCGGCCATTGGCATAGTGCCCCTGGGTACAGGTGAGAATGAGGCTAAACCCCCCAGTTTGAGTTCAGATCTTACCATCTGTGTCTAACCAAAGAGCAGAAGCCAGATCTGTCATGTGCGGATGACACTTGCATACACAGGTGTGGAGGATACCGAAAAAATGGTTTTGCTTTTCTGCTACGTCTGTACGGGGTTATGCAAGGGTCAAAGCTCCTGAGCCCTGAAATGCATCAAACTTCTTTGGGAGTCTGATTTCCAGTTTTAAATGGAAGTGGGCAAAATCCCCTTTATTATTTTTTGGGTAAATGCGCTACGCCCATCTAGTGTAGTGGTAGAGCGAGGGAATATTGGTTGTGTTCTTTCAGATTTCCTTCTCTTAAACCATATTCACAAAATGAAGTAAGGAGGGTAAAAAGCACACAGCAGCCCTGAAAACCACATAATATTTCAGTCTGTTTTCCTGGTTTTCATTACATATTTGTTTTATGTGCATTTTGTACGGTCATGAACAATACCAAAAAAGAGGAAATGCAAGTTATCATAATAAACTTTAGTCAAATAGTCATGCAATAAACAGTGGGTATAATTGACTTCAGATGTTATTTCTTAAGAAGATTTACTGATCTGGTTGCTCATTCTAGCCTTAACATTGCAGGTCAGGATCTTCTGGTATCCCTCAAATCACTTTGTAATCTGTGACCAGGTTTAACTTGGATTTTTTATTTTTGTCAGAATTGTTCTATATCACTGCTTTGTGTTTCTTGAAAATCATTAAATTGCTTTAAAATAAGATTATTATCTTTGTTGTAGTAGTCTCAGGCATTTTTAGCTCTGTAGTCTTTACATGGGAATTTTTGAATTGTATAAGTAGTTAAATCTTATATGGACAATTTAATGTTAAAAAATTACAATTAAATCTAGTAGTTCCTTTACACTAAATTTTATAGGTATAGGGGAAGCACAAAGGATCTATGGTTAGCTTTGCTGCCTTGCAGTTCTGGATTCATTTCTTCGGGTACAATCTGTATAGAGTATGTACAGTATGTTCTCCCTATGTTTCTGTGGGTTTGCTCTGGGTGCTCTGGTTTCCTCCCACAATCCAAAGACATATTGGTAGGTTAATTGGCTTCTGGGAAAACTAGCCCTGTTGTGAGTGTATGCATGATTGTGACTGTGTGTGCTCTGCAGTAGACTGGTGTCTTGTCCAAGTTCTATATTGCCCTGCACCCGCAAATCACCACCGTGACCCTGAATTGGATAAAGCAGTTAGAAAATAAATTGAATTGATTAAATGTAACTGGATAACTGTAGTTGTACAATTTACCTTTTTCCACCAAAAGTTTGCATTATTCTTCTAAGTGTACCAACACACTAGGTGCTTCTAGTTTCTAGTTCACTAGATTTGTGATGTGGGTAAATTTAGTAGCAGACAGTAAGAGTACTGAAATAAAAATGTCATCTAGTCTTAGGTAAGCAATCGCCTAAAGTAGGACAGAGAGTAACTAACAAAACTGTTCAACTAGTATTCTTGGACAAATTCTCATGACCTGAAAAATTTGTCTTGCTGTTTCCCACACTCACGCTGACTCACGTGACATTCTGAGTCTCTCTTAGACCTAGATTGGACTGAGGTAGGGACTCAGTGAGGACTATCAAGATGCTGTAGAGAAAGTGGTGGTAGTAGACCGATAGGTGGCAGTCTTCACTCTGGACCAGAAATTCTAAACCAATGCCGCATTACGGTGGCAGGTGCCAGACTGTGTTCACTGCAAATCGTTTTATTAACTGAGCTTAAAGCTTCTGCAGTCTAGCCTACCTAGATTTTCTTTTTAAGCTGAAGTGTTAAAATAATTCCTCATTTCCTCACCTAGTTGACTCTGTACTTGAGTTAATAATGCATTGGGATTCCCTCAGTGAAAAACCGTCACCGTCTCTGTCTTTGCAGGCAATGACCTGGCCAGGGTTTTGCGCTGGGGGGCGGGGTACAGTGGGGAGGACCCTTACAACATCCTTGTCGCTGTGGACGAGGCGGATGAGGTGCAGATGGACCGCTGGACCATACTGCTGGATGCCCAAGAGGTGGTGGATGATGGGAAAGAAAATGGGATCTTGGAGCCACCTAAGGTAACCCGTGCTTTCTAAGGCTGTCTGACACACCTTGTATTAGCTGTGATCCCAAGTTTTTTCTCAATTTTTAGGAAGTAAAATATATCTAATACAGTTGTAAGATTTTATGATGAATGTGTAAGCATTTGTCAAGCTTTCTTCAGCTGCATATCTGGTGATGTGCCTTTGCCACACACGGTCTTATGCACCACAGTCCTTGCATGGTGAATGAAGAGACTCATCTCCTACTACTAAAGCTAAAGCTTTAGGATTGTCAGGGATAAAAACATTGCAGAAATGCAAAATGTGCTCATTCACAAAATTACAACCCTTAGATTAAAACACACAAATCTGTTTTAGTGCCCTAATGCTTAATTGTGTACATACAGTATATGTAAGACACACTTTAAGAACTCCCCCATACCCTAAGTGAAATCGAAATTTAAAACTTAAATGAGAAAGTTCAGCACTAACATTTTTTACTCATAAGTCTACTATATTCAAGTTTAGCACTTACAAAATGCTGTGTATGCACAAAACTATTCAAACAGTAACACAGCAGGGAAGTAAAAAGACTATTTACTAATCTACACCAGAGTTATGGTTACTATAAAAATATGAAATTAGTTGAACATTATATTTGTTTGGGCATTTTCTGATATATTCTCTTATTGTTGTAAATGTTTAGTTGTGAAAAATCAGCAAAAGATCTTGAGTCCAATCAAAAGTTTGTTGCGATGGCATTGAGTTTTATAATCATACAACTTTCAGTTCATGAGAGACTATAAAGTAACTACAGATCAGCCCAGAAAGCACACAAAATGAGCAGCAGTAATTAGGCAGTTGGTGAAGTAATTATAGTTTTATCTTGCAAGACAATCCGAATATTGAAAGCATTCATTAAACTGTTGCAGATCGTTCAGATGAGTAATTACTGTGGACTGGGGATTGATGCCGAGCTGAGTCTGGATTTCCACCATGCCAGAGAGGAAGAACCAGGCAAATTTAATAGCAGGTACTGCTGAAAATTTTCTCTGGTAGGAGGTGAGAGGGTGGCAGTCACCTGGGGTATCTTCAGCTTACAACGTACCAGAATCCCCTCGTGTTGCACTTTGCCTACTAGGATGTAACTGAAAAAGAAAACAGGTGTCTGTGTCAAACAGGTCTGGGAGAACATCTTATCTCATTCAACTGTGCTGGCAGAGGTCTGGCAGTAATAAACCCATTCAATTCATAAAAAAGTGGAACCATTAAAAAGAAATGGCTGACCATAAAAATCTGTGTTCATTATAAAAAAAACCTAACTAAATATCCTGTGTATCTCTGTGTTTCCCAGTCATAGAGGTATCCCCTGTACCTAGTGTTTTTCTTTTCACTAAATTCTTAATCTGGATGAGGCCTTCATTGACAAAGGAGTTTTAATGGCACTTGGGACTTGTTTATGAAATCTTCTTGTGTATGTTTTTTATAAATATTCCAAATAGCTATATTAATATTCTTAAAATTGCTGCATTCCTGTAGATTTCTACACAGTTGATCATCGATTTATGATGTGGGTACGCAGGTGGGAATGACATTATAGGCATTTTTAGTCAGACAAACAACTATTGTTTGAATTCCTCTTTGAAAACATCATGAGACAAAAGAGGAATTCTGAAAGTCATGTTTTTATCCCACAGATTTTTTTGTGAACATATTTTTCAGGTTTTCCCCCAGTCCATAATACATGAAATAGGAGAACAACCAACAACCCAGAGTTTCCAGTTAACCAGCAACGAAATCTGTTAAGTCAGACAAATGTTCCTTGAACTTTGCCAACAGCAGCTCTCCTTGGCCCCCTGGGTTTGTTCCAAATATCCCAAAGGGTTAAAGATCATATCTAACCTTCTTAGGATTCCAGAGCTGAAACTGTTTTTTTACAAGTAAAATTGTGCAGTTATGGTTTAATATGCTTAACGTTTCAAGACCTCAAATCTAACAGAAATCAAAATGTATAATGTGCAATTGTACAATAACAGTATACATGTGCTATGGATTTGACACATACTCCATGTACAGTATATAGAGGCTCATAAACTATAAAATTTAAGTTAATTTCAGGCCGTAAAATTGAAAAAGGTTTCATAAAGTGCATGTGATATGCAGTGTTCCAGAAAAAGGCCATTACATTTCCCTGAAAACAAGCAGAAAGAATTCTCCAAGTAATGAATTAAGTGCAAACAATTTTATCATCTCTGTCACGCATTCAGTTACAGTATATCATGTCAAGTGTTGGTTGCATTTAATACTGAAAGTAAATGAAAACAAACACATTTCATAACTAGTTTTTCATTGCGTAAAAATGATGAAACAAGAACATTTAATTAACTCTTTTCTGTTGCCTTTAAAATTCATTCATCTCTTCATCCTTACAGTATGTTACAGTGAAGTTAATCATGTTACTGATATCTGTCTGTTAGCTTACACGGTAACCTAGAATATACAGAGCCCTGCGGTCAGTATACTTGCCTATGCTTAATCCCCATAGGAAGCAATGGTAATTTAGTGTTTTAAATATAGGACCCCAAGTTTCTATTTTACAATCTGTATGAAATATCAATAATGGGGATTTTATTTAAGTACAAATAGAACTTGTACATTCTGTTTAGTTTGTAAAAGGTAGCTCTTGTTCAAAGTAAAAAGTGAAACAAAGAATGAGCATTGTATTCAGTTAGCTTACTTTTTTAAATAAAACCTAAAGAAATATAACTATTTCATGTGGAGAGGGACTATATGGGTTGTCTTGCTAATATGTCTCTCATCCAAGTGCTGTGATGTTGAATTGCATTAGCTAATCGTGCTTTTAGGCCTTTTCATTGACCAATAGGCAGCATACAAACAAGTACCTGTTTAAAACATTTTTTTTTAATACACTGAACTTATTTTAAGATGAAAGAGAATGAGAAAAAAAATATTATCTTTAACCGACACATAAAATACTGTTCCAGAATGTAGTATTCATTTGGTTTCTATTTTTTTTTCTGTTCCGCTTGCCACTCCTGGTTTGTTTTACAGTGATGCTGTATTGTCATGAGCAGACTGTCTTGACTGTAATCTGCCTGGGCACTTATTAATTTGACTTGGGCTTAATTTACGCAGTAACCTAAAATATGTAGAGCTCTGCAGTCAGAATACTTACCAATGCCTAATCCCCAAAGGAAGCAATGCTATTTTAGTGTTTGAAATTTAGGACCCAAATTTTTTATTTTAAAATCTGTAGAATAATAGTATTAGTGTTGTGCTGTCTGCCTCTTTCCACTTTGTGAACCCCAGCTGGAGGAGTGACTCATCTTTGAGTTCGCGTTGGGAGCATTGTGAGCTGAGTCCGGTAGAGAGGGGCAGTTCCACCTTGTTGCTGGCTGATGACAAAGCCCTGTTCTGGCTCTAGGGTGGTCTCTTCTGTCTCCACGGCTTGTTGGACATGTCTTTGGCCTCCTCTTCCAGGTTTCACAACAAAGGGGTGTATGTGAAGGTGGGGCTGCAGAAGCTCAGTCATAACCGGAATCTGCACAAGGACCTCAAGCTGCAGGTGGACAAGCAGGATGTGGAGCTCCCCAACATTGAGGGCCTCATCTTCCTCAACATTCCCAGGTCAGACTTAGAAATTAGAAGTCGGTACTATTCTTATACACAGCCAAACAGTCTTTTAATACAGTGTGCAAGCATCAAAGGACAACTTTTAACAGCTCTAGTTAAAATTTCAGTGCTGTATTTAAGTGACGAAATATACTGAGCTCCTAAAAAATTAAAGCAAACCATTCACAATGCTAACAAGAAATGGACTTAATCTTTTTTCATCACATGTGCGCTGACATTTTTTGGAGCAGATTACACAAGCAATTCAAGTAGGTGACTCGAAGAGGGTTCCATAGCCAAGACGTTGTGTTTCTTCTCTTTTCAGCATGGAATAAACCTTTACTTGTTTCATTACACAAGTTAGGTCTTAATGCTGAGTAACAATATTAAAGTCTACTGTGAAAGTCACATGCTATGTGTGACTAGCTTTATATCTGTTACACATACTTTGCACCAGGTTGTTGCTGTCTTGTCAGATTCTGTCCCATTCCTCTTGTAGGGCCTGAACAAGCCTGGACACTGGTCTGAGGCCAAAATGTCACAATTCATCCTGGATCATAACAGAAATGTTCAATGGGACTCAAATCTAGAAAGTAGCATATCTATTGTATAACTTGCACAAGAAAGCCGCTGTTTCTTGAGTAGCACGGGAGCATTTGTCCTCCTCCTAGACTGTTCCCCTTTCAGGATGAGTCTACAGAAAAGGGCAGGATGTGAGGTCAATGCAGTGTCATCCTGTCAGGTTCCCATTAATCACTGCGTGGACTGAGCAGCAACTATTCCTGCACAGATAATTGGACCTGCCCATCGATCTTGGCGAGGTGTCATGATTTGCGGCCCATCATTGATGGGTTGTGTTTGACTGAAATGTCTTGACAGCTTAGAAATCACTTACCGTAAACACCCCAGATTTTGAGTGACAGTAAGATGACAAAATGCAGCCTCGATCATGTTTATGGCATCAAGAGATATTGGTTCTTGATTATAACCTGCCTTGACATTCAGCAGGTTAAGTCATCACAACACCTGTGCCCAATCAATACTCTTTTCTAATGAGGTGATTCAGTGCTTATGCAGTTGTGAAAGCCACTAATGTGAATTGTGGCCAGAGTTCTCAAAATTATATTAAAAACATTTCATATTCCAAATCCATGTACTTTATAAAATCCTATATGCATAAATAGTGTGATACAATTTCTTTGGATGGTTTATCTTTCTACAGTATATGTCTTTTTGACAACCACATAGTGTCTTATGTAAAAAAAAATGTTAAAAGTAAACACATAGCAGAAAATCCTGCTCTGGGAGCAAGACCAGTGCTTTTTCAAACCAGCACAGAGATGTGAATAGATAAGAATATGAATCTGAATAGATTACAGCGCATTGAGGTTGAATGGTGAGCTGTTCAGTTTAACACTAATAACTAAACAACTACTCAGTAGGTATTTACTGTGAAGTGCACATTGTTCCAGAGTCTATATTGGAACACTCTGGAAGCTCACGGGAAAGGTAAATGGGAGTGTTTTATATGTCAGAGAACAATTAAACAGTAGAAAATGCCTTCCTAGTTAAGTGTCACAAGACATTTTTTTAAATTTAAATTACAGCATAATCACAGTTTATCCTGTTGGAGCAAAGGCAGGCAAGATAAGTTGACAACAGACTTGGGAGTTAAGTCTAAGTTGGGGGGGGTGGAAGGCAGTCAAGAAACAACAAATTAAAAAAATGACTTTTTAATTTGAATTTGTCTTATTTTTCTGCAGTTCATAACTGGATTTATTTTATGATCAAAAACAAGTAAAAGTCACAGAGAGGTTTAGGCAAGTGTTCAGACTTCATGGGCAATGGGTGCTGCCCCCTTTCTGTTGTGAAACGCCTCTCCTTCACATCAGGAGCATGTTCCTGCCTGCATCAGTGGTGGACTCATTGACCCCTTTTTCAGTACCAAAGGTCTTAGGGACTTCATCTCTGTCCCTTTGACAGAGTAGTGTGTCTGGGTGTGTGCATAACAACCAAGGATCACTTAATAAACAGTTGATAGTGGATCCTTGGTTTGAGCTGAGATTTAAATGTGATTTTATAAGGAATCCTGTGATGGCAAAAACCTCACGATAGCTTTTTATAGAAAGTCTGCTTTTGGGGGGTAAAACACATTACGCTGCGGTGTGTTCTCTTCACAGCTGGGGATCTGGAGCAGACTTGTGGGGTTCGGACAGCGATGGGAGGTTTGGGAAGCCTCGTATCGATGATGGCATGCTGGAAGTAGTGGGGGTCACTGGTGTGGTGCACATGGTGAGCCCCTTCTTCCTCTTCACCTCAAGAACCAGACAAGTGTTTGAATTGGCTAAATTGCACCTGCCGTTGCTCGAAATGCTTGCAACAACAAATTCTTTACCCTTCAAATCAGTGAAACTCTCTCCTGGTGCTTAAATGTCTGATCCTGTTTCTAGGCGTGTTCCTTTGCCACTTTTTCTGCATCTACAGCTGGGAAGGTCTTTAGGGAGCCTAAGTTCCCTAAAAAGCACCTACAGTGTTAGTCTGTCCAAAATTGGCTATCTGCAGTGTTATAACTTTCTTAAACTTTAGAATTCAATCCACTCATATTATTTGAAGGTCTTGCTATAAAAAATGCAGATTTAATAATAATCGAGATGGGTTAACAAAGAAAGTATTGATTAATATGAAGATAATGATCAACAGTTTAAATGTGATTCTAGTCAAAACAAGAAGTCTTTTGTTCCTTGTGCAAGGTGTATATTAAACACAGCTAAGTGATCGTCTCCTGTATGAAGCCCAGAGATGAATGTAATGATAGTGTAATATGGGGAAAGTGGGATGTATGCAATATGTGTATTATTGAATGGCTAGGAATATTGTTTGTTTTTCATGCGTATTTTGTATTGGTTTTTTTTCTTTGTTTTTTTATGGTGATGCCAATGACAAATTTCCTCCCTTTAAGATGGACAATAAAATTATATAAAGTTTTAAAGATTAAGTTTGAGCTCTGACAGCTACCCACACTTTACAATTTTCTTTTGAGTCTCCTAGTCATAAGCTGTCAGCAGTTCAGTAGGATATTAAAATAGGTTCAAGGCCACATATTTCTTAGTGAGTGGTGACACATAGGACTTCACAATGAGGGTCTGGTGATACCCATCATACAGTAAACCTTTATCGGCACTTGGTTTGCTAATTAAATCCAGGTGATGCCATTTTTCAGTGGTGGCTTAAAGTTCACAGAATAAGGATGTGATAAGGTGAGCATTAAATGAGTCCATAAAATAAACAGGGTAAACCACAGAGATCAGTGTTAAACCTGAAGCTTTACTGCTAATCTTTCTAAGCATTCAGTTGTGGACTGAGGTTTTGTTAGGTTAACAGGGTATCCACTTTAATTATAAATCTATTTAATAAGATGCAAAGTAAAGGTTTACCTCCACAGATGCTAACAACATAGCTGCATAAAAACTAGGTTCTTGAAGGAAAGTTCTCAGTTTTCTCTCAAATTTAGTCAGTTTCATCAAATTATTTTTTGTATTATTTGCCATCCAAATATACTCTTTCTTGTTGCTATAAAAAGATTGTAGATATACATGACAGAAACAACGGTTTTGTACACATAGAAGTGTAATAGTTACAAATAACATGTTTCATCTAATTGTGGTGTAATCTGCCCATTACAGGGCCAGGTCCAGAGTGGACTGCGCTCCGGAATCCGGATCGCTCAGGGGAACTATATCCGAATCACTGTGATGAAGCCCATTCCGGTGCAAGTGGACGGGGAGCCTTGGATTCAGGCACCAGGACAGATCATTATCTCTGCAGCTGGGCCTAAGGTGAGGGTGGACAGCACCCTACTCTGAGCACTTCAAAAATTCCTTCATATTGTTCACTAAACATATTTATCAATTAGTGTTAGTGCAGTTCTCCCGATTAACACTTAAATCATGTCTTTTTTTAATACTTGTTAACCACTAAAGATATTTCTGAACTCTAGTCCAGGCAACGTGCTTACTGTCCTATTTTTTTTTATCCAAAAAGAAACAATTTTTTTAAAAAAATTTTGACATCATAGTTTTGAAGTCAAGATTTTAACAACCTAAATCATTAATCATTCTTTGTGCATGTCCCATTTATTGTCTCCATGTTTTGGAATATGTTGTAAAAGAAAAAAATAGGGTCTGTTAAAGAACCTCTGACTAGGATTTAGAAGCATTTTGATCAAATATTGTTTAAATCCATATAAATGAACTCTTTGGCCTCTAACATGTCACAGTAAAAACACCAACAATTAATTCAAGTATCATGTAAGAAGGTATTTTTGGCTTAGTGAGCTTGAAGATTATTTTGGATTCCGGGTTGTTATTTCCTTTCATTACATTGAGTATAGTGTAGTTGTTTTCTCAGCAGTTCTAACTTCCCGGCAGATAAAGTTTAACATGATTTAAAATTAGGCTTTAGCAAGTCAGGTCTTAGTGGGCTTTCTGATATTGCACACTTTACTACTCTCTATCCTCTCCTTGGACAAATTTAAACTGAACCCACATCTGGTTGCTCTTTTGTCCTAACTAGGTTATTTCTAACAGGATGTTCATTTCCATATAATTGCCTGTATGATTAATATTGTTTTTTTTCTATATACTGTATACAGTATTTTGCAAAAGTATCCAGTCTCTTGCAGTTTTCACATTTTGTTGCTTTAGCCATGACTTTGAAGGTGAATTTACTGTACAGTTTGTTATATACACAATTTCGCACATTCAAAGCAAGAAGCGGGAAGAAACAAATAATACATCTTAAAAAAAAGAGAAAGTCCTTATTACAATAAATATTTAAACTCTTCTGTGGCAAACCTAAACTAATTTAGTTACATAAAAGTACCTTTACAAGTAACATGATTCGTTTTGTGACCTCGGCCTGTGTGCAAGTAGAGTTGCTCACATGAGTTTCGAATAAATACATCTGTCTCTGTAAGATCTCTGTCAGGTGGTGAACTTTTAACAATGATTCAGCCATGAAACCCAAGAAGCTTTCAGAACAATTTTGGGATAAAATAGTAAACAGACACAGACCTTTTCAACATGGTGAAGTCAATCGTGAGGAAGTGGATGGTGTATCATACCACCCGGACACAGCCTAGATCAGGCTGTCCCTCCGAACTGAGCAGCTGGGCAAGGAGGAGGAAACTGGTTAGGGAGAGTAGTGCGAGATCAACGACAACTTGGAAAGTGGTTTCCTAGTTCAGTGGCTGAGGTGGGAGAAAATGTCTGTGGGTCAACAATAGCCTGGGGAACTGAAAATTAATATCTCAAATCCTGCGTGAAGTTTGCAACAAAGCACCTGAGCGATCCTGCATGCATGTGGCAAATGGTCTAAATGTTAAAACATAATGTCTAGTGCCAAGACCACAGTTAAGCATGGAGGTGGCAGTTTCATGCTATAGGGAGATGCTTCTCATGAAAAGGGATTGGAAAGGCTATTAGGATTGAAGGGAAGAATGGATGGAGGAAAGTACAGGTAAATGCTAAAGGAAAAAAAAAACTTTTCAGCAAGACTGAGATTCAGTGAACAAGGCTAGAGCTACACTGGGGTGACTTAAGAATAAGAAAGTGAATGTCCTTGAGTGACCATGTCCCTGACTTACTTGAATCCTATTAAGAATCTGTGGAAAATCTGTCTATACACAATCTCAATGGAACCTGAGAGAGTTTGAGTAAATCTGCCTAACGAGGAATGGACAAAAATAGCACCACGCCTGTGTGCAACATGGTTGAGATCCAAAAAGATTTACAGCTGTAATTGCTGCCAAAGGTGCTTCCACAGTACATTGAGTTCACAGGTCTGCAAACTTATGCAATCAACACATTTCAGGTTTTTTTAAAAGTTTTTGCCGACATTTGCTGGAACTTAATTTACCTTTAGAAGTCTCCTGTTTCATCACTCAGGTTTTGAATAGAATATTAAGTTTTCCAATAGTGTGTCCATTATTTTGTAATTTCACATCCGGTCTGGTCTCTTGGAAACAGTCTTTAGCAATGATTGGAAACAAAGATTGGTTGTATTTTTTCTTTTTATTCCTTATTTTTTCTTTCATGTTTCTCTCAAAAGGTTCACATGCTGAGGAAGTCAAAGACAAAGCAGAAGAAACAAGCTGCAAATTTGAAAGAGGCAAAAATGGACAGCCTGTCAACCACAGAGGGGGGACACTGAGGTTCCCAAGAGACTCTCAGTATGCTAAAACGAAACAAAAGTAGACTTTAACCACAAGCTGTGGACTACAGCTTAACACACAAGAAATATGTAAGCTAAAATTAAGTTTGGGCTTCTGGAGGTTGGCACAGCTCTCATCTCTAAAGTTTGCTAATTCTTGTTAGCTTGGAAAATAGTCAGATTCTGGGGGAGTTCTTAGCTCTGGTGCAGCATTTCTTTTCTGCCTTCTAAATTACGCTCCAATGTAAATGTCCTTAAACTGGTGTTAGATTTACAGATATTCAAATTCACACAGGTTTTAGATTTTCACATACTTGAAGTTGAACACCCTTCAGAGTTGTCTGCAGCTGAAAGGTTACATCATATGTAGTTGGTGTTTATGTAGCTGTACCTCATGCAGGCGAGTTAATTAAATTGTTGAGGAAAAACAGACTGATTCATATTTACTGCTTTATTAGCAAATTTCAGGATGGATTGTGTAAGTGGGTGTGTTGTCTGCTAACAAAATGAGGAGCATTTTCTGAAGTTAAGTAGGATCCAGATATTTTATACAATTGTAGTCGGAAGCAAAATACTGAGGTGAGGTGGTCATTCTTGAATATTACTGTACATCAGCTGTAAGCTGTACCACACCTGAAAAAGCGGTGTCTTCGTGCTGTAGGATAGCGTTGTTTACTTAACAGGAGGTTGAATTGCATTGTGGTCACTGCAGCACTGCAAAGTAAAAGTCTGAAAAGGTGAAAAGGTCTTTGTGCTGTACAGGAAGTTTAAATGGTGTGTACAACTCACATCATTTTCTGTTTTAAATGTATGCATGTACGTATGCTCATTAAGAATGATAGGAATTAGAGGACTGCACAAACTGTAGTCATCCAGACAGAGAGAATGTCAGACGCGCAATTTGTGATCTCCACTCTTTCTGTTGGATAAGTAATGATTTAAAAATCTGTGTTCTCATTTTCTGTGATTAAACTGTTACAAAGCTTTCCAATTTAAGACCCAAGTAAGAGCTACAAGGGAGTATCTTATACTTATACTTATAAATAACAGCCATTCCTCTGCCAGTCATTTATAAGTAGATTTCGCACCCAAATTATCACTATGTCTTCCCTCTCTACTCTCTACTGTAAATAAGGGTCTACAGAACTATTATGTAGCATGTCATATTAAAAAGTTCATATTTAAGCAAGCTAACTCACCTGCTTTAATCCAGGTGGAAGATAGTACAAAACACGTAGGAACTTTCACAAACCACTGCTTTAATCTAATGGTATTCACACCATGTGTTTTTTTGTTAATGGTCTGTGGCACACTGATTAACAAAATAGTTTAGTGTCTGACGTGGGATGCCCTGCAATTGATGTGAACCTAACTATATGATAGCTATCAAGAAATATAATAGCATACACAGGATACTCAGGATATACAGTTTATATGTAAAACCAGTTAATCTGCTGTTGAGGAAAGCCAGTAGTGATAAAAAAATATAACTGGTGACACAGCCCTGTGCTTTGCTGTCACCTCCTCCCTGTGTTGTTTTGCAGCAAACTCTTGGCTCCAGTACAGACATTCTTATGGTTCAAGGAAACATCTTTTGAATGGTAGCTTAATTTCCCAAAGCCTTAGGAACAGTTCTCAAGGATTATTTACTGTTCCTGTGATTTTTCACACGGTACAGTGTTGGTTGAAGTAAATGTACAAGTTAGCAGAGATAAATTTAATCTGAGAACAAAACTAGATTAAAAATATTAAGAAGTGTTTGTGCTTTTGCTGTGATACAAATACTGAAGAATGCTACTACAGCTAAATATTGGCTATAATGTATTGGAGAATATTTGTTTTGAACTAACTCCCATGGAAATGTTAAATGTGGAAGTGTTAAATGAGTGTGGAAGGGATCATTAATAATGCTTTGGTGCATTTGTTGAGTTACAGACTAATTCTGAAAATCACAAACCTAAACATAAAATAGCTAAGAGTGATATAGTTTGTGAAATATTGGTGTAGATTTTATTCTTGTCCTCGCATAGGATTTGAGCTTCATTAAATATAAATACTTCATTTATTGGCATATAGTAGCAGTCACATATTCTCTAAACTAGCATCCAAAAGGAGAATATTTGCATATTGTTCATGATGGCTGCAAAAAAGTAAAAACGTTTTTAAAAAATCATAAGTGCATATTAGGCAACTTTGCACTTCAGACTTCCATTAAAAAAGGACATTGACAATAATTTGTAAAACAGATTCGCTGTTATATATATATGTGTGTCTGTAACTGGCCAATAGGAGCACCCTAAGTGGGGAATGTGGAATTGTGGGACAAGATCCTTGTTCACAAAAGTGAAAACTTTGGCAAATTAAAATTAAATGACTTAAAGGTTGGTGATGTTAAAATGAACAAAAACGAGGAACAGTATTGACTCTTCCTGCACATAGGTTCAGATTTACAGAGGTTAGGTTTTTTATTACCCTAAAATATTTCCCCATAAATATGTAAACAGTGGAAAATAACAATTCTAATACAAAAAGTACATACACAAAGATGTATACAGTATATATATTAAAAATTATCCCACTTTCACGCCCTACCTCCTCTCCTGCAAAAAAAGAAACAACAGGGTTTATATATATAAAACATAATACATCAGAAAAATGTAAATATATTTATGCAGACAGGATATATGTTTATATATTATCAGTTTTACAGGAGTTAATGTTAAGAGGAAAATGCAGTAGTGGATTTCGTTGTACTTTATTTACTAAGCACATGTATTTTCTTTACAATTTAACTTGAAATAATATAAGGCTGTTTCTTTTGAAGGCTTAACCTGGAATTGCTGTGTTAGGACTATTCTAGGCAGGATTGAGATGTTCAGAAGGGAGTACAATTACAGTAGATCTCATCATCTGCTGCCCCTGTTTCTCAATGTCACCATAATTCTGCCCCTCGTTTCCTATCATTTGTATACATTTATAGTATGTAATTGAAAGTAGCTTTGGTCCAAAGGTAAAAAGTTATACAGTATAGCCATAAGAACGGGTTTATTGATTAAATGTAATTTCAACAGCCTTGTTTTAAGATTAATTCGTCAGGATTATTTTTTTTTTGGCCTTGCATCCTAATGGACTCCAAAACACGTCAGGCTTTCACAGTTGGTTATTTTTAAATGACAATCATTAGCACTCACTTGAAGGTATGTTTGGCTTTGTGTAATTATATCCAGGAACTCTTTCTGCACAATTGTTTTCCTTTGGCAACAATATAATATCCTAATAAATGCAATATCTAAGCACTACAAAAAACATTCACATTTGTAAAATTTCACAGTTTCCCCTTAATATGCTAAATCTAGGCTTTGTCTTATTTTGGAAATTGATTAGAACATGGGTTAGTAACTTTTCCCCAAAAAACCTCCAAATTCAGTGGCAAAAAAAGCCTATTAACAAATATAAATATAATTGATTGAAATTACTGTAATTATTAATAGGATTGGCACTTGCAAACACAACTACCACTGTATCTTTTCACATTTATTTGAATTTTTCATTGCAACTGGAAAACACCTGCTTCATGCACGCATTCAATCTTCTGTCAGTCTTGAGCATAAATGACCTTTTTTGTGACTCAAATATAAGAAAGCCAGCTCAAGCTTTATAGTGGAAACAAACATTAACCAAAACTGATACTCAGCTTCGTTTTGTATTTGATGGTGGGAAAGTTCATTATGAGTTTCAGATTAGCATTGCACTTTCATTTCACATCCGCCAGTGGTGCAGTTTCGCCAGTTCTGTACATTAAGCAAAGTATTGTGCATCAGAATTCAGCCAGATAATTTCCCCCCACTCTCACAGCTGTTGAAATCAGCTACAGCATTTTCCAAATCTCTTACTGGAATGTCCTGAAATTAAACAGAGCACCGTGCTTACGAGTCAACCAGATGAACATTTGAATGCCATCACTAGCTCAGACACAAAAAAGGCAAGCTCCTGCAAGGCAAGGCTTTTATTTGGATTCTCAGTCTGCTAGAAATAAAAAAAAAAACATCTGTCGTCTTTTCAAATGTGCCAGTCTGCCCCCTCAATATTGTTGATTAACTTAATTTTTGACTCGCTTCCAAACTGCTACAGAATCAGGACTTATAGCTTAGGATTCAGTACAATAATGAAGTTACCCTGCATGTAATTTCTGCTGTAAAATATCATTTATTTCCCATTTTAGTGCCTTGTTTTCTTTAAGTGGACAAAAGTGTAGGGTTCTCTTTTTCCATTTTTCAAGAATGGTATGTGATTACAATTGTGCATTTTAGTGCAGTTACGCAGGTGGCCCTTCTGACATCTTAAGACTTACTACAATCCAAGTGATTCCAGCAGTGTGTGACTTGGATTCGTGTTACACAGCAGCTATCTCTTTCACATACACTCTGTTCTCATTGGGATTGAATATGCAGCAGATCACTGTACATTAAAAAATCAGTTCTGAATGTTTTATCAAGTTTGTGACTCTGTCGCAGAGAAATTGTATTAGATGCTGTGTTGCCTTTGGTAGTGAAGTCTTTTCAATGTGCCACACATTAGTCTTTACCCATCTACCTCTGGAAGCCGATTACATTAGTAAAGTTGGTGCATCCCAAAGACTTTTGTTGTATTTCAGATCACACTAAGTATGTCTCCTTAAAAAAAAAACACTTGAAAAATAAAATAAAACCTAAATTACAACTTAATTTTGTATACTAGCAGAATATGAAATGACTGAACCCTTTTTATGTGCAATCTCATCATTTCCCCATTTCAGTAAAAAGATTTGAGTTTCATGTGACCTCATTAATCCTCCTAATGGAGGCTTATGACATTGCTGTACTGCAAAAGAATGTACTGTAGTTCAGGTCTTAATGGTTTTCACCTGGCTACAGTCCAATCGAGATTGTTTAGGTGTGGTTCATGCTGTTGGTCCACCTCAAATGAGTCATAGTCCATGCTTTAGACAGCTTTTTCAAGAACTGCAGTTCTTAGCAAAGACACTTCAATATCTGTCCCAGCGAAATGTTGAACACAAAGATTTGACAATTAAACTTTAAGACAAATGTGTAGGAAGGTTAGTAAAATGGGACAAAATTGGCTCAAAGTGTCTGTTGATGTGCCAAAGAACTGGGGAAAGAAAAACCTAGAGAACAGTTTTTGTGTTGAAGAAATTCAGTATTAAATCATTAGGACCTTGACGGAGCAGCGTGATGTACTTCCTGATGAGATGTTTTAAGCAGACACAGGGGCTCTTACCTTGGGTCATCACTGAACTTGACACAGAAAGTGCAATTGCTTCCTTCTGTTCAGCCTCAGAGACTAAAGTACTTTTATGCCTTTATTTGACCATTTATTCACTATTTTCTGGATTGTACCGCTGTGGAGGTTAGGAGTAGACCTCGTATGGTACTGTTTTTTTCCTGTTAACTGTTACTCAATGTTATGTGCAGTTGTTGTGCTTCATATCTATGACAGTGAAAGGGTTTTGCTAACTGGAGTATGTCTCAGCTTCAGATGTGCATTTTTGTGACGTCAGTGGGCTTAAATTCCACTCAGTGCCTCATAAGTGCATAAAATGTAGTAAAATATTTGTACCATATATCTGTGTATAAGTGTTCCTTTCCAACGTGGTCCTGCTGTTGTAATTAATATAAGGTCCAAGGTTTTTGATTGCAGTGAGGTGTCCTGCTTTTATTGCTTCTGTAAGAGTGACTTGTTTTCCTATGGTCAGTAATCCATGTTTAATTCCACAATTTACTGACCCATTATGGAAGTTCATTGCCGGAACAAAATTTGTATATTTTGGGAAAAGATTATAGGGTTTAATTGCTTTTTTTTTTCATTTGAACTGTACAAATATTGCACTGACTGTAACATTGTTTTCTGATTGCATTTAAGTGTAAATTTGATGTGTAACATGAATGTTAAAGTATATATATATAAAACAATAGAGCTACATGTCCAACATCAAAACAAAATATATAAGTGGGACGTTTATGTGCATTTTTGTATCATTTTTGTGTCTGAAAATGGGTAGTTAAATTACAATTTGTGTGCAAAGTTTTTGCAATATTTTAATTAAAAAGTAAGAACACAAGAAAGGCTATTACCAAGAAGAGACCATTCAGTATAAATTTGCTAGTTTTGTTGATCTTAAAATTCTAGTCTTTACCGGTTGAATCTCAGGGGCAGCTTTGGCAACAATGTGATATTGTAACTTACTTCAGATATCATTTACAGAAGTTTCAGCATTTACTCTCATGTTTCTTTTTTCACAATTTGCCCCCACCCCCACAAATACTCCTCATGGCTGGTTTTGTCTACACCTGTAAGGATTTTTAACTTATCAGATGCCCTGGAGGACTCATCAGTTAAAGACAAAGATGGTGTTTTTTTTTTTTACCTTGATAAACAAAGACACACTGGTAGGCTAATTTGGCTCCTGGGAAAATTGGCCCTGGTGTGAGTGTGTGCTTTTGTGTCGGTGTCTGTCCTGTGGTGAACTGGAGTCATATCCAGTGTGTATCCTATTTTGCATCTCCCCCATGACCCTCTGCATGCTAAAGCAGTTAGAAGATACACTGATACCTAAAAGGTTCTCTCACCTGTTTCCCATACTTTGAAAACACTAGATCAACAAAAGGGCCTTCTCTTGTGGGTACCTTGGATTACAAAGAACACATTGCCCTGTTTTGACTGACATGCTTGTGAAAAGTGTCCCTGACAACATTACAATAATTCATAAGTAATCTGGTTTTCAAAAAATAACAACTGGTAAAATTGTTAGGCATGTGTAAGTCTTCTTTGTAAAAACAATGCTTTGCCAATGCAATGGTTAAGCTTAATATAGATTAATTAACTTGGCTTTTATCTGAAGCAAATTACATTGTCGGTCATGTATACAGCTTAGAGCGATTTGGGAGAAGTTCTTTGCTTAAAGGTACAATAGTAGTGTCTGTTACCTGAACCTATAACCTTCCACTTACAAGTACAGAACCCCAAACCCAAACACTGCTCCAAACTGCTGCCCTTACTGCAGCTTTCCAGCCTAACTCCATACAGACAGCAGAAGAAGAAAAACAACACATGTATGCACCCAGAGACAGACATTTTCAGATAAGACAAGCACCTTACAGCTCTTTAGAGATATACCAACCCTTTTTTTGTGTTTGATGTTGTAAATGGTGAAATATACATACAGTATATGAAGTGATACAATAGCAGTTTTAATAATGTGGTGAACTTTAAGGTCTTGGGAAAGAAATTCCATGACCAGAGTATAGAAAAAAGTTTTAGCTAAATTAGACCACTTCTTTCAAGTTCTGTTATGGGAGATACTTTATCATTTCAAACCATTTGATTTCCTCTCACACTGTGGGCAATAGGTGTTATTTTCCTGCCTTTTAATGTGCTGCATTTGATACTTTTTAGTTAACTGGACAAATATGAACTCTGCACTTATGTTTTGTTTATACAGTGCATTTTATGAAAAACACTTGGATTTATTTTTTTTATTATAACAAATTCTGTGGATGATACAGTGATATCAGAATTGAATGTACATTCCAAGAGATTGCAGATATGGTAATCTGTGGATAAATTCATATACAACTGGTGAATTATTTAGCAGTATGATAAAATAATCTCTACAGAGATGAAAACATACAGTAAAGGTCAAACAGGTGTGCAGGCCATTTGGTAAATCTAGTTTATATAAATAAACAGTTCTTTGTTCTAGCACTGTAAAAACAAGGTTATTTTACTTTACGTAATGAAGAAGAAACAAAATGAGACTTCAAGTTGTATTTTATTTTCTTCCTTAATCTACATAATCAGATAAGTATGTGGCAACAAAATGAACCCTGAGTTTTATTTCTAAAACAACAGTACATTTTACATACAAGAGATTAACCAAACGTAATCCTTGTCTTGAACTAATATATTCTAATGGTTACTACATCTTTTCTTTCTATCATACTTGGGAAAGTTTGTATATGGGCCTCCTGTAGGTGACACTGCAGCCAGTCTGTATCTGTGAAACCCGTGAGTCTGGAGTCATGAAAGTATTGCACTTCAAAACACTCTTTTTTCACAAGTGCCATTTTTGTTTCAAAATAAGTTGAATACCATTTCAGTGTAGTTTCATTAATCTTTTTATCAAATATAAAAGTTTAAGTATTTAAAAAAACAGGTTTTAAGAAGTAGAAGTCACAAATTTATGAATAATCATCAATCGACATGTTCTATGGAAGCAATCACTGTTTTGAGCAGCAAAATCTTAGAAGAAGAAATAAACCTATACATTTCAGTACCATATTTTTATTTTTTCCATAAGTTTACTTGGTGTATTTTTTTTAGTTACCAGTGACCCAACCTGACTATAAGTTGGTCACTTCATACAGTATGTACATGAGCTTGTATGCTTATATTAAGCAATATTTTCTAATTCATGCTTCTATTTCAGACTCTTTTTGAGTCACTGACAAGTAATAAACCTAAGACCAAAGGTAAAATGAAAGTGCCTGGCCTAAAAATGGGGAAAACTTTTGTGACGTTACACAAGAGCTAAGCAAAGATTTAACATAACGGTTACGATGAAACAGGTGCTAGTCTGTTGTCTAAGACCAGCAGTGCATCCTATTCTAGTTTTATGTTTCCTGCAAACATTGTAATTAATAGAATGACAGAGAACCCTGTTAATAATCCAAGATTCTGAATGGTGAAAAATATGATCTTGCTCCTTGTGTTTCTTTCATGATCTCCCTGGATGTTATTCATCTCTAAGAACTGAAATAAGAGAACACTCAGGTAAGTAAAGGTTAGGACATAGAACTCCTCTGCTTTTGACTGCAGTCATTGTAATAAGATTTATATGCAACAGGTGGTATATAAATCTTGGCTGTATGAAATGCTTCATAATACATTCATTCTTTAATCTGTAAGGGCAGAAATTATTCTAAATGACAGTGGTTTACAGGACTTAGCATTCATTAAGAATTCAGAATTATTCAGGACTCTCAACTGCTTTAAAAAAAATTGGACTCTTTATTAGGCCATCCAGATGTCCCAGAATTTCCCTTACTACTACTGAATAGGCCATTTCATTCTCTCTCTTGTCTTTGAATTCTGCCTTGATTCTTATTTTCCCTGTTTGATGACAACCACAAGAAAGTATAAATAGGCTGTTCTTCTAAGGCAGCCCCAGTAGGTCCCAAGGTTGTTACTGGGCTATCAGGCCCTTATAAAAATGCAACCTTAGACTGAAATTCATTTGCATTTCTGCACTATGGAGGATTTCAGATTTTAAAGTGAAGTTAAAGCATACTGGAATTCCTCTCTCAATATCTGCCAGGGAAAAGGGACTTTGGTTTGCTCTAACTCAGCATAAAAGCAAAACAGCTGAATTGACTGCACTATAAACTTTGCAGTTTCTTTTTTCTGTACATAGCTTTTGAGTAATTGGAGCTCATCTTAAGCAAATCAATATGTAATAAAATTTATAGTCCCTCTTGCTACATTCCCTAATAATAAAAGAATGGAGATACGACTGTATTGCACTACAAGATTGGGTGAAATCTACTGTGCCTGTTCCCGTTGTTCATTTCATTTTCTACAGCCTACTCTGAATGAAGGAAACAATAATAAGACACAGTGTTAAGGTCAGCCACATAATCTGCAATTCAAGGAACAACTATATCTTACTTTATTATTCAAATTACAGCTATTGAGAGTGTATTTCCGTTATACAGTAGGTCATTTTTATTCATTAGTATAGGATTAACAGCTTGTCTTGCAGAATATATGAAATGTGTGACCCTTATATGAAATATGTGAAATTTACATGTGGATGTATGAAAATTTGAGAAAACTAGGCCCATAAAGAAAAATATACAGTAGGTAGTATGCCATTGGTTGCTTTACAGATATCCCTACTGTATCACAACTAAAAACAAAATAATCAAATCAGAATAGACTTACTTCCTAGCTGATAAAACTTTAGAGGTACTTACAAATGAGTACAGTGAGTTCTGTAAAAGTAGGACTAATTTATCAGGTAAGAAAACAGGAGGTGGTGATGTGCTTTGCTATACACTAAGAGGTAACCTTCACAGAACAAATGGAACAGTATTGTAACAAGAAACACATCACTCACCATGTCTGCCAGAGCGATGTACAAAAACATTCCGCCAGCAAATGCGAAGATGACATTGGGGGAAAAGTTGGTTCCAACAACAATCCCCAGGATGAGACCGATATAGCACGAGCAGGCTGACAGAAGATTAAAGAAAAGGGCTTGAGGAATACTCATGCCCGCACTCAAGAGGATCACAAAATCACCTGGATGAAAAAAAACACACATTTGAAACCATTTACTGAACCGGTGGCAATTTTATCCAAGCCTCTTATAATGCAAATAGACTCAAGACAGAGTAGAAGGTTTTTACTGACAAAGTAGGAGGTTTTCTCGGGCAACATTTAAGCTGAACTGATTCTGTATTAGCAATTAAAAAGACAAAAAACTAGGATGTATAGTTAAAAGCATAAGATTCAAATCAAGATATGTTAAAATTGCATGATACATTAGTAAGGCCTCATTTATATTTATAAGGGAAGTTTCTATGCTTACAGGCTGAAGGAACTTGACCTTTTTAGTGTTGAACAGACAATATTACAAGGGAATCCCATACAGTTACAATCTGATGTAAGTATTAAAGGTCAGCCCAGCATATGTATTCTGAATGAACTGTACAACATGAACCACACAGTCAAAATGAAAAACATATAGAAGTGCATTTAAAACAAAGAATGAGAACACTTCTTTACTCAAAGGGTTGTGGGGGTATGGAATAAGATACCCAGCCAACTCCCTGGCTTCTTTCAAAAAGTGGCTGGATGAGTTCCTTGGATCAATTTACTACGACCAAATGGACTAGATGGTCCAAAATGACCTTCTCTCATTTGTTACTATCCTCATGTTCTTATCCCATATAATTTTAAAGATACGAAATGAAATCTAGGTTTTGTTGGTGCTGTTTTGAAAATATATAGTATAGCGTTATGAATCAAAAATCAAGAAAACTTCTAAACCTCTTCATGTAATTTAAACACTATTTCGTTGGTCGACTTTAGAGAATAATCTTATAGTGGTGGAAAATATTGTTGCATTATTCTCATTTCTGTATGTTGGCGTGGGATATACTGTAGCGTATTCCGCACCTTTGCATGCTCACAGTAAATTTCTAGTTCCGTCAGCTTAATCCGTTCATTTTTCTTCAGAATGAATTTTCAACTCTTAACCATTCAGGATCACTTTGTCATTAATAATGACTACATCTTTTAAGGCAAACCTGCCCCCTGCCACTTGACAAATATAGCTTCATTGAAGCTCCTCTTTTTGCAGTTTGCTCATGGCCATTAATTCTGGAAGCTGTGTGACAGAAGATCATGGAAGATAAACCTACTCTTTAGGATTGGTATGTATTTTTTTTTATATTTATGGTAACATTGAAGAAGTGTACTGTAGGTTACCTACTCCTCAGTCAATACATTCCTACTGTGAGCACAAACATAAAGGTGACCTAAAGGTTTGCCAGAAGGAAGATCATACAACAATTTAGTCCAGATGATGCTATAATTCTGAACCAGTGCGGGAGATTAATAAATGGTACGTACCCAACTCATGAGGAAACTCTTCACACACAATAGCAATGGAGGTGCTCACACCATTGATCACAGACACTGTGAAGGAGGCGCCGATTGCCAGGCCATCGATGAAGTTGTGGAGCGCGTCACTCAGCGTGATCATCCAAGCAACTGTTTTTATGTTGCGAATTCTAGGTCCGCTCAACCAACGACAGTATCCCCGTGACACCTGTATATCCTACGAGAACAGAGAGAAATTAAATGCAATTTGAATTTAATCTGATTTTACCATTCTTTGGATGTTTTCCAACTATTGGATTGCAAAGAGAGTAGTGATACACCAAACTAAATAAGTCAATATCATTGTTTTCTTTGAAACAAGTTATTGAAGTAAAACTACTTTATTATGCAAAGTAGTAAATAATAGCAGAGTAATCAAATCTGAGGCAGACAGTATTTAAATAGATTGTTGGTAACTCAATTACATAGAATGAAAAAGTTGGGGAACAGTGCATAATATAGTATAACTATAAGTGTACATTATCAAAAAGAAGCTGTTACTTGATGAAAAAGTGCATTCCTTTTAAGCATACAAAATGAGATTTTGCCTTGATGCTCTTTTGATTCCAGTCTGCCTCTTTTCAGGCAACTATTGAGTCCAATGTAAACTGATTTGTTGCCAATTAAAGGTTTTAATTCATAGTAAGATAATGTTTGCAAAGGACTGGAGGTCTTTAGACCCACCTAGCTTTGTTGCAAAGATGATCAGCTAACTCTGTTTTGAAGTTTAAGAACTATTCCATTCAAACTCTGTGTGAGGATTTACACAGAGAGGATTGGAAGGCTTTGCTATTCCCTGGTCTGCAGTTTCTGACAGGTGTCTAAATTGTGTATTCTAATTGACTTGTCCACAGTAAAATATGTTCAAGAGGATTTTATTTAACCAACATTGTTACAGTATTTTTAAGGAATTCAGAGATTCTGCAAGGATGATCATCTCTGATGCTGGGTAAATATCAATGACAGTCTTTTATTCTTTTTTTTTAAAAGAGGAAATTGAAGAGAAATTTCAAGTCTTCAAGAAAGAGATACTCCAGGATAGTTTTGAAGTAGATGAAAGGGCAAGCTGCATTTAAATAATGCACATGTTGCAGCTATTTTTATCAAGCAAACCTTTGGGTCCATAACCACATCCTGGGCTTGCTTGTACTAACGTCTGTGAATACAGCATGTCAAGCAGCACAGGAGTGTTGTAGTGAGTCGAAAGGGACAAAAAAAATCCACAGGGCAATTTAATGTAAAACCACTGCTTTTTGTCTTTTTTTTCAATGATTTTCCAGAATTAGGTAAGTTCTAATTAAAGTATTTTGGCTTGTATTGATATTTGCCGTCTAGGTTACATGTTAGGGGTTTTTAATACACAATAAAAATAAACCAGATTTCTGAGGATGCATGCAACACTGGTGTCAGAAGTTCAATAATGTCAAATATTTGTATATCAGGTTTGCACTGAGGACCAAAAGCTACTGTATGTATATCATTTTTGAAAATACAAATAAATTAAAGTGGGACAATTAGCGGTTGAGTTAGCGGTTTTGCTGACATTTGGGAGACAGGGTTGACAGCCTCTTTATATTTGAAGAAATATGATATTACTTTTCCTGGACTTGTTTATCATACCTGTTGTAGTAATTGATGATCTAATATCACTGTTACTGATTTTCATTATTCAGCAGGTTGTGCCTACTGGCCCAGTAGTACTGGTCTGTTTTATCTTGAAATCATTTTGCTTCAGCAAAAAATAATATCATATCGTACAGTAATACTGCTGTAGTTTTGAACCCTGTCCAACTAAAGAAACCTATCAAGCAATGAAATGAGGATGTTGTAAAATAATTTAGTCTCTATTGAAAAAAGTTCATTAGACTACAGGATGTGTGCAGATATGTGCATATGTTGCATGTTTTCAGCCAGCAAAAAGCAATATAATTGTTGGCAATGTTTCAAAACTAAGAGGCTATTTGCATATTACCTTTCACAGGTGATATTACACTGTAAACAACAGAATTTTACCTAAATTAAAGCACACTGTTGTATTTTACAAGTCTAACAAAGCAATAAACCCTGCATGAATGCCAATATTTTGGATATTGCACATCTTTTTCTCTGAAAAACAACAAATCCAGTATAGTTGCCTGTAGCAACTCTATCTGAAAAAAATGTGGTTACATTTGAAATTATAATTCAAAGGCTTTAATACAATCAGTATTACAATAACAATTAAGTATAAAAACTTAACATAAATTCTTCTTCCTTATGCCAACAAAAATAGAAGTGCACATCTGCACATGATGTTATACCCAAATGACCAAGTAAACTGCAAAGTATGCAGGTTTCGTGAAGAGACCATAGCGCTATCCTTGCATTGCAATCTACCAGTAGTGATAATACAGTGAGGAAAAAAAACATTTTAAAATTAAGAAGTGCCACATGTAATATTTTGTGTGTTAAATGTCTAAAATGACACATGCAATCACTTACCTATCTTTAACCTGCAAGAGGTCACTTGTGTTTGTTACTTTGGTCAGATCCAAGGTCAGCATATAGCATGTGATTTAAAATGCTGTTAACCATTAACATTATTTTCCCTAATTACATTATTTTAAGTGATAAATGATTTGGACCTCACTGCACCTAAATGAGGCAATGCCTGTATTACATACAGTAGAACTAAAACTTGTTTACTTGAATTGCAAGTGACCTAAGAAAATAATTTAAACAAGGTTCAGTTATTCTTGTTGTACAATGCCACTATATAGGTGGTACTGTCTAAAAACAACACCAAGCTGTTTTTCTTCTGGGGCTTATATCTAAACCTAGGAGCTTAGTTCATTTATAGTTATTATTCTACCTTTGTTTTAAGATGTTTTCTTTCCTAATTAAGGTGATGGATCATCTTTTTTTTTGCCATTAACTTGATTTCATGTAATGTGACTTCTGCCAAGAAACTATTCGAATGAGTTATACACGTTATGCACGCATAGACTAACTGGTAAAAACATTATAGCAGAAGGTAGCTTGATTGCTGGGAGCCGCTGATATCAATACTAAGTAACAGTCACAAATATTTGTCTGAAATGTAAAAATATGCTCCTGAAATGTACAGTAAATTTGTAATTTTGTCCAGCCTGCCTGGTTTACTACAAGGATTACTGACTGGTTTACTACCTTCTCTACATCACATATGTAACATATCTCAGGTGTTGCAAATAATAAATAGTGTAAAAAATACATTTAACAGTGAGGACGCCCCAAATGCTTGGTGAAAAGGACTCAATGCTCTAAGGAAAACATGGACAGCTACACATGGGCAAAGTTAGATGATCATTTTAATTACAAAATTAATGTCAATTCTGAATATTTGTATGGAGAAGGGATGGTTGATGTGATGTTTTTTCTTTTATACTTGCTAAGTCAGAGAAACCTCTATACAGACTGTGGAAATATATCTTGTTTTCAGTGCTTTCTTGTCATAATTGAGCCTTTGAATAACAACAGATTAAACCATCATGGGAAAACAGAAGTGTTGGTGAAAGAATAATTATCTGTACAAATAAATATGCTTTATTTATTTGTAACACATATATTGATAAATATACTTGGACTTGGGTTCCAAATTGATCTGGGAAAATTTTTGTAGGCAGCAGTACAAACCTACCTAGAATATCTGTTACATAACAGAAACCCTGTGTGATCTTGAAAATATTTCCCACAATCAACTGTACAGTAGGCGATCAAATCATTAGCCATTGTGGAAATAATGGTGCATATTTTGCTTTTTGAGATCAATGAAGGCATCATGATTGATGTTTTTTTTCTTAATGGTATGCGGGGCTGATGTACCTGGAAATTCAGTTGAGACACCACACTTGTAATGAAGCTTTCCACATAATCAGAACAGTAAAATAAGCTTCCGTACCTTCCACATAAACTACTCAGCTCCGAAATAGAGACTATTACAAATGCAGGGTTTAAAAGCAAGAAAAACAACAAAATCCAAGGTGTTCCTACCTGATCTGTCTGTGCAGCTGTGCCAATGCTTGGTTCCTCGCTACAGCTGAAACTGGTGACGGTGATGATTTCAGTTTTGTGGGTTAATTCTCCATTTGTGACAGAATTTGTGCCCATCTTGTTTGCATTGGACTGATTTGATTCTTCCTCTGATGTATTGAAATGACTGTGGCCTTGCTAAATTAAGCAAAGCAAAAGAGCAGACAGCCTTTTTGTCAGATATACAGGTATATTATTTTAAACAGCTTTAGATCTTCTCATTTCCCGTGTAAAAGATGTCTGTTTTTCGGTACCTTTCCTCCAGTCTGTATTTACAGCTCAATTTGCATTTAAAATAATTACCTTTACCAGAAAAAGAAGATTCCCATTCTAATTCTTTAAACGAATATTACATTGTAAAATACCCTTTAAGGGATTCTTCTAAAGGAAAGAAAATGAAAATAGATTTTACAAGACATAACATGTTTTACAAAATTTTGTTTAACGTTTAGTGAGTTATGTGGCCAAAAGTGGGGTGTTCTTATTTTTTCTTGAAAGGAAAGGACTTCATATTTATCATTTTCTTGTCTCCGGTAGATATTTACTGTTACTGTGCTCAGGGTTTTATGGAAGTTATTCAGGGCTTACCTTGTGCTCAGGTTTTAGTGCAAACTGCAATATTTTTTCTGTGAAGAAAAGAACATAGAATCCACCAAATATTCCAACAGCGTTGAGTACATAATTGTCCTTTTTGGGATCAAATCCTAGGGCCTGTAAGTGGGGAAATAAATGCATTGGGATCATGTTTAACGTTATTTAGAATCTGATGTGATATATCATGCAATACCTTTGTTGGTTTGCAATGTTTGAGGAGCTTGCATATCATCATACTTACATAAGCTTGTGTAAGGTTATGGTAAAAAAAACATAATCAAAGTCTCTTCAAAAAATGAAAAAGGTATAATTGCTAAAACCTCATTGCAAGTAACTAATTTAACTCTAAATTGATCTTTGAGACATTATGTGGTGGAGGTTCCTAATATTTTAGTGAATGCATTTTAGACTCATACCTTTGCACAGGCAGTTTTTTTTGTTTTCAAATTATATTACTACTAGTTTCTCAAAATACTTGGGTAGACAACTGATTTTTTTTCCATAATTGAAGTCTGTTCATTTGAAATGAAAGAATCATAAGAGATTGTATCCCCTACCTCAGGAATGAGCTGCAGAACAGCATTTGAGTACAGAGTGCCTATAGCCAAACCAGTGAAGTACGTTAACAACTTTGGAAAGTAAGGCTTCTTGGTGAAAGGAACAAGAATTAGACCCAGGAGAGAGGCCATGTTGATGATGGTTACAGCCAAGACTCCGTACCCCCACACTGTGAACAGACAAAGAGAGAAACACATTACATTATCCAAATAAACTGTCATGCAACTATACTATACTATAAAGTATGCAGTTGCTCAGTTACCCAGCTTCGGGCAAACAAACTCATTATAGGATGAATTAAATAAATAAGCATGTGGAGATGTCAAATGGGTGCTGAAGCTTTAGCTGTACATTGAAAGCACTTTTTGGGAATTACATTAGTCCACAAGTGACGCCATTAAAGTATGTAAAACTCTGCTGGGCCATGAGGGGCGTTTTTTTTATCAGTTTAGGTCAACATTTAGCAATAGTATTCTCAGAGTCACAGTTACACAGGATTAATAGGAAGATTCTCAAAGGCCAAAGACAACACTCATAAGATGTCCACATGCTAACTTGTACAAGATGGGCGAAAATTGAATTTTCCCATATCAGGTTGGCCTGATTTGGTGTACAAGTAAACTAATTTACTGTAGTCAGCCTTCACTGTAGTAAATGTTGATGCAAAGGCAGTTATCACTGTATTTCACTCTTGCTTCTTCATCAAAGCTGCTTGTTTTAATCTTCTAGATATACTGGTGTATCACTTCCATCTCCTTATCTCTCAATGGTCACTAGCTTCTTCCAACTTGTTACATTTTTTTTTACTTCTTTATTTTGGTAACATCCCAGAACCCATCACTTCGTGTGAAAACCTCAGTGACAATATTAGGCATCGTCACCACAGCGGAACCCTCTACCACTGGTGGGTTTTTTAAAGCATGAGAAACATACAATCTCAATTATAATGTAAATGTTTGTTTGATATTTGAAAGGTAAAACTTATCGCTTCTTTCTACTCCTGTCTGGCCTTTTAAGGATAACATCATATTAATAATTGCTTTTAACCACCTATACTTGTCAGCAGTCATTAATTCAATGGGGTTTAGCAACAGTAGGAAACACCTGTTAATTACCTGGAAGAGACAGAGTATGAGGTCTGTGACTAAGTTTAGTTGGCACTTACAGATCATGAGAGCTGTCAATGTTTCTGAAGTAAAAAATACTGAGGTTGGAGCACTATGAAACTTATTAGTGATGTTGTAGTTGTGTATGACACGGAGGACCTCCTGTTTAGTTTGCTGTTTCATTTAAACATAACTGTAAAGTAACACTGTGGTCTTTTTTGCTCCATCTTAGAAGTGATTAATACCTGTAACATACTCCAAGGTACAAGATCTTTCAAGGCTGCTTCATTAATCAATACTCTGGGGTTGAAAACAAGAGTTGGGTCAAGGATTGTTTAGGATGTCTCAAGAACTAAACTTTCCCCAAAGTCTAGCATTCTGCAAACTGTGATCTCCACCGTAAACACCAATATACTGTATGAATGAACTGTATGAACGAGGTCTTTGAAACTAAAGACAATGAAGCATTTGAAGGTCTTAAGGAAGAGGAGGAAATGGTGAAGATCACTCCTGGTGCAGCAATCAGAACCAGGAGCACAACAATGAACAGTGACCCACTGCTCTGTTGGCCACAAAATAGGTATATGCCGAAAATGCAGACTGTGTTGAACCATCTATGCTGCAGAGGTCATGCATTAAAATTCCCAAAGCTTAGGCTACTTCTAATATAGAGGAATGGGAATCTCTTGCCTTTTTTCATGCTACCTGGCCATTGGTTGGAAAATCATACTATATACACAACATTTATAGAACATTTCCTGAGGACTGTATAAGTAAAGGTCTGTCTAATATGGGTAGGCTCACCATCCTGGATCAGAAAGAAACCATCCTCTGCTTTTGATATGTCACACCCTGTGTATATCAAGTTTATTCAGACTGGCAGTGAGTGCAATTAGACACATCATGCTGCTCAATGTAAATTATGACAGATTTTATTCAGAATAAAAAATAAATAAAATATATATATTTAATACTTTTGAGCAAGTAAACATGATTTGTTTGTTGGTTATATTGTGCTCATTGTGACGATCTTAAGTTCAGGGTTGTGAGCATCAGCAAGAAAATTGTGTAACCATTGCAGGGCATTTACTGTCACTTTAACTGGCAAAATCAATTCCCAGGCTTCTACATACCTGTGCTCAAGTTCCTCTACACTAGTTTTATTTTAAAAACAATTAGAAAAACCTTCAACAAAACTTTTTTTCAGGATCTTGTCAAAGTGAACACTTTAGAATATTTAGACATTTGCATTAAAGGTTTGTTAAAGTAGCCAGTCACTTCTCCTTTTTAACTCATTAATGTTCACTATCGTTATTACAAACAGGATTATTACAAACAATAATGTTGTTATTAAATATTACAAACTTCTACTTAAACACACTTTAAATTGTTTGATGTATATTAAGGTATTCACTAAATCTGTTAGTGTCTTGCCAATTATACAACTGCACAGGAAAAGGAAGGAAAAAGGCTTACCATGGTAAGATACTGGCTTATGTGGAACAGAAGGTTCAGGTTCCTGGGTACTCAATAAGCAAGGCCTGACAACAGCTTGCTGGAGAATTGCGGGACAGATTTTCTCAAAGTCTGACATAGTCAGACGACTCTGGTTATTCAGCTCATGCAGTGATAATATGTCTCCACTAGACAAGCACTGCAAAAGAAGCAAAAATCTAGTGTTATATCCAGGATCACTGCATTATAACACCAGACAGTCCGTTGGTTACATAACCACTTCACATAAACTAATCACGCCATGGTTATTTCTTTGCCTGCATAAATACAAAACTCGGCTTTCTTTAAAGATGTAAGATAAAGTGGGGTATCACTGTGACGCTGTAGTTAGCATTGCTTCCTTGCAGAGCTGGGGCCTGAGGTTTAGCTCTTGAGCAGTAATTGAAATGTAGCGTGTACGGTCTCCCCATGTTCATGTGGGGTTTCTCCAGGTGCTTTCCTCCCACAGTCCAGAGACATACTGGTACTGTAGGTCGAGTGGTTTGTGGGAAAACTGGCCCTGGTGCGTGTCTGTGTCAGTGGTGCCCTGCGATGGACTGGCTTCCTGTCCAAAGTGTACCCTGCCTTGCGCCCGTTGGTTGCCTAAATTAGGTGTCGGCTCCTTCTCGCGACCCTGAACTGGATGATGCGGTTAGAATGTGGATGGATGGAATAAAAGTAAAGTAGAGCTTAGAACCAAGAAGAAATCATTCAGCACATCTTGCTGGTTTGATTTTCAGACATTTGCTCAACTCAACATTCTTTGAAGTTCCCAGCCATTCAGCATTGCTCAAACATGGAAGAGCTCCACAGCTCCCTGTGTCAGGGCACGTATCCTTTCTTCAGCCTTAAACGCACTTGTTTTCATTGTCCATTTCCACTTTGGGTCATTGACTCATTAGAGATGGTCACTGACCTGACTTTTTCACTAGTTATTGGGAGTTTGAGTGATTGAATCCAATAAGTCCCTAATGTTCTGTTTTCAAAACTAAAGTTATTAATCCATCCAATTTCTTACTGCTTCTTCGAGTTCAGGGTTGCAACAATCTCAGAGGGTAACAGGTGCAAGGAAGGCAGGGAATAACTTAAGTAAAAGGAGAGCGGACAAACAAGAAGAGCTCATTCAGCACTGGGTCGTCTTGAGACAGGACAGGATTTTTAAAGTTGTCATCAAACTTCAGATAGCAAGTAAATGTTGCACCACTGTTAAACTGATATAATTAATGATCGGATCTAGGAGAGGAACTGAAAATCGTAATATTATAATAATACCAAAAAATACGTTACTGAAAAACAAATTATATATGGGAAAGGATACTTTTATTGCGTTTTAATTTCATTAAAAATTCAAATTATTTTGGTTTCTACAGTAATTAATCTGTTATAGCCAATTGAGCAAACACGAAGTGTTTACGGTAACTGTTTAAAATTCTTTCATTTTATGGGCAACTTTAACTATTTTCCTGAAACTGAAAGCGTTCAGGTGATATTGGAAGAGGTGGGCCCTCAAGCTATTATTATTTTCTGTTTGAAAAGAAAATCTCTTGACAACAGACCATTTTTCATAAACAACCGCTAATACAATCCATGGGAAGGGATTTCACAGGTGAAATAGAAAAAAAAAATCTAAACCGCAAAACCGCACGGGGTCAGATGCAACGAGTTTACAGATTAAGTTCAGAGCTGCGTATTAGAATAGCACGGTACTGTCTCGGAATCATCCCGTTAGTATGCTAGTTAGTCGATTTGATCCAATATGTAACGTGATTTGACCCTCCATGTAAACAAGTGTAAGATAATAATTCTTACCCACTTTTACTTACAAAACAGCCTCTGACACCTCTTGTGGGTCAGTTGTGGCCATTAGAGCAGTACTGTAGGTGCGTTTTAAGACCGAGTCTACAGTACGTAGTTGTAGGAAAAACAGAAGCCCCTTAAAAAATAAAATCCTGCCCTTTTCAGGTTACATAGAACAGAAACAGTATAATGATATTGCACGCTGATGGAAAACAAAATCACCACCACTAAATTAGATTTGTGACCACTTGAAAAAACCTACAATGCACTGACAATGTAACAAATATGAAACAGAAAACGAGAAATCCAATGGTCTGCTTTTGAGTCGAGGCATAAGTACATACAGTACAGGACTGTTTGTCACATATTAACTCCATCATGGATGTGTCAAGAAGTTTTAAATTGTACAAATTGCTTTTTAAAAAGGGCTAGAGTGGTGCGCTTTTAACACGTGCAGAGAGGCAATTAATCCAGATATTCTGATCTAAAAAGGGAAAAAACTAAAAATGAATAAGTGGACCTGAAATTGTTATTCTATATTAGTCTTCACAACCCAACTGTTTTGAAATGGCTAACCAGCAAAACAAAAACTTGCTAGGTTATTTTAACAAGCCATACAGTATGTACGCTTTTTAAACGACAATTTCATGGACTAATCATCGACGTGCAATTCTCGAAGATTTGGACGTCTTTCGTACTTGTAAGTTTTCTGTAGCCTTCCTACAGTAGGATCTGGGCTGACAACTTTATTTTCTATAGGAAAACGAGCTGAAACAACTTATGTTCCCATGTGAAATGTTCAAATGTGAAGCAAAATGTGAATATTGACCTTCTCCCTGTTCAATACATTAATACCTTCTTGCCCAACTCTATAAAGGATTTGGCAATACAAACAACATTTTAAATTAGATAAACGATGGACGCAACCTGTGATGAGATTAGACCTCATGCCTCAAATAGCAATAGTGGTTTGACTTTTTGTTATAGAATGCCAAATGTTTAAAGACGATGCCGAGTTCTTAAATACTGTATATAACTTAGAAATAATTATAACTTGATCAAATGACAAGGCAGTTCACCAATATTCTTTTGGTAAACTGGATAGTGCATGTGTCATAAAAATCGGGGTACAGTGAAGCACTTCAAATTAAAACATGACTCGCGCGAATAAAAAACTGACACACAAAATGTGGCCTAAAATGGGATGTGCAGGCAATAATAATCTAATGCGTTATTTACAGAAAACCGAGAATTATTAATTTGTTAATTGAAGTTTCTATAAATGCGTAGTAATTAAAGGCATGCTCAGGTAGAAAAGTGGCGAAAAATAAACGGAAGGATTTGATGTTTATTTCTAATTAGTTTACTTCGAAAAGAACAACACTTGATTAAGAAATACGAATAAATACATCTACTGTTAATGATGCGCTGGCCAACGGAAATCAAGGAACGAAGTAGTACAGTACTGTACTGTATGTAGTCAGTGAGGGCAAATAGCTTGTGCGGCTTTTGCAGTATATCCCTCAAAGCACTTTGGAAAGAGGAAGTGGGAAATGCTGTGTATTAAGATGTGTAATATTGATTTCCTTTAGGTACGCAGATTTTATTACCAACTTTTCAGTGTTGTCATTAAATAATATTAACGATTGGAGACGCGGTAGTCATACCTGTGAATTGTGCAATGCTTCAAGTTCTCCCACGTTATCTTGTGGTCTCCTGCTTCCAACTCTATACAGCAAGGATTCCAGTTTTCCTGAAGAAAAAGTCTCATTTTCACCATAATAACCGAAAATATCTTCTAAAAAGGATTTTCTTTTATAAATAACCGTTGCTTTCGATGTAAGGATATGCAGTGTTGCAATTAGAAATAATGTTCTGACAATGAAAGCAACGATTCTGTAGCTGCTCGTGTTAAACATATTTGTTTCTTGCCGAAGATGTTGGACTGGGTTGTTCTGGAAAAGAAAAAAAATGTTTTAGTATTGACGCTTACAGTTTGTGAAGCAACATCCATTTTATGTTACTAAGGTGAAAAAGTTCCAAATGATAAAAGGTTTTAGGTTTAAATATTTTCAATAGTTCATTCTGCTTACCTCTGTTTAATAAATTCCTCAAATGTCAGCATGTCACAGTCTTTCCTCTAGTTATTTTGTTAGACAGCCAATAAATTAACAAGGTAATTCATTCTGCACGTATACTCTAGTTTAAAGGTTTAACCAATACAATGCCTGTCCAAATATCACCTAGGGCAAGAGATTACTTCAGCGCTCTTTGGTTCAAAGATCATTTCTGTCTCATAAGAAAAAAAAACACAGAGTTTACTGACCAATGAAAGAAAGGGATTCATTTTCAGTAGGTCCTTTGTGTGTATTTTGTTTTTGCAACGTGTGCGAGGGTACTAGGTATTTTTTTTCTCCAAAATATTAGACTTCAATATATTTATCGCCTTATAATAAGCACTGTTGACCAGATTTTTAAAATTTAGAATTTCCAAGTTAATAATCTGTGTTTACGTGATAATTCTCTTGTATTGGTAAATCAAATACGTTTACACGTTTTATAATAATACATGAACGTTCAAATATATGTTTTATCATGACCTGCAGTACACAACAACCAAACTGATCTCTCTGTACAAGTAGCAGCGAATTTAAACTAGATCAGACGCAAACATAATCGAATCCCAGCTACAATATTCAATGTAGGAAACGTAAATACAATTGTAAAAAACTATGAATGGTATTGTCTTTATAGCAAAATGTACAGGGAGAAAATAAAACTGGTATAACTACATTACCTACACTACTGCACACCTACTGTACATCCATCCATGAAAGATGGCTGAATATTGTGTTGCTTTAGATAAGTAATACAGGTATTAAGCTGTTTGTAGTCCAAAAAGAAGAAAAGGTAAAAAAATGGTGAAGCAATAGAAGGCACCAATCTGAACTTTTTTAAAAAAAAAAAAACAAGGGTATCACTCCTTCAGTTGAATCATTGTCTAAAAGTCTGGGCTACCTCCACTTCTGTACTACTGAAAGGCCTTACAGACATAGACTGGCAATCAATAGTATTAATAAGGGGAACAGCTCTCAGAACACTCACTGCAGATCAGCATTTTAGTACCGATTTGTGCCTCTAGGGGCACACGGTTCTTACCGACCTGTGTTCTGTAGCTTAAGGAAGAGCTGCTCATTTGATTGCCCAAAGTTCGAACATTTATTCAAAGGTAAGATAAACAATAAAGAGCTCAGATGAGCCTGAATGATGACAGAGGTCTCCTATAAATCACTTTTCACCATTTCTCACACCCAGTAATAGGCATTGTTTAAAATGTTTCTAACATGTTGTCAGCTGAATCCTACTATATAATGTCCTTCTCCCTAACTATTCATAACCAAACCAAAATTTAACCCAAATTTAAAATGTTAAACAAACGTTAAATAGGTGGATGAGATACTTGAACCAATTAGTTACTAATTATCAAACTGGACAAGATGAGCCAAATGATCTCCTATAGTTTGAGACTGTTTTTATATAATTATACTGAAGAACTAGAATTAGTAAAGGTTTATACAATGCTGAAAACAGAAGAAAAGAAACACATTTCGGCTGTTGACTCAACTGCGGGCCGAAACGTTGTGTTTCTTTTCTTCTCTTTTCAGCATGGAATAGACCTTTAGGTATTCCTTTGCAGCCTACGCATGCTGACGCAGGTACCTCCTACTTGAAGAACTAGAATTATATTTAATCACTACGCGCCATTTTAGTTGTCGCCACCAGGGGTCACACTATACCATTTACGGCAGTGATAAATTAGCACTTCGCATTACTCCAATTTTAAAGCAAAGATACATTGATTACACTGCATACTTTAACAGCGGAAATATCATTTTGAAAAGTTGAAACAATTGTTTAGTTTTTAGGACAATAGACAATAACTGTAAATATAACTGACAGAAGAGGAAAGGTAGTTGCCTGTTTGACTCATGATATTGAGCACATTGTTTGGTTCAAATCACTGTGCACATAATATTCTCTCTAAAATGAAATTATGCTGTGATTTTCAAAAGGGAGTCTGAACTTCTATGAAACGCTGTAGCTACAGGTATTTTTGATAACACTAATTACTTACCTTTGTTTTGTATTTTTCATCCAAAAACTCTTCACACATACTATAAAGGTCACCCATTTCATCAATCAGTGACGTCCAGCACCCACTCAAGTGATGTTTAGCAGCTGTTGTGTATGAGCAGCCAATCAGGTGGGTAAATGAAAAATTGTTTACCTCTTGACTGAAGGCAGAACATTAAGGAAGTCAAAGTCCATATCTAAAGTAATTTTATCTAAGGCAATGGGGTAAACTATCTATCCTTTTTCTAACCACTTCATCCGATACAAAAGGCGGAGCATATCCTGGCAAGTAATGGGCACAAGACAGGGCATATCCTGGATGGGGTGCTAGTTCATTACTGCACACACAGAAACGTGAAGACACACTGGTCAACTTTCCCAAAAGCCACTTAACCTACTGTACCAGTATGTCTTTGGACTGTGGGAGGAAACTGGAGCACCCAGAGGAAATCCACAGAAACAATTGGCAACAGTTACAGCTGAGTAAGTCTCTAAGTCTCTTTGAGTAAGTATCAGCTTTAAGGTCCAGGATGACGTATGCTTTGGCCATTCCTCTTCACAAACTTGCTCACACTCTGTCTTTCCAGCTCTGTCTTCCTTGCCAGCCTTGTAGAATGAGCGTGTTATTATGGAACCAGTGTGATTTTCTCTTTTTATGTACTGTAGCTTTCTCAGAATTACTATATCTTATACTGTGGAATACCTACGTAGTTTCCTTCTTGACTGGCAGTTTAGTATGGGGGTGACAATTGGATCTAATAAATACTTTAGATATTTATTTTATTAAATAAAATTATACCACCCATGTTATTAACAGGGGTCTGTCCTGAGCCAAAAGTAGCCCGTGGATCATCAACCCAATTAGAAACTCCCTGACTCACAGCTTCCCTACCACCCCAACACCTTTTCTATCCCCAGGACCACTAATGACAGCATCCCGAATGTACACGGTGATCCCTCCACTGGTACCCTCTTTTCTGACTACCCCAACATCTCATATCTCCGACCACCTAATCTGCACAACCTTCATGTTCACAGCTCCCTTGACCACCTTCAGCAATCATCCACACCAGATACTTTCTCCTGCAACAGAACTCGCTGCATCGCCTTTAAATACATATCCAAAACCAGGCCCCTCTGGACAATTCCGGATCACTCAGATGACATCTTGTATTTCCAGCAACCTCATTTGCTGCATCTCTTACTGAAAATGCCCATCTATTTACATTGGTGAAACAGGAAGGAGACTGGGAGATTGTTTCGGTCAACATGTCAGGGCTGAGAGGATCAAAGATCTCTTCAAGCCCATAGTTTCCCGTTTCCCCTCTAATGGCCATGATCACACTGATCTCTCTGTCTGTGTCCCCACAGAGGGGTTTCAGAACTCCTATTACAGAAAGACACCTGAAACCAAAATTATCCTGAAACTAGGATCACGCCTTTCCCCTTCTCTCAACGAAAGAGTTGCTTCGTGCTAGTCATTTTTTTTTTCATGTGCAGGTTTTGACTTCACACCTCTCTTCCAGTTCTCCCAGGTTGTGGATACTCCTTCGACCCTGCTCCCTGCCTCCTCTCAACTAATCTCTCTTGTTCTCTCATGCTTTATTAACTGCCAGTTTCCCTCTCTCCCAAACACCTGAAGAAGGCTCCACAGCTGAAACATTGTGTCTCTTTTCTTTTCCTTTCACCATGGAATAAACCTTTACCTGTTCCTATAATAAATACCTGTGTGTTATGATTCACCTTCCACTTCTTAATGATAAAGAGAATTTTCCATACCCTGCTGATTTAGTCCTTTTATAACTTTATCCTGGAGTTGTTTTGAAATCTCCTTGATCTTCATAGTTGAATCTTTGCTTGAAATTCAATACCTGACTGATGGAACTTATGCATTTATTCTGAAATAATGTAAATCACTACTTCTGTACAGAGACAGAGCTATTAAATTAATTGTGTGACTTCTCCAAATTTGTGCACCTAAACAAATTCATTTCTTCTAGCAGCAAAGGGACGAATAATTATACCATCAACGTAGTTTAGTTTTTGATTTTTCTGAGCAATTTTTGCTAAGATTTAATTGATTGCACCCAGAAAAGTGTTTGGGTCTGTGGCACTGCATACGGTACAATTCATACTTTTTAAAACGTGAACATTGTTATTCACACAATTTAAGTCTAAATTAAAATTTGGATGCATTTGGGATTCACAGTGGCTCTTGACTTTGGTTCTAGCAATGGTTTCATTTTGTGTGAAATTTGCATGGCGCCCGGATTGCTGTCTTCAATGGACAGGCCTACCGTCACCTCTGACCGCAACAACGCAGTTATGAAATACATATGACTGGTTGTATTTTGATTTCAATGTTAACAGCTTTTAAATTGTCATAGGAAAAACTGTGAAAGAGTTACTAGTTAAAATAACGTCAAATATTTACAAAGTAAAAAAAATCAAGAAACCTGATGTCAGTTAAAATGCAAATATTGTGTTATGCTGTGCAAATAGTCAAATGTATTTGATATTGTGTGTAGAAGTGGGAAAACACTTAATACACCTGCTGCCCTTTGACAATAAACACACCTATTTTCTTTAATAGAACCGTTAATAGTTATAAGGGTACAATACTTAAACTTTTATTAATGATTGTTGTCACACAACATGATGTTTTACATCTGTATTTTCATTGACACTTTTGAAATGTACACAAAAATATTTCTATATTGCCTTTGACATCTAAATCACTGTGGTAAGCGTTATTATTTAACCTTTGACGGAAACTGTGTAGAAGTTCTCAGTAATTTGTTATTAGTACATTTTACACTAGAAACGATCTGTAATGAGGAGGAGGCTGATAATGGTAACACACCATGTAAAACGTTTCATTATATCGATTTTGGAAGTTATGTGGTTTAGTTAATTGTTCTTGATCTAAAACAACTCACAAAGGATATTAACAGGTACCGTACTTATTATTCGTCGACCGTTTTAATGGTCTTAATCACAGAAGTTAATTCGAAACTATTTTTTATTTTGGGAATTCCAGGGCTCGCCGCCGCCAGGGGGCATCATTCTCTTGGCGGCTCTACGTCACTGGGAATTTCCAGCAAGGAAGTCAAATTGGTTACAAACACGCTGGGGGCTAGATACATTTGTTAATTCGTTCAGATAGAGTAATTGTTTCTGTTGAACACAGATATCGATTTTTTTTTAATACGAGTTTATATTTATTTATTTTATTTATTGTACACAAATACTAGGAATCAACTTTTCATACCTGGTGTGTCAGATTTAATGCACCAGACAGAAGACATGGCGCAATAATTGGTAACTCACGCCTGTATCTTAGCATTGGGACTGCACTTCTTTTACCCATCTTTCTAATTCTGGAAACGTGCAACTAAGAAGGTAAGCCGCTTCATCTACATCAAAACCGAATGCATACACACGAATTAAAGATTTCTGTTGCCAAATTTTGGGTTCTTAGCCTTTCGCAACTATTTATGCCTATTGGCGCATTGTGACGTCTACTTCCTCATTAAGAAAACTGAAAGAAAGGAGGTAGATCTTGTTTTGTTTTTATAATGGCCTGAATTTAACATTTAAACCGGTGGATTTAAAAACAACAATAATGTATGTGATGGCTTATTGCTAAACAAAGAGAAGAAATTATCTCTGGAAATGCATATGAAGGCGAAACGGCTAGACCTTTTGTGAAAATTGACTTTACTGCGTTCTTAGTCGGTGTTTTTTTTCCTGTTTTTGGGGGGTATGTGGACGTCCTTCTGAGTTTTACAAATATTACCACTGATTTACATGAGTATTCGAAACGACGTGTTTATTATTATTTTGTTGCAGTGATTCAACGCTTAATGCTTTATGCTAAAACAGAGATAACTTTTGCAGTGAGAAGTTGGGAAGAAGTCGAAGCACCATTTTACGTCATTCTGTAAAATCTTTTTTTCTAACGCTAATTTTGTAACGGGGAAACTTTTAAGTGTTAAAAAGCTTTGTGAATCGATGCTTCGTCATTCAGCTGTAAACACCCGTTCAAAAACAGAAACTAGCGGAATGCCCGCATCATGCTAACTTTGGCAGGTGTGGTTTAACATTTGAAGTGCTGTAGCTGTTATATATTTTCATCATTCAGTTTGAAGATTGCGGACTGCGGAAGACTGAAACTCCCAGAAACTTATCTTTAAATAAGGTATACAGGGAACGCTTCTGTTCCCCCCCTAGAAGACGTTGTTAGCCAACGAATCAGGATGAAAATAAATATTTCCATCATTGTCAATGTTTGGTGAGGCGTGGAAAAGCTGATGTGTCTAGGAAAGAATAGTGTTAACATTACCAAAACAACAGCTCTATATTGTGTCGTGAAACAGACGTACTTCTAGTCACATCAATTTTAAAAACAGAGCAACTGGCTTTATTTTAACTATCGTTACTTTTAATATTGTTTATAATTCAGCTAATCTCCATAGGGACTGATTTTCTGAGAACTTTACCATTTGGTAGTGGTGCAGAGTTTGCACACAACCCATCAAATAACTCGTGTGTTTTGTTTTTTAGCTAATTTTTCTTTCCAAAACATACCACATCACTTGGCAAGTGTTATTTATATTTTCTGTATTGTTGTGTTTCCATACACAGAAAGACAGAGGCCATAAAACTGAATGGTCCTCTTTGTTGTGCTCCTAGGACTCGAGTATATTGACTTGACTAGCTTCAACTAGTCAAGTTGAAGCTAGTCAAGCTTCAACTTGACCAGCTTCAACAGATCTTACCACTTGCACAACCAGGGGTTTTTAATTGATTTGATGCATTAAGCAGATTTGTCACCGATTCAACTAATTGCCTCTTTGCACATATATTTTTTTCAGCTTATTTTGCAGCAGGTATTCACGAAAAGCAGGTTATGCTCTTGGTGAAAATGTCAAATAGTCAATGACTTGTCAAACATTTCTGGAAAGTGTGCAAAAGCTCAACATTTCTTGCCACATTCTCCTCTGAAGAGGAGAAGCTCCTGCCTCCTTCAGACTGCACACAAGCAGTCATGTTGCGTTTAGTTAGCTGTGTGGAGTTCATTCAGTGTGGAAAGATAAAAGGAACTTAAAAATTATTTTTCCTTTACTGTAGTTTTTCTAACAAAAGTGTTAAGTTCCCTAAGTATCCATTGGAATACCAAGTTTGTTTATTTTATCAGGTTTCTTGCTGATTTACCTTCCCTTTCATTATGATTTCACTGAAAATAAAACAAATAGTTGATTTTATCTATAGAAAAGTAATTGTTTTATGGTTTTAAGAATAGGTAACATTTTCACTTCAAATACAGATCATTTAAGAGTCTATGCCATGTGCTGTGATATATTTTGTATGTTGATTTATTTCTGCTGTTTTAATTTAGTTTTAAGGGTTTGAAAGGAATGGGAATTTTTCTGCTTTTGGTGAAGTTGGGGAACCACAAGGTACTACGATTTGCATTCATATAGAAGTAGAATTGATGGGAAGTAAAGACAATGGGATTTGGTGTTATAATGCATGAGGTGCTTATCTGGGCCTCTCCAGTGTTGTTTCATGTCTCATTCAAGGCTTTATTGGTGTAATTCAGACCCTTCGAACACTCATAAAGATGTTCTCCTGAACACAGATGGAGCCTTATGACCACGGGATCAAACCCGGGTCTTGTCACTAGCTGGCTTTGTCAGGGACTCCCCAAGAGATGGCAGACGATTGACTGAGCACTGCCGAGGATAGTTAGTTGCCTGTCTTGGCTTTTGGCACCATAGCGACCCCAATGGCTTGCAATGCGGTTTCTGGCCTGCCTCCGAAGGATTTGGTGCTGAACCTGCACTGGGGAACTGTGTAGCTTGTGACGTGTTAAAAGCTAAATGGCGCAAAGGTTGGAGTCACTCCTACATTTTCAGAGGACCTGCCTACACTTTCTCATCATAAATGCAAGCTGTGATGATGCCATACTAACTGGCGAGTCTTTTTTTAATTGATCATGTAGCGATTTAAATCAGAACTGGAGCACTGTGCTTCGCAGTTCATCATGTCTGCTCAATTGTATTTATCGATGTCAATTCAATTTTCTAAGAAGGGATGTAGATGGATGTATGTGCATGAACATGTTGTTTAACTGTCTGTGGGACAATTATTGATAAACGATTGAATCACCTGAACTTGAAGTGCTCTTATATGAGCAGTCCAGCTGGCTTGTCATAAGAACAGCTTTGCTAATGGCTGCTGCATTAGTAATTCTGTACACAGGAGTAAAATTACCCAATCGGTCTGCGTTTTAGATGTTTCATTAGGGGAACAGCTTTTAGATTTTCCGTGTTCCACTTTTGGTGAATGTTTTTTTTTTTTGTTTAGGTTAACATTGAATTTTGCCAACAGATTAGATTTCGAAACCATTGCAGTTATGAACAGAAACCCAGGGGGGCAATGAGATGAGCTGGTTGTCTATGAATCTAGAACGGAACAGAATGTGGTGGAATAAATATCTGAAAAGCAGCCCTCCTGGTAGACGTGCAACAAGAATAGTGTGCATTGTGTTGGCTCAGTGTGGGAGTTGAGAGCATATAGATTTTTCCTTTTTGGTAATGCACACAAATTTCCACTGATCGCTTTCTAGCAATAATTTTTCAGAAAGGTTTTGTCATACTGAAGTTACGTTTTTGTGCCAAAAAGGAATCAAAGAAGAAACACCAGAAAATCATACAGAATACTAATGGCAGGAAATGCATTTATGTCAGGGCTGATGTAACAGGAAGATCTGAATAATGTTCATTTCTTCTTGAACACACAGTGATATATCCACTGTTGAGTTAATTTTAAGGCATTTGTTCTTCATGAATAGGAGTAGCGAAAAGCACAGAGGGAGCCTACAAGCACATTTTCAAGCACAGGTGAGAAAGTTATGATGAGTTCCTGCAAAACAATTCTACAAATTATACCAGTTCTTCAAGTTACAAAGTGGAATAAATAGACAATATGTCACTTTAACCCTCACAACTGCTCATGTTGAAAGAAGAATATCTGAGCTGCTAATATCTGGAGGATGATCACAGCGGAATCTCTTTTTTTTCCCCCAGACACAATGGCTGAAGAAGACCCTTATCTCCAAGGAGGTGTAAGTATCAGTATAAGAGAAGCTGATTTGATTAGTAATTTTTGTTTTTGTTTGTCCAGCACAAGACTTGAAATGGTAAAAAAATGATGTACTATATACCAGTCTGTACAGCATATATACTATATATTTTAAATAATCTGTAGCCTACTATTTTGGTGGCATGCTGATAGATTTAGTAATATGTATCTGTACACTGCAGAGCTCCAGTGATTTAATTTCATCCCTCTCTATGCTTTAGAACCAAAATTTTGGACTGTGTCAGTTTCATACTGAAGCAGAGGATTATTTCTGGCACGTCTCATCACCCTTTTTATCTATATGGTTTTTCTACTAGAAATACTATTGGTTAAAGGTTGTGGACGATGGGTTGTGAGAGTATGGAACAAGCCTCCCAACCACGTGGTTAAAGCTGATACTCTGGCTTCCTTTAAGAGACGGCTAGATGAGATCCTTGGATCATGAATCTACTAATTAATAAAATGGGACAGATGAGCCGTATGGCCCTTGTTTCTTATGTTCTTATTAAACAGCACACACAAGCCTGCTGCTTCACAACATCAGGGTCTGTGGGTCCCTATCTGTGTGAAATTTGAATATCCTCCCTGTGTTTGCATGGGTTTTTGCCACAATTGTTCTTGGAGTTTATCCTCTGGTCCAAGTCTGTTTTTCCACATTATTGCTCAGTCGCGTTGGTTTTGGTGCGTCTCTCCATTGTGTCCAGTTTGACCACACAGACAGATAAACGAATCATGTAAGATGTTTGAATGGGAAGCTGCATCACCATGCAGTCAGTAAACAGGCAAGGGTTAAGTCCATGTGGAGAAGCAGAGAGAAAGAAGAAAAAGTACAACATTGTGCCTTTGGAGTCTTCTTAAGGTCTGTAAATGCCTTCCTTCTTTCTACTTTTCAGTGTGGAATTAACCTCTATTTGTTTAAAAGATCAGGCTGGTGTAAATTCAGATAAGTCCTTTTCGTATAGAACTCCTTTCTCTTTGTTGTTAGTTGTGTGTTGAAATATATTCCCCGAAAGTGTGACTTCTTGTTGATGGTGGCAGTGCACAACTACACTGTTACAAGATCATTATTCTTTATCCTGAAGCAAAGCAGATGATGAGTTGACCATCAAACATCCTTTTCTTTCAGGGATAGGCTACTCAGACCCTCAAGTGCTGGAATCCTGCTGGATTCCTGCTGGTTTTTCCAACGCATCTTTCAGTGAGCATCAGAAAACAAATGTTGATTTGACTGCTTGTCTGCTTAAATGGTTCGATTAAGTTGTGAAGGTCTAAGATAGAATGAAAATCAGAAGCCAGCTCTGTCACTCCAGGATCATGATCATCAGTTACTTGAACCTTGTTGAGAATGATTGGAACATTATAGACATTAGTCGTTCAAGTAGGTAGCTACATCTGCATGTGTAGGCTACAAAGGAACAAGTAAAGGTTTGGTTTATTCCATGCTGAAAAGAGAAGAAAAGAAGCACATTTTGACTGTGTAGCCTTCTTCACGTGACTCTGCTCTGTTCACACCCGAAGAAGGCTCCACAGCTGAAACATTGTTTCTTTTCTTCTCTTTTCAGCATGGAATAAACCTTTACTTGTTCCATTATATACAGTACATTATAACACTGTATTTTATAGATATAGCATGGTGCAAGCTGCATGACATTCTTAGTCAAGAACGATGCCAGGTGCGGTAGCAAATTGTATTTCATATGATCAGTGGGATATAAAATTCGGACAAAACGAATTAAGAAAGTCAGTTTTCTGTCATGTGCCTCATGTAGACGAACAGGAACTAAATCTTTTTTTTAAAACTATTTCATGTTTTTTTACAAAACATTATTTGGAGGGTGTGACGTTTCCTGTTGTTTCCACATGCGCTGTTCTGAGCAGGTTGAACTGTTTGGGTGCCTCCCAAGCAACTCAACCAGTCAAGGTACTTGCCCGAGCACAGGTTAAGCTCTGTGATCATGGGTTTGAGCCTGGATCATGTCACTAGCCAACTGTGACTGGGACTCCCCAAGATGCAACTCACAATTCACTGATTGCTACCAAAGGTGGGGTGGGATTAGTCAGCTAGGACTGTCTTGGCTCCTGGCTAAACAGTACCTCCCAGAAGCTTGCAGGCATGTGTTTTGTCTGTGAGGGAGGTGGCTTTTCTCCAGTCTGCTCTGAACCTCCAGTATGGAGCTGCACAGAGGACAGAGCTGTGTTAAAAGACAAATATCTTGAAGGTGTGTGGGTCAGAGGACTACCTAGACTTCCTTCTGATCCCCTAAGTATGTTTGTGAGTATAATGAAAATAAATTAAAAGAATCAGACATTCAATAAATAGCTCTTCTTTAGAAATAAAGCAAAAGTTGTAAAAGGATGGTGTAGTTGTGTTTAATTAAGTTAAATCTAGAGCAAATACACTTTTAGGGAAGAAAAAAATGTTGAGGATTCTGCTGATTATGCTGTTAATTGTGGAGATTGGAACACTCCTCGAAGGAATAGGATCTTAGTGTAAAATGCTTTTTAATGATTAAATTATGCCTCTATTTATGGATCTCCTCTGTTCATGGTTCTTAATCCCATTTAATTTTTTTATGTCACAGTATCTGTTTTTGTTAAGCATTATTTCAGTCTTATTGTCCCAAGCATAGTAAATAAACAGCAGTAGACATAACTAATAGGTTAATGGTTTAGCAAAAGACAATACTTGCAATCACTTAAATTAATTTAAGAAACAGGATATGAATACAAGGTGGCACAGTGGTGCAGTGGTTAGCTTTGTTGCCTTGCAGAGGTGGTGACCTGGGTTCAATGTTGGACCTGCAGTGCTATCAGTGTTGAGTTTTTATGTTATCCCCTGTGACAGAGTGCTTGTTATTTTTTTCATTCTGAATGTGAAATACTCCAATACTTCCCCCTACCCTTCTGGTGTGTTTGAGAGAGTGTATGTGATATGAATGAAGTGTGAATGATACTTGCCCTTTTTGTTGTTCCCCTAAAATCACTTCAGTGTTCCCCGTTGGAGTATTGTGTTGTGTTGGAAAACATGTATGGAGAAGGGTGCTTTGGAGGAAAGGTGCGCGGAGTACTCCTGTGAAGGTTTTTTTCTGTTATCCCTATTTTGATGGCAATAAATCCAGTTTTGTTTGCATTTGAAGACTGCTTTGTGGGAGTTTCTTTTTTTTTTGAGCCAAGCCTGGTCACTTGGCCGGTGACATCCCCCCATGTTCACTTTGGTGTCCTCAAGATGCTCCAGTTTCTGGGAAAACTGGTCCTTGCGCACAACTTGCGCACACAATGTATGTTAATGCATGCTGCCTTGTGCCCACTTGCTGGCCCGAACAGGCTCTGGCTCCCCTTCAACCCTGTATCGGCTAAAGCAGTTCAAGAATGGACGTTGGATGGATAATATGAATACAGTACTCATTTGTACAACTAGACGTGTGGATAAATCTTGTTTTGTTGCCTTGCTCTGAATTGCAGAATATGATGCTGCGCATACCTGGAAATTTAATCTATGTTGTGATATAAATTGGAGATTTTACATGTTACTGTGTACATTTTACTTTCATTGTGGTTTGAAATACACTCATCAATACTGATGCTTTCTAACCCCGAAATATAAAAATAACATTGCAGTTCCTCTTTAACATTAACTGGGTCCCCTTCTGTAGTTCAGGATGTAGCTACTGTTCTTTTCCTGTCTTCTTAAAGGATCTTCGTTGTAGTACTGTTTACCAACAGTTGTACTGTAGATCATGCTACATATTGTGAAAGAAATATAAATCCTCCAATTCATTCACCACAGCCATTTAACACCATTTCTTTCTGTTTTCACAGATTTTTGACATGGAGACATTTACTCCCTTAATGGGAATGGAGACTTTTAATTTCACCGCTATGCCACCTACTAACTCACTAAGAGTAGGTAAGAACAAAGCTCTGTTTTAATATACAGTACCAGCTTTTCATAACAGGTAAGTGTGATTCTTGTTAGTACTGCTTGGTTTTTGGAGAAAAAAAAATGGGGATTTCATCAACCATGCCTGCTTCATGCAAAATGAGGCAACTTGTATGAAAAATATTTAATGTTATTTGAAATGTATATTCATATTTATAATATTTATGGCATTAACATTAAAATATAAATATTACTATAAAAAAAGATTTGGTAAAACAGATCAATAAAAAATCAAAATAAGAAACAAGAAAGTGAGTAGGTTGTTATTGTGTCTTAACAGCAGATTTTCACTTTACATGAGTACATATTTTAATTAATAACCCTGTTTCAGTGTTCTTTTTACAAGCAGTAAATATATTTTTTTAAGTTCTGTGAATCTATGTGAATGTATATTAATCCAAAAGTTGAATCATATGTGTTTGGGCAAAATAATTTTGTAAACAGGAAATAGAAGCTTTCTTTTGTAGTAGATCATAATAAAAACTCAATAAAAAGCACCTTTGTCAATGTGTGTGCCAAAGAAACAATATAGCCCCTTTTAAAGAAGTACTGTATTTCCCACCACAGTAAGATGGACACTTCTAATATTATTGTATACAGAATAGTCTCTTTCGATGGTATTCAGACCCTATGTTGTGCCATTTTGTAAAGCTCTCTCAGTTTGCTAGGGGATCACTAATGGGCAGCATTTTACAAGTGTTTCAGCACTGTAGATTCTCAAGAGGAGTTATGCAAGGACTTTGGGTTTGACACTCAGGGACACATTTTTTTCTTCTTAAGCCACTCTAGTGTAGTTTTAGCCTTGAAAAGTAAATTTTTGTCACATTTTTAGCTGTTTCCTCTAAGATTTGCCTTTACATTGCTCCTGCTATTTTCCACTTGGTTTTAACATGCTTTCTGATTCCTGCTGATCAGGAACAGAACTATAAAATAATGTTGTCGCCACCATGCTTGACAGTAGGGCTCGTTTTCACTGAGTGATGCACTGTGTTGAGTTTGCCTTTTTTAATGGTCCTCTTTACCATGTGAGCCAAGAGAAACCCTGACCTGTGCTTTTCAATGACTTTTGAAATTACTTATCAGTTACCTGTCCTATCTCTGGTAAAATCAATAATTTCATTCTTGACAGAGAAGAAATAGAAATAGTAGACAACTTCAGCTTGCTTGTATCAATAATCAACAATGAAATCACAAGCAGTCAAATTCAAATTCAAAGATGAATCGCTCTTGGCAGAACGGCTTTGAAGGACCTAGACAAGATCTTTTAAGTGTAGAGATGTATATTTGCGTACAAAGATTCGACTTGTTCAAGCCATGGTATTTTCAATAACGTTATATGGATGCGAAATTTGGACAATGGAGAAAAAAGATGCCTTTGAATTATAGTGATGGCGAAGAATACTGCGTATACCGTGGACTGCTGAAAATCAATTGGTATTGAGGGAGATCAATCCTAAGTTTTCCCTGGAAGTTCAAGTGACAAGACTTTGACTTTCATACTTCGGACACATCATGCGAAGAGATAGATCACTAGAAAAAGACCTCATGCTTGGCAAGGTTGAAGGCTAACGCAAAAGAGGAAGACTTTCCTAGGTAATGCAATGGATCGATACAATAACCACAGCTTAGATGCCCCTCTATCAACGATTAGCTGTCTTGCTGAAGACTGAAGGCAATTCAGGAGAACTATCCACAGGGTCGCCATGAGTCAACACCGACTTGACAACACTTAGCAGCAGCAGTCCTATCCCTGACTTACTTTCAAAACTCCTTAGTTTCATGGTTGTCTTTGCTTGAAATACACTACCTGACAAAGGAATGAGACACAGGTACCTGTAGGTGTTTTTTGCTTCAAAGCAACACAACCAGTATTCTTAGCTACTGTATTCAACCAATTGTATGGCTCCTTAAAAGTGATTCTGCACTCAGTTTAGGTTTGCATCAGCAAAGGGTGAAAATACTTAATTTCCATTTTTTGTCAATCGTTTCTTAATTGTTTTTTGCTTTGAATGTGTGGTCAAGCTTGTGTACTATTAATTGCTGCTTCAACGGTTATGACTGCAAAGTTTAACACAGCAATGTGAAAACTATGCAAAGGTCTAAAGACTTTTGCAAGACATTAAGTTGAACAGACTATAGGGACACTTAAAGCATATTTTTAAAAAGGTTAATGTAAAACCTCATCATTTAAAGGCTTGTTTTAATGTTGGGACAGATTTAAGTTTAGTATGTTTTGTAAATAAATGTTTTTCTTGAATTTTCTGCATCACTAAATTATCTTTCTTACTGTGGAATGATTGACATTTTATGTATTATTTGGAAGTGGCTTCCTAACACTTCCCAAACTGATAAGCAGCACCAGTTCTTTCTCTAAGACTCTCACAGATTTCTTGTGATCTGGACATCACATGTTATCACATACCTGAGTGTTTAAGACCAGACTGACAACATTTCTAATTTTAAATACAGTTGGATAACACTTGCTGGTGATGTTTTGGTGTGCCTGATTCTACATACCCTCTAAATTGAGATGGTAGAACTAAGAATCTCACACAGATCTTGAATGCTGGCTGATATTTTGAAGAAATAAATAGAAATGTTGAATTTTTGTGTGCTCTTTATCGAATGAGGTTAGTTTTATCTACTGTTAGGATTTGCTTGAGGAGTAGATGAGGGTCAAATATGTTTAAATATGTTAAACCATAACATTTGATCAAATCCTTACTAGTGGTGTTGTGTTTAACCCATCGTGTGTAACAAATATTGTCGAAAATACATGGGCACATCTGTAAGGAAAGGGTGGATATTTACCCCTGTTCTGAGCAATACCCTGCTCCAATGCTGGATATTTGTCTTTACAATAGTTTGTTCATACATACAAGTACAGTATCAGCCATCCCTTCTCAAAGATTTTCTGAGGTTTATACCTTTTAAAGATTTTGTTTCGACAAAATGAGGTGGAGGGTTTGGCACAATAAGGCCCAGAAATCAAGTTCCTTATTTCGCAAGGCTTCCCATGTTTCATCAAGGCACCGTACAATTTTCAGTCATGAAGGGGCTCACTTCTCTTTTACTATAATTGCAAAGGCTCCATACCTTTGAGTACATTTTTGTTTTTGGTGGTACTTGAGACGTATCGCTCATGTCAAGGAGCCAGGGAGGATGTGGGTGACCACGTGTCATTATTGAATCAGGGTAGAAGACGCGGCTGTTTTTTACATTTAGTAAAGCCTTCTCTGAAGCAATTTCGGTGAGAAGCCAGATTCCATTCATTTGCTCTCCAGTGAGAAACAAGTATGATATTTCTAGTTCTGTCAACTTTCTCAGTTAGAAGTTGGAACTGACATGAACTGGGTTATTGTTTTCCACATTTAACTCGTTTAAATCTTAGTAATAAACCTTGGATCCTAAGGTCTTTCTTTTTTGTTGTTTTCATACAATAAGTAAGATACTGTAATATAGCTACATTTCAGAATTTAGACACACATTGTTACTTGGCTTTTCTTTAGAATTGAAATGAGGAATTTAAGTAATATGGACATAACTAATCAGGGCATGGCACGCTGAGCAAAGTCTTATTAATTTTGTGATAGAGGAGTGTAAAAAATCCTGGAACTTCCTAAAGACAGATAAGAGAGAAGAGGAACTCCATGTTCCTTTTTCCTGTTTGTGATTTACAGTTCCTATTAAAAAATGTAACAAGGATATTCCAGAAATTATGAAATCATAATTAATTGTAAATAAATCATTAATTGTAAAACACCCGAGAGAGAACTTTTTAAAATTATTGTACAGTTCAATAAAGAAAAGGGATTATGTGATCTTGGTATTAAAATTGGGCTTGCCTGATGTAAAGTTAGTATAATTATATTGTGTCATAACACCATAGCACACAATACACCTTCGTCTCAAGATGTTGCTGTTGCATACAGGCTACATTCAAACCTACACAGAAACTGTGAAATACAGATTCAATTCCTGGGGTGCTTTCTATGTGGAGTTTGCACATCACTTGGGTTTTCTTTTGCGTGCTCTGGTTTCCTCCCATAGTCCAAAGACATACAGTACTGGTAAGGTTAGTTGGCTTCTGGGAAATTGGCCCTGCTGTGAGTGTTTGTGTCTGTGTGTGTACTTTGATGGGCTGGTGTCCCACCCAGGGTATCTTGCCTTGCACTTATTGCTTGCTGGTATAGACTACCCCACACCCCTATATTGGATAAAGTGGTTAGAAGATGGATGGATGGACTTGTGTCTGTATGGCAAAAATTAACATCTTGAAGTATAGATTATGAGAAGGCTTCTCAAACGGTTTTTGTGCTTATTCATTCTAATATTGTACATCAGGCAAACGGAAAGGATAACAGCTCTGGGCACTAAAGAATGAAACAACCTTTCACACAGAACTTTGATGAGAAGTCTGTTGGTTAACAACTGTTGAAAACATTTGTAGTCTGTAAATGCAGTGCAAGGAACAGAGCAGACATTTAGCATCGTATCTGATGAAATCTATTTCACTTGTAATTGGCAGTGAGCCCTAAGCCTATGCAGCTTCCTGTTCAAAAGGAAGCTTGTTCTCTCAGGCAAACATGCTTCCTGTTAAAATAATGCCTTAAATTAGGTACCTCTTATATAGTGGAGTTTTGTGCACATTTGCTCACTGAAAAGCATCTGCTTCCATTTCATTCAGGTTATTAAGGTTTATTATAAAGGATTTGGCTTTCATTTGTAGTCCCTTTAAAACAACAAACTATGATAACTAAAGTAGCTAGATTGGTACCATGATGTTCTTCTTAAGATAACAATGTGACTAACGGTAATCTCACTGCTACCGATAATAGCTAAAGGAGAATCAGTGAACACCTAACAGACATGAAACAGACAGCAGACCTAAGACTGAGTAACATAAAGTATATACTATGTATATTGAGCATCAAAAGAAACTATGTACAATATCCATGTTTGGTTTAGGAAAGTGTGCATATTTGGCATGTTCATTAAATTAATGTTAATTCAGTCAAGAAAGAAAAATACAGAATGCACCACTTTAACAAGATGCTTTTGTGCAATTGATATGTTGGAGACTGTACTACTGTAACTCACCCCAGTGGATGCATCAGCAGTGGAGACAAGGCCTCTTTACATAATACATTGACTCTTCATTAGATGACCCTGATGGACATCAGTGGGTGTGGTACAGATGTGCAGATTTACACAGTATTTGTTGTGTACATCAGACCAGTTAAACTGGAAAGCAAAGTGTGATGGTCTGAGTAACAGGTAGTGATTTATGGCAACCTAACAGCATGGTGCTGTACTGTATGTATCAAGTCCTTTCACTTCACTTGCTACCTTCCTGTGGGCTCATAGTGATTGGTTAACACACTTATTCACGATGCTTGTGTAACACAATTACTTGTATGACGAGAAAGTGACATTTATTCCATAGATGGCCTAATCACCAGATTTGAGTCCTATTAAAGGCTTGTAGGATGAGCTGGGATATCACCGGCTCACAGACAAGTGAACTGACACACACATGTCCAGGTTTTACAGGAGAAATGGGACACGATCCCACAAGACAGCATCTGCATCCTGGTGAAAATCGTGTGTCACATGTACTTTCTGTATACTTGCTTGCTGTGATCATCTCTTTTTTTTTTACAATAAATGTTCAATAAAATATCTGTGCACTTGCTACAACAATAGTTATTTTCCTACTTTTAAGTTTTTTTGCTGTTAAAAAGTCTTTAAACGGCCAGTATGATTTTTTACTAAATTTGGATGTGTTTCATTGCTACAGAAAGTTTTTAAAGTAAAACCTGTAAAGCGGTAGAGAGGAAAGTGTGTTTAGTCCCCCTGTATCAGCGGAATTTTTGTAAACTCTTTTTACTGCTTCTTTCACAGAAAGCTGTACTATTACTGGAACAAGTAAAGGTTAATTCTGCACTAAAAAGTAGACAGAAGAAAAGCAACATTTTGCCTGTTGAGCCTTCATGTTGAAGGTTTCTTGAAGAATGTTCAACAGCTGAAATTTTGTGTTTCTTCTTTCTTCTTTTCAGTATATAAACCTTTACCCTACTATAATAGTAATTAATTGCATTTGTACACTGTATAGTGATTTTTATCCCAAGAGATCCCACTCTAGTTTATATAAAGACAGGGATCCATATTTCCCAACCCTGAAGTGCTCTCAGAAGGAGAAGTGAGAAATTATTATATCCAATAAATAAAGGGGAAAATTTGGAGAAGCCAAGTATTACAAGCCCAGAGTGCAATTTAACAAGTACACTGGCTTAAATTGGGTTTAACACATTTGTGTGTTACTTTACAACATTTTCTGCAGAGATTTGTGATGTGTGATATCTGTTTCCATACTGAAAGGTGAATCTTGAACTCGCCTCCTGCCAGTTTCAAGATAGAGAGAACAGTGTTTTTCGTGGTATTCATATGAAACCCCAAAAAATGTTTTGAAACATAGTCTACATATTTAATGTCTCACACATCAAAGTGAAGAAAGGAATGACAATTTGTCATACTTGTTATCTGCAGCAGGTTAGACAAAGACATCATGCATGCAAATTGTTTGCAGTACAATAAAATATAGCTTTATCAGTGACGGAATGCCCCTTTTGAACCCTGCTCTGCTAAGGTGCAGGAAAGTGCATCAGCATTGTATGGAGGCATTTCGGGGACTTTCAGAAACTCTACACAAGCTAAATTCCAAGCTTTTGTGACATCACTGACTTTAAAGACTTTTACCAAGAGTGTCGATTCAAAGAATTTTCCACTAATGTTATGAGGAGGAAGTTTTTTAAAACTCCCAGTTTTTGCTGACCTGCACTTCTTTGTACATTTAAAACACGTACTTTCGATCCTCTGCAGCTTTACGGCTGCGCCTTCATCCAAAGAAGGTGTTTACCTCTCTTGTGTTTGAGTGGAGATGCCTGGTGTGGTACCATGGAGGAATTTGAAGTTCTTGTTTTAGATGGAGTATATGCTACTCTGAAACCTAAATTCAAATTATTGGCTGCAGACTCCTTCTGTGTGCCATTATGGAAAATCTGTCAAATAATGTGAAACATTTGATGCAAATATCATCATACTTGAGGTCTGAGAACGCAGACCTTTACACATGAATGACTGCATTAGTCATAAATGCTCTCTTATGCAGTGGTTATGGATTTAAACTAAAATGTCAATATGATTGTTTATTCGTTCAGTGTCTTGGTTTTAGGAACTTACCAATATAAGGAGAAAGAGTTTGAAGTGAAATAAAGCGCTTTTGATTTTGGTTTCAGCAGTGGTTTTCATAGGATGCAGGATTCTCTCTGTCAGACTAGATTTCTCTCTTGAATCTTGCTGCCTAAGCCTTACTATCCCAGTGCCTTCTGTTCCAGCTCAGTTTCAACTTGCATCCAAGCTGAGGCCCCAATTACTTTTGCTTCTTGGGATCTTTTAGTAAACATTTTATCTAAAAAAATCTATTTTCTGTACTTATCCTTAAGAATTAGCTTGCTTTAGGCTTTTAGCTGCTAAGAGATTGAAGAAAGGCAACTCCTCAACTTTTCCTGCACCCGTTTCATAACTGATTGTATCTCTATAGCAGTTCAACTGATTATTTCATAGGTTAAATATTAAAAAGACACTAGGAGCCAACATACAAATTTTGCCATAAAATGTTTTAATTCTCCACAGGACAGTTCCCTAAATTCCAGGACCTGTTAATAATAAACATTTTATTACTTAGTAAATGTTAAACAAACATACCTACTGTACCTTTTCCTTTTTTCTAGCTTATGCTTGTTAATGTATGTTAAGTGGCTTCGTAAAACAACTTTAAATCCAATAAGCACTTGGGCAAGTTCGTTCTCAGCCTTTTAGCATTGGGACCAAAATGAGTGTATACTACTCCAAATTCAACCCCTGTACACTAAACATGACACGAGATTGAGCCTCCAGCAGAAACACAAGCTGCTTAGTGAAATCTCATATCAATGTCTTTCTTGCATTGTCATAGCAGCTGGTACAGTTAAAATGATGCCATAACATGATTCTTTAATTATAGCTTTTATTGATTGTCTGTTTTGTTTTTTTACAGCAGATGGGCCGTACCTTCAAATAATAGAACAACCAAAACAGGTGAGGGGTTTCAAGTCATTAGTATGATGTTGTGATTCTTTCTGTAAAATAGATAACTACCTTATATGTGGCTCTACAGTAGCCCTGGAATGTATGTGGTTGCTGCTTTGGAATCCAGTCCAGAGAAAAGCAATCTTTTCAGTGATGTTGCCACTCTTAATATACACAGTATTTTAATCAAATTATGTTGATGTATTTGTACACTATTTTAAATACGAATTTACCATTTTACTTTGCCATTTTAACATTCTTTGATGTGGGTACTATACAATGTTTTTTACCATCCTAACAATTTGTTTAGTTTTATTTTTGAGTCTAAAATATGCAAATGTGTCAATATAAAGACCTAAGTGGCATCTTAAATATCAACATTTTATATGTATAGTTTATTTAAATAAATACTGTGTGTGATTGTAGGCAGCATGCCTCCAAGCAATTTCTGAGCCATTACAGTGTTATGTCCAGAAATATGGGTTGAATGATGAAGCAAGGGTGGAGAAACATAATTCTATGACAGTGATTTAGCAACTTTTTCTAGGAATTGGATTCCCCTTCGCCACAGTGTTTTCAGTTTTCGCTGCACACAATTTTCAAAGAGGGGTGGAAGGCTGCCAGCAGCACTCCACAGGGAAATAATGAAGCCATTCTCGGAAGAACAAAAATCCGTGCGGATATATCTAGCAAAACAAAAAAACTGCCACAAAAAAAGTGTTTTCAAATTTTCATGCAGTTTTCTATATCCCTAAAACATTTTCGAAAGCATCTCTGTATAGTGGAATTTTTGACAATTTTTTAGAAGTGTTTTCGTGAAAAGTTACTTTTTGGTGTATGGCATGAGTTATGTAATAACAAGTTATGTTATGGTCAGAGAGGCTTTCCTAGTGATAATCTAATGGGAAATAAATGTTTTCTTCAAATCTGATGATATTGTTTGCATCTATGCCGATTTGCTTTTTATCAGGCCAAACACCATTACTATACAGCAGTGTGGTTCTACAGTGGTTGAAAACAGACTCAGTATGGGTTCTTACCTTGAATGAAGGTAAACATAGAAATGTCTGACATGATTAAAATCATTTAGAAAGTACAGTAAATGCAATTATTGGGTTGCAGAGGGGGTTTCGTTTTCGCTATGGGTGTGAAGGGCCATCCCATGGAGGGCTACCCGGTGCTTCGAGTGAGAAGAACAGGAAATCCTATCCGCAAGTCAAGGTAAGCGATCAGGAAGGTTTCAAAGTCCTGGGAATGTTTCATTGTGTCCTCAGCTTAAGAAAAACTCTTATCAAGCAGCTCTGCACTAGCTTGTTTTGCTGCATTATGTTGAAGTCTTAACCTTTTTGTTGTACTGGTTCTGCCCCTTTGTGGAGTCTGTGGTTTGAAGCCATATGAATGAAGAAGAACATTTGTCAGAGTAGGCAGTTGTGTTTAAACCTTTACTATGGGAAGCTGAGAGAGATGAGTATTTAACAGAGAAGGGGAATTAATCTTCTGTCAAGGGAAGGCAAAACTACACCAGTTTTGACCCAGTTTATAGCATTTAAATTTATCATTCGAACATTTGTCACTCACCCCTGCAACTTCTGATAATTTGGCAATGATAGCAGGTGTTCCTAAAACATATCCAAATTAAAGCATGTACTGTATACCCAAATCATATCTATATTTGAAGTATAAAAAATAAATCAACAAATAATATTTAACTACATTTATGCGGCAACTCAAATCCAAATCTGATTACAGAGTAGTCGGATTCAGAGGCGCTGCCAAGTAAATTGTGATCAGAATCAGGAATTTCTCCCTGTAATCCAGTTAGTTGGATCCTGATTTAAATGTGTGGTAAATCCAGTCTCTGTGGTTTGTACATTTTGCAAATGGATTACAGTATTCCTGAAGTGGTATGCTTGTCTGGTAAAATCACAATGCAGACATGTGAATTTGTTGTTCTGTGTGCTTTGCTGCGTTATGAGTCCATTAAACCTAGCGTGATGAAGTTCCACCAATTCCTTTTCTTTTTAGACAAGTAGGTGGCATCCCATCCAGGGTGTTTCCCAGCTTGTACCCGTTGCTTACCGGGACAGGCTCTGGCTTACCCTGACTTGGATGAAGCAATTCTAAAATTAATGAATGGATGAAATCTGACTATAGAGAACTCTAGTTCCTTCATGACATGCAAAAGTACTGTTCATTGTAACCGCTGAAGTCAATATTTACATTCACAGTAGAAATACAAATGTACAATAAGAAGAGATGTTTCATTTACTTTATGGATTTGTCTATTCTCCTCTTGCAGTTTGAGTTGGCTGACACTACATATGATGTATGATGTATATATGTGTGTATTTGTGTTTAAAACATTACAAATAATAAAGTAAATTCCAATTCAGCGCCTGATTAATAGGTTAATTTACTCATTTAAGGGGAAATCCCCAAGTTGAAATTCTCCAACGAATTTGCCCAGAAGAAGAAACCTTACTGCAGACTATGAAGAGGCTTCAGAATCTCAGTGAAGCTTGTCAGTGTGGGTGGTTGTAAAGCAGCAATACCGCCAGGCTGGGAAATTCCTCTTATGTCACTGGTGCTGATAGGAATTGCTCAGAGTCATCAGAGAACAAAAGCAGAACCGGAAATGAAACATTGAGCTGAAGTTTTAACTTTCGCTAATGACATGTAAAACATGAAGGTCTGCCATTCGTGCTTTTAGAGAAGAATGCCTTGTCAATTTAATATTTTACCTAGATCTTCATCTGCCTCTCTAATAGGATCTACAGTATATAAAATTTCATTACACAGTGCCATGTGTACATTTTTTTTCCATTAGGTATTTCATGATGACTTTTCTAGTACAAATTCTAAATTGATCTTCTGATAGTTCAGGTTTTTATGCCTGGAATTTGTTTGATTTTTAAAATAAATTTGTAGTTTCTGAAAATATAATTTATTCCTTTTCCCAATAAATTATATGGAAAAACATTATTTACTTACTTTTCTAGTTACAGAAAAGTAAATCGCACATTTACTTAATGTTAAGTAATGTGTTAATGAGATGAGAACTTAATGCTGACCTTATCTAGACCTATCCAGTTGATAACCACACAATAAGTTCATGAAAATGATTAAGACTCTCAATATTGATCACTGAACTAAGTTGGGTCATTAATTTGATTTACTGTAGTCACTTTTTTTGCGCTTTTTGATAATGTAATATTGGAGAGCTCTTGATTCTTTTTTTTTCCCCAATAGCATGAGCTCATAAAGTCTTCAGAATAATATTTAAAGAATACGAGCAGTAACATGTAATCTATAGAAATGATTCAATATTGGATATTTGCTCAACCAAATGAAAAAAATCCTTAATTATTAAAAGATTCAAATTAAAGACCTAATTTAGAGGGAGAAGCACAGCCATGCATGGTCATGGGCTTAAACAAAAACGTCTGACACCGACAGGCAAAAAGAAATAAACCTTCTTGCTGTTATTTTTCTGTTCAAAATCTTGAAAATTAAAGACTACAAGAGGATTCTGAACACAACAAAAGCAACCTTATTGACTTTCTGAACCAGAGTACACAGATGAACCCAAAATAGTGTATTTAAAACGGAGAACAAGAATCACTATTTAACACAAAGAGATGTAGACTTCTGGAAAAACTATTCAACCCCCTAGGACTTTTTCACATTTTATTGTTAATTATTACTATTGTAAAAACATCCAAACAAATAATTTTTAAAGGAGAGATGGCAAACCAGAGGAAAACTTATTCCTCATGTCACACGCTATTACCTCTGGTGGGATCTTTTAGGTTTTATCAGTGTGCTGAAGTATTACTGTGGATTACCTGTTGCTGCCAGTGGAAACCTGAACTTATTCATGTGTGACTCTTTAGAGTTTCAGCATTAATGCCTGCTGACGCGGAGTGGTGTAGTGTTTCTCAGCCACAATCAACTTGACTAAATCAGACATGTTTGCTTTTGTGATACATTAAAGTGATTTTGCAGAAGTGCCCAGGATTACTAAAATTATTCCTGATTTTGGATATACAGTAGATACTTGTACTTTTTCCCTACCAAGTGGCTGTTTAACTGTTTATTTTAACATTAAACAGGAAAAAAATAAAAGTAAACTAATAATCTAGCAGAATTAGACTAAAAAATGTTTACTAATATTCTGATTTATTTAGGAATAGTCATTCAATACATAGCAAAAAATGTTTTACAAAATATATTCTTCTTTAAGTGAGATATGTATTTTTTACTTTTTAATGCTTGGGGAAAAAAGCATCACATCACTGTAGCACTTACAGTATCTGTTATTAAACACTCCTTGTGGAATAAATTGGTAAAATAGCTTGGATGCACAGAGGAACATTTTGTGTTGCTAATTTTGGTTGCCTATAGCTTACAGATGAATAAATACAATATATTATTTTAACCTTTAATTTAAAGATTATATTTATACACATTTCTTATTGTACTAGAGGCCATTGTAGCATCATTCTGGGCAGAACAATGTATAGCAGTGGTTTTGATATCCTAGGCAAAATAGTTTTTTTTGTAAAGTTGTATTAATTATCTCATCATAAATGAGTTAGTGGCATGCAATTACTCATTTAACCCAAGTGAAAGTGTATTTTTAAAACCACGAGAAAAAGAGTCTATAACATAAGCCAAATAAACAGCCCCAGTTCTGAGTACTATGACTCATAACAGTGACAAAGCACTGTATTTGAATTTTGAGCTCCTGTTCTGAGGGGTTCACAACAGTGAGGACCAAGTGCTGGATATTCTTTTAAGTATTTCTTCTTGCTTTATTTGGAGTATTTTGCCAAGAGAAAGTGCAATCATAATAAAATGTTGTATGCATTTCATTGGTATAATGTGGAGAAAGTTATTTATTTGGTTGTGTTTTCCTCCTGTTAGATCTGCAACTACCAGGGACCAGCGAGAGTGGTTGTTCAGCTTGTGACTTTTTCAAAGAACGTCAATCTTCATGCTCATAGCCTGGTGGGGAAGCAGTGCGACAAAGGAATATGTGTCGCTGACCAGCAGCCCAAAGACACAAGCATCAGGTGAGAATAAGAAGAGCCTTGGAGAGCTTAGAGAATGCTCAGCTGCATAAATCAGTAACAAATACTTTCTTTTCCTGTTAATAAAGGATTCATTCATCCATTCATTTCTTTTACTTAGTTTTATATTTTGGGCAAAAATATTTTAGAATTGCAAACTATTAAACTGTTCTGAGGTTTTTTGAAGGATAATGAAAAATCACCATGTTTTATGTCAATTGGAAATTCTAAGTGCTCTATTTGCTTTCTGTTTTATAAAATAATTTTACATTTTCCAAGGTGCACATCTGAGGAGACAAAATGAGGAATTATTGTATAGGGCATTCAATATATCAGCTGTCAGGAGCTATACTGTTTTAAGATCTTAAAAGTGGAAGTCCAGAAACCAGAGGAAGTCATAGAAACAAAGCTAAAAAGGTTATATATGTTCAGGCATTTTAGTTTTGATTAAAATTGAAAGTTTCCGAGTTCTGTACATACAGAACTACATCTTATTAAGAACATGTTTGGATAGACCAGAAACCACCGCAAACAATAACCTGGAAAGACAAACACATGCATTAGCTTTATCTGACTGGAAGCATGTATTTAGGTTTGATACAGATTATGATAAAGGTCCTCATACAAGAATAATCCTCAAACTATAGACGGTAGACATATAGAGAAACAGTTACCACAGGGATCCCTATTACGACCACTGCCCTGATCTAGACTGATTCTTAATTCTTAAAATGTGTTAGATTGACCATTCTCCTTAGGTCTTGGATTAGTTGTATGACCAGAAGCCTTTGGTGTAGTGAATGCATTTTTCATTCTTCTGTTTCAAGTTTTCCAAACCTCGGCATTCTCCATGTCACTAAAAAAAATGTTAACAAAACCTTGGAGGAGAGGATGACTGAGGCTTACAGGATGGGCTACAACTATGGGATCAGCATCCATCCAGAAATTGACTGCCTGCAGTCTGAGGGCAGGATACCGAGAGAGCTCACAGGTAAAACAGTTGTATGATGTGTTATTCTGATGCAGATCCAGAAAAACTAAAAAAGTTAAGCATCTTTGTTACCAATGCCAAGTTTATACAGTGCAGTCCATAAGTATTTGGACAGTGACACAATTTTTGCGGTTTTGCCATTGTACTTGAGCACATTGGAAGAGCTTAAAGTGCAGAATGTCAGCTTTAATTTGAGGGTATTTACGTCTGTATTGGGTGAACCATATGGGAATCGCAGCCCTTTTTATACATAGTCCCCCCATTTCCTGGGACCAAAAGTAATTGGACACATTACTAAAGTTATAACAGGCTTTCTTCTTCTTTGTTTGCAAGGCCATATTTAAAATGTCATACAGTACAATTCTATGGCAGTGTGAGGAGCTCCTCAGTCAAAGGATTTTGCAGATTGAACACGTTTGAATTAGGTTTTACTTACTTTAATTTCCCTGCAAGATTCCACTCCAACATGATACCCAGGAATTCTGCAGCACTTTATCCCTGTCCTGTCTCATTTAAAATCAATGCTATTCCAGCCCATGCTAGGCAACTAACTGCTGTATTTCAAGTATCTTAAGTATTGATAATGGATCTGGGAGTCTGGTCCCCTTTCTCAGGTTCTGGCATGCAAACCATAACCTTGTGCCATGTGTATTTTATTGCCACTGTCCTGAAAAGACTTGTGTTTCTTTTTTCTCAGAGCACCAAAAAAGTCTCATTACTAATGCAGCCACCAGCCAGGCCAAGGAAATGGACCTGAGTGTCGTGCGGCTCATGTTCACTGCCTTTCTGCCAGATAGTGATGGGGGGTTCACACGTAGACTTGAACCCGTCATTTCAGATCCCATTTATGACAGCAGTAAGTACCTCACCACACAATGACGTGTGTTTGTGTAGTCTTTCATGTGTGCTCTCAAGCAGCTAGTCAGTTTCATACATTTGTTTCTTCACTTAATTGCTTGTTGCTGATTAATTGTGTTTATTGGTAACAAGTTCTGGGGGAAGGCACCAGACTTCACTCATCAGAAACAAAGGAATGGCATTAAAAAAAACCTTAGATTGTTTTGAAATGAGTGGGGTCTGTTAATCTTTTCTGGCTTGCTGTTAAAATATATATAGATATGAAGTATGTGCAGTAGCTTTAAATCCATAGGTTGACAGCTTTGTTGCAGGTGTAAACTACCCTCTGTTTAAAGAGGCATTTTCTGTTTTAAGTCTATATGTGATAGGCTTTTTAGACCAGAAATCATAAGATCATATTGACTTTCTTTCAATTATTACTTAAATTATAAATTGGAGACAATATTGATACCTGACTATACCATTCAGTCACTGCCAGTGATGTTTCTTTTTTCATGTTATTTTTAATTGCTTTTTCATGTTATCTACGCTTGAAGCTGTAAAAGAACAAAAAGAATGATAAAATGGGGTACATTTTAAAAAGTTGGAAACATGCTAATAACCTGTCAACCTTCGTTTTACTGAATATGAATATTCATTTGTAAAAAGTTTGGACATCTCTTTGATGTCCTGTTCAGGATGATGTTAAGAATTTAAGCCATAAAGTAGGCATCTACTGACTATACTTTCAGATATATTACAAACTGTTTGAGAGAATATCGCTTCAGGTGGAAATCGCCTCTGCAGGTCTGACTACAGAAAATATTGATTTAGTTGGAATTTTTCTTCATATTTATAATATTTACACAAAAAAGACTTTACAAGTCAGAATGTGGGTTAGCCCAGCAAATGTACATGACTTTGGTTTAATCAGTCCACCTAGAGGTGGTTTCAAATTTAATCTCTTTAAACTGTTTGAAGTTCCTGGTTAGTTTGCACTTTCCCAATTGATGAGCCTTTAGAAGAAGTAAAAGAAAACCACAGCAGTCTTTGCCTGTGTTTCTATTGCACACATTTCCCTAAGTGAAGGCTTCTTTATGAGGATTAATTAGTGCATTCTGTTTCAGTGTCACATATTTTCTTGTAAAACTGTGCTACAGTATATTCTCATTGGCATTTTTTGGTTCTTTTCATTATTTGTTGTTATGCATTACCAATGGCTGCTAAAGTTTACTGATGAGGGGCATATGAAACAGGCTGATGTGTAATCAGACAGAATTACAGTAATATGGTATATAACAGCCTTGCATTTTCAGTCTTAAATAGGTTATCTTCCTAGATTTGTGCCCTACTTGTAACTCCTCTTCCATACTGTCTTTCATAGATAAAATTTCATTATTACGATAAGAATTTATGCATTGGTTTTCTCTGATCTCAGCTGTTACATTCATGTAGGCTTGGTTAGGTCTTGGTTGTAGATTGAAACTCCTTTTAAACTACTGTCTAGTTACAACTTGATCAATATTAGTTTGAGCACTAAATATAGCTCTTTGCAAACCACCTTTACAAATGGGGGTGTGGGAAGTATTTAGACTACATGTTGATGTTAAGTGAGAAAAGAATACTGGAGGTGGTTCTGAAAGTTTCGCTGTGTATATAAAATGAGAGAGACACACTTTTATACTTGGTAGAGATTGCTAATAATTAGAAACTGTGTAAATACTTTTGATCTCAGAATTCTGTCAAACGTTTGCCAGTTATGAGCCTATCGAGAAAATGATGAAGTGCTTAAGGCAAAGTTGTGTCTTGTAAACATTCCTGCAGTTATTTCAAAACATAACATTCAGAATATTCAATACAATAAAGTAGAACCAAATCCTACAAAATTCCAGAAAAATGTGGATTGAAGGATTGAAGGTTATTATTCTGAGAGAGTATATACTTCTGTAGTGAAGTCCACACTCAAGCTCAGAGGCTCATTAAACCGGAATTATTCACCGTCACCCTCTCATGGGATGCTAGTCTATTGCAGGTACAACATTTTTCAAATGGGGGACTGATGCAATTGGAGTCAAAGGATCTTGCCTAAGGATACAGCAGTAGTCTTAACAGGGATTTGAAGTTCCATAATAGGTTTAGGAACAGGATGAAGGAGATCTCTGACATTAGCAGTAGGTCAGTATAAGAAAACAGGAATATTCAAGCTTAACATGAAAGATATTCAAGTGAAATGTGCATGAAATGTGGGACAGGTTTCAGTTTCAACCACTGGTGGGGTATTGCCTTGTAAAGATCTCAATAATCACAGGCCAAGGCAAAATCCACTCAGGAAAACAGTTGTTAAAAGCTTGCATGTAAATAATATGATATGAGTTTTGGGCAAATGTTTTGTGAAGAAAATCAAGTTTTTTGGTCACATTGACAGAAAGTCTGGTGAAGCTTACTTAGTAACAGAAACTGCAACTGTCAAGTGGTAATAATCCCTTAATGACACAGGAAACGTAATACCTTCACACGATACAACTGATTCCATAGCATGCTGAAAATGTATGTATTTATAAAACAAACTGGCCATACTGAAACCAAATAATGCAAAACTTGTTCTAAACCAGGTTTGCATTCTAACATTACAATCTATTGAAATTTGTGAGAGATTAACTACAAAAATCAAGGCCTGTGTCTGAATTGAAATGTGATTGAGAGGTTTTGGTATGAGCTCAAGACTGTGCACTTGAGAAGGTCTCAGTATGAGAATAAACTGGACTTTTTTTTTATTGAATTATAATCAAAACCATTAAGTGGTCACAAATCACTAAGGAATCATGTCAACATCTCTCGGCTGTCCTAAGAGCTTCAAGGAAGTCATTATTGCTAAAGGTGTTTCAACTAGCTAAGAATTTCATGGGTTTTAGTTTTGATATAGCATTTTTGGAGTTTTGCAGAAGAAATTGCTAGAATTAGTACTTTTTTGAACTTAAGTGAAGTGTAGTGGATGATGCTGTATGCTGTTTTGTAGTTCTTTTTTGCTTTTTGTTCAGTTTGTACAGAGTTTCTTACCATTCTATTTCTTTGCCTCTTCACAGAAGCCCCTAATGCCTCCAATTTGAAGATAGTGAGGATGGACCGTACAGCAGGCTGTGTTACTGGGGGAGAAGAGGTCTATCTCCTGTGTGACAAGGTTCAGAAAGGTAGGCAGTTTTGGTTTTTGTTCACACTCTTAATCATTAACAACATATGTGTTCCCATATTCAAAGTCAACATCTAATTAACAGATAAATTGGTTCATTGTAACAGACTAATCTTGCACTACCTGATTTAATTTCAGGTAAACTAGTCTAAAACTAAAGCTAATCCCGGTTTATAAAGCAATTCCTCTGTATTTCCTCAGTATTTGTCTTTCCATTTTTAAGGAATATAGCATTTCTTTTGTATCTACAGTATATACAGTAGACAGTATGAAGTAAGATGTGAAGACGGGGTTAATTTGAAGTCCTCTCTGCATGAAGGCTGGAGTTTATGCCAGGAAGGGGGTTAACTGATAAGGATTCCAGATGCCG